CGCGGGGCCAACATCAAAATAGACACGTCATTTGACATCTCAAATTTCTCAGCATCATGGCTCAGCAGTAGCAATAGTAGATACCACCATAAGCTCCCTCAATCCACTCTAGCCTACAAACCATCCATCTTCCCAATCTGACCACGAATGAACTCTCACAAGCCTACTGGTTTGTTGCACAAAAGGTCTTGACCCGCCTAAAATACTTTTCAGTGGCTATTGACGCCATCAAATTGTCAAGTGCTTACCACGGGAACGACACAGCAGGCAGCTATCTGTCCTTTAGAAGCGCAAATCTTATCAAAGTCCTGTCCATTCTTCGGATTCTGGTCCGCTGCGGTATGTCTTAGCATAATTTTTCTCTCCTTGCTTGCGCTCTTCAATGCATATATGTATGAGAGGGGGGTCTGTACGGGAGTCACAGTTTAAACCCACTATTCCAAGCACAAGGGCGGCGCAACATTGCACATTGCTATAGAGACCGTTTGGGCATGCGGGACTCGAAGGTGCTGCGATCGCGGCTGCGATGAAGAGGAGGGAGGAGGGTAATATCGCTCTCATTTTGTTAGGTATAGATGTACACTCAGTGTGTTCTCTTAACTCAAAAATGTTTTGAAGGTAAGAAATGGTGGAGAATTTGTAGCACTTTATACCTCTCCAAATGGACACCATCTTATCACACATCAAGATGAATGAAACTTAATCTGCTGGATTTTCTTGTAGATGTCCACTCCTATCCAACGAGCTATCATTTGTGACATCAAGCGTGGCCCCGCTCGGAGTATCCACAATTCCTGCAATCATGTTCTATCTATAGTACAAGATTCCTGCAATCCTACACTAGTTATAGTATAGAATCTCTGCAATTATGCACTAGCTGCAGCACAGACAGCGCCACATGCGCATGCCTCAACTCTCATAGGGCTAGGCTACGACAGACTAGTAGGCTCGAGTAGAAGAAGCCTAGCCTCCATATGAAAAAGGACAAATTAAGCGATGACGTTCGCCTGTGCCTTACAAAACAGGAAAACGTCAAACGGCTATACTCGGCCGAGAGCGATGATCTTTAGGCCACCGAGAATTATATTCATAATTCGCTTAGCCTCTCGGAGCAGAGGATTGCAGCACCTCTGATATGCTTTTGAGCTTCGCTAAACTTCAGCAACAGTGTCGGAAAACGCCGTCAAGCCTTAGACATAGTATCGGAGAACGCCGGATATACCGAAAGATTTAGCAACCAAATAACGGCCTCATGTCAGGGCTTGGAGTAAGAAAGAGTCGAGTGCCTGCTCATCGTCGCAATGTCCAAATATACATGCTAACTGTAGTCGACTTTTTCTCTCCCAACACCGTAAGGGCCTAGATGCTGTTGAGCTCTTGTCCATTTATCTTTAATTTTCACGATAATGTTGGATAATATGACGTGATAAGGATTTCTTTTCCCACGCTGTACTCTTAGGTTACCACGCTATCATGAGTTGCAGGCTCTGCCATGCATCACGAACCTACGATTAGCAAAGCGTTCTGACACCCCTTTGAATTCCATGGTCAACATAGCCAGAACTCTCACCACATCTTGGCTTGCAAGTTGAGCTGCCGGAGAGGAGGTGCCATCAAGTTTACGGCACCTTATCAGCAGGGACTTCTCCAGCAGTTCGACGCCATTAAAATAACAAACAGCGATTATGTCAATGGCTCCAACATTGACCACTTGATCGAGCGCCGAGTGATTTCCACATTGTCTCGAGCCTTAAAGACTCCTGCAATAATGCATTGCCAATTCCTAAGATTCTTCTCGCAGGAAGACAATGCAAAAGGGACAATTCTCCTAAGATAAGAACTTTGAGCCTATTGTTCAAAGGCAACTATTTGCAATCGGTCGTTACGACATTCAAGTCGATGTCTCAGACCGATAAATATATATAATACCGGATGGCTCTCATGCAGAGTATTTTTGACATTCACATCCAAGTAAGTCAGCCAATACTAACATTTTAACAAAATTTCAAGCCTCAATCCCACCCGCAAGTTGCTCTTGGTCAATAATGAATCCACATCAAACAACTAATCTTCCTCCCTCAGGTTAATTCAGGCAAGCCTTTCCGTACAGAGACTGGAGGGCAACTATCGAGTGCGCAAGAACTCGATCCAGCAACAAGGCCCCCCACATTTTCGGGATCCTGTCCGTAGTCGAGACTTATCGATTGACTTTAGGTATAGGAACCCCTAAGCTGCTCCTACGCCAGTACTACGACAGCGGGTTCGCACGATGTCAAGCTGGGTCAATGCACCCCGCTAATCGAGAGCTCCGAGCCGTGGCGGACAGCTGTACGTCGCGAGCAGCGACAAGCCAGGACCACCCGACTATTACATAGCTTCGCGGACCCCATTGAGCGCTGATGAACGTCGGAGAATTGAGGACGTCCATGAAGCACGCTATGGTCCTACTCGTCAGCACGAGCTATCGGCAATGTCTCAGCAGCAATTCTCAGCTCAGTACCCTTGGCAAGCTCTACTTTAAGGAAATGCTCAGAATTCGGCGAACACGGCAATGGGACCACCGCCAACACCGGCACAAGGCCACTGGATGCTGCCACCACCCACGCCAATGCAAGCGCAGCGGACAATGTCAACACCGGTACCACAATAGCTGGACCCAATGCTGCTCCCTCCCCTGAACCTACCGGGGGAGAAAGAGATGGTCACGCCATCGACTGAGCCGGAGCCCATCCCCGCTGAGCCAACCCCTCCCACTGATATCCCAGTCGCCTCCACCCCAGGTCAACGCCGCATAATCGAAGCCGCCCAGTACAAACCGCAAGACTCCTGCTGCCCGCTCCACTCCCAAATGGTAAGCGCTTTCATGAAAGTCAGGTTCGATTACCCCGACGCTGAAGAGCACGAGGTGGTGGTGGACAGTGGCTGCGACTGCACCAGCATCTGTTGTGTGTCACGTAAGTCACGTAGATGAGTGACACATTGCAAACGTGATACTTGCTCCTTTTTACGTGTAAGGAATCATAGGACTATATAAGGATCCTCCTCCCATATGTAGAATGACTCCTTAACCTAAGAACAATAAGAATATGATTACCAAATCATCTTAAGTCCAACAGCATCAACAAGAATTTCCTGCGAAAGTACATGCCCGAGGTGTAGATTCGCAAGAATACGGGGCACGCGATTGAATTTTTGAATGGGGCTGCAGGGGGAACCATGCTGTTAATGAATATGCTGTAAGTTCTCTTTCTTATCGGTTGGTGGGGAGGGTGGGGAATGGTTTGCTGACGTTTGGGGATAGGAACTTAGGCTGTTCATCGATAGCTCGGACGAAAATGGCCCCCTTACGCTGTCGGTGCCGATTAGGGTGTCGGTGGATGGCAGACAGCAGATGGATGTGCTGCTGGGGAATAACCTGCTTCACCCGCAAGGCGCTGTACTGGACTACCACGGGGGAAACGCACATTTCAGGGCTAACGGTTCGATTAAGGCGCCTTTGGTGATCAAGGCGATTGCGCTTGATGGATTTGATCCTCCGTGGGAAGTGCGTAGAGTATACAACCTTCGATTATCTATTAGCTTTGTAGAGATAAGAGCCTTCGCTGAAGAGGACTTACCATGTTCTGCCTCTCGATTGCTTCGCCATTGCAATACACGCTCCCTTAGTAGCTCTCGAGGGGTAAGCTGAAGCTGATCACTGCGACTGCTCAGATCATCACAGATGTTGAGAGACTCAACATCCAACAGCATCTGCCTTGTAGCGTCATATTTTCCAAGCCATGCACTTTGTATGATTGCATCAAGGCTTTTGGGTCCAGCAGTGAGAGGTGGCAGACTCAACGACCCATCGTCTACAATAGCCATTTCGGGTCCCTTCCCATATTCGCAGGTATAGATCAGTGAGCCTAGGGCGAAGCGATCCGTAGCATCCGATATCTCTCTTGCTAAGCCAATAATTGGTACTGGAAAGTTAGGCTGCGAAGGTGCGAAAGTCGGCTGACCAAACTGACTGGCAGCACTAAAGTCGGCAATCACGGCTCGTTCTGCTTCATCGTGGAGTATGTTATCAAGTCGGAGGTCGGAATGCGCAATACCAAGGTCGTGAAGATGCACTAGACCACAAAGTATGTCTTGATACCACATAAGGCGGCGAGGCTGAGAAGTCGGCAAGCCGTGAAGGCTTATCGTATGGTATCTTCGTAGGTAAATACCCTCCTCATGATCAGTGTCGACAACCTCCACAATGTTAGGATGACGATAATGTTCCAGCAACTTCGCGATAACCTTCTCGTCCTCCATTATCTCATTTTAGATATTGTTTCCGAAGCATAGAACCATTTATCTCGCTTTGACGCCTCCTTTGTGGGTTGTTCATGGACTCGGCGCGCTTTCAAGACAATCTCATCGTCGACTTCGAAAACTTTATTTGCGGCTCCCACCCCTACAAGCACCAAGCCAGGCTGCGCTTGATACTTTATCTCGAAAACTACACGATCCTCCATAACGGAGGACATTTTCATGAAAGGTGTATTGAAGGCTGGTACTGACACGAAGCGGTGCGGTCGTGCTGCAGCCGGACGTCGCAGGAACCTAATTCCAAGCTTCAGCTTTGTCCTCGCTTCCTAAACCAATCATACAATGACTTTGTTCCGGGGTGATTGTCGGCTGCGACATGATCGAAGAACGTAGATCCGATCTGGTTCTCTTATTGTCAGCCGATGATAGGCGACGAAGCAGCTCGAGTGGCTCGGCTGATATATGCAACCGCACATACATGGCACATGTATAAGGCTCTCCAAGGAAGAGCGAGGACGTGCGGCGGTGTGTTACGCCGAGTTTTTTCACTATCTTATTCCCTTTTGAACCTCACAGCCGTCCTTCTCTCACAGCTGCGAAACCGACCGACATATCTAGTAGGCTCCTAGATCTTGAAAGAGCAACTTTTAGAATTATTGAAATTCAACAACACAGCTGAAGCGGTACTTCCATTGCGAGACATGACTCGTCAGACATGGGTTTAGGTGATGACATTGGTGACGCGTCGGACTGGTAAACCACTTCATCTGCGGATCAAGAGAGGAGCCTCGGAGTGGCTGTTACCAAGTGTTCATTGATTTTTGCAATCACTTGAATGCGATGAAATCGGAGATGTTAGTGGCCGTTCCCTCCGCCGAGACGTTGGGCGCTTGGAGAAGAATCCAATTGACTAGTGTTTTATTCCTATTTCTTAACCAGGTTCATGAGGCTAAGCTAGCAATGCTGGCTTATAGCTGTCTGCTGACCTAGGAGACTTAAATTTAGCTAAGCTTAACGTAGCCCTGTAAGCTTCATTTCTAAAGCCTAATAGTATGGTAGTACCTAATAGTCAGACATCAGTGCTGACGAGGGGTGTGATACAGAGACTAGAAAGTAGGTTGATTTTATTGGAATTGTGGACTGTGAGAGTAACGGCCATCTTCATTATGCTTACCTTTCAATAATCTAGATGAAAAATGAAATGATGTAAAGGAGATGAATGATAGATAGGGTACTTAGACAGGTTCGAATCTTGCATCAAGACCACACTTATCGACGATTGGACGCCCTTAGAGAAGGGGATTTGATGACAGTCATGTTCCGTAACACATTGAGAGCAAAGTTCCAGACGCTGGCTTAATGACACATTCAAGGGAGAAATCGTTCGTATTCAATAATCAACAGAAAATAGAGGACATTTGCTTTTGCCTGGATGCGAAACAAGAAGCCTGTGTTAGGTGTTCCTCCATCCAATGGCTTTCGGAAATGTTCATGTTGTATTGCCGCGCTCTTTGACGCAAGGGCCTTCTTTGATGCAGGGCCAAGGGTTGTACCTTCAATCAATGAATGTAATCCTCATTTCACCATCCTCATACACCACTTTCTTTTCCTCAGTGATGACAGCGTGGCCCCCTGCGCGGATCACCGTATCGCCTTTATGTTTATTGGGGTCATCAGGCTTGTCGATATCTCCGGGTCCATGTGGAGGAGGATCATCGCCAAGAGTGTCCAGAGGCTCGGCATTTTCACTCTCCTGGTCAGGGGAAAGTAGATGCGAACTTTGGAGTGGTTGTTGACCGTCAATGTCATCCACAGTATACTGCACTGCGTCAAGTGCAGCACCCTTCCCAATATCATAGTATTGTCCACCGTAATAACGACAGGCGCCTTCGAAATCATGCCGAAGGGCTTTCCGGTTGCCGAACCCACGTCTGTAGGGGCACTCGAGGATGTGCGACGTAGTCTCGTTCTTCACCCATTGACAGTCACCATGATCCTTAATAAACCCTTGCACTAGTAGCGGCGCGTCTTTCTTCAACAGCTTGTCACACATATACCTGACATACACCCCGTCAAACGGATACCTGAACAAAACCCCAGCATCGCGGACCTGATCCGGTGGAAGAGGCCAGTCCCCGTTATTCTCATGTCTACATCCAGTATACCCACCTTGCTCCACGCGGTTCCTGTATGAGTAGCAAAAAACGTCGGTGCCCTTATAATAGTCCTGATTCCCGGAGTCATAACCCTGCTGATTTCCGCACCAGGACTTGAGCTTTGCGAAGTCAGCGTCGCTACCGGATCCGGCGGGCTTGAATTGACAGTAATCGCAGTTGTGTACCCAGAAGTTGCAATTTGTGGCGCACCAGTCTGGACCCATGCCGCTGCAGACTTCTTGAATACCGGGGAATTTGCGGTCGTAGGAGGGGTTCTCGCATTGACAGAAGCGGGTGGCGGATGTGAGGGATGAGAATACAGCAAGGATCGTCAATGAAGATGCTTTGAAGAACAGCATTTTGAGTCGTAGGTACTATTGCGTAGTAAAATTCGAGTCCGGAATTGAGGAAGCACACAAGGTTGAAGAATCGAGTGTTTCTTCTGCAAAGAAGTGAGGATAGAGATGTGGCTTCTTAGGCTGCGGTATTGGCTCTTATGTTCCCACAGTGACGAAGCTGTGGTCCGCGAACTCGACAAGGAGAAGAGCGGGGTACGGACAATCGAAACACAATCAGGGTGCGGGGAAGGTCCCTGCATGCCTGAACAAAGCGTTCTGCGGCTTGACCGAGGACTCCCGATGCAGCAACGGCAGCCCATGTTGGCCGTTTCTGGCAACGCCTCGCCAAAGACCGGAGGGAGCCGATGTAGACAACTTCTCGTGCCTGAGGATCATTGCGGAGAACCGAGTACGTCCGCCGTTTGAATGAGTAGGAAGCATCCCAAAGAGTGACAGCTGTCAAAGAAGGGTCGAACCCTACAGCTGTCTAACCTTTTATGTGTTGGTGACATTCCTGCATGCCTGCATGAACAACGTTACCCCGTATCTTGCCGTTTTACGCCTGGGAAGCTAATGCTTCTGTCTGAGAACTTATTGAAATCATTGAAAGCTTATTAACCAAGCTATTATGACCTCCAATGCGCGTTCAGGTGCTCATGAACAAGTCTGCCGCGTTCCTTGGAATTGGAGAGGCGCAAGCTGGAAAGCCGAAGTGTCCCTTGATGTACCTCTCTAGTCGAAGACGTGTGGCAGCGGACGGGTTCGGATGTCAAACCGATTTTCAAAGCCAAATGGCACCGAGTCTTTGATGATAGGATTTCTTCGGCCGACAAAACTCCAACTCCTGTTGGGCAACGCGCGGTTGACTCGAACTTATGCTTTAGAACAAGAGGAACAATAGGTCTAGTGCTCTCCATCGGTAGTGCTTACAATGCAGTAGCCCTATTTCTAAGGGAGGGGACATTTATCGGACGACAGGTTGTGGTATCCACTTCGAGACGGTCATACAAAGGCCCCTGACCAAGCTTTGAGACACTCCATGCGACGCCTCTTGTAGTATACAGATGCTCTACAAGTACATCTCTCTATTCAAGCTGAATGGACGGGGGACCTTCCGTACTGGCAAAGTCTCTGGCAAACTCAAGATTGGGAAAGGTGCTAGTAACCCAGGCATTTAGCGCGAGATAATCATGCGTATCAAGCTTCTAGGGCCACCTATCGTAGATCCATCTAAACGTAGGCACCAACCTAACATAAATACTCTGGCGGCTTTCATTGCCACATCAGTAGGCAAACGCAAACGCAATGATAAACCGATACATGGAACATATCCCAACATATATATTTACTCCATAGCAATGTCCATGCACACACAAGGTCTTGTTATCATTGCCTCTCGCTAACCACAATCGGTAGCGGAGGTTGCTGCCATCCATTGATAACCTTCTGTCCCACATCCCACTTCTCTGTCTTTTCGCCGAACAACCTATCTGTCTTTTCGCCGAACATCCTATCGAAAGACCGGATCAGCCGTGCGAGCGTATACTTGATATTGTTCAAGGCAAAGCTATGCAAGGTCAGCACTTGGGCATTTCACAGGCAAGGGTGACGAGTCAGTCAGCATGCAAGTACATCGTATTTCAGATGTAAGCCAACTGCGAAGCACTAAGGACAGCAGACGGCAGCTTGACTTGGTGCTTCTGCTTACCTCGGAGGGTCTAGTAAAAACATGAATAATCCTTCAGAGACTAAACTGTATCACGTATTGAAACGCCAGCTTTCTCTTTGGGCCAGTGGGCGACTTTCGAGCTATATGTCAGTCATTGAGAAGCCTGAATTGGCACCCGCATATACATGCATGATGATCCTCTTTTCAATGGACAAGCATTACATCAAGGCAATCTGGGTGGACAGGATAGCTTCACCCCTGAGGAACTTCCTATCAACGATGATACTTTTCGACACTTTGCAAAGGTTAGCTTACCAACCGCAATGGCTCTGTCGTATATACTGATTTTACTCACTAGTCAAACTCGGCCTCGAGACTCTGGTGTGGCCTTGTGCCGGTCTCCAGAAGCTCAGCGTCCTACTGTTCTACAAGCGAATTTTCGTTGGTCGGACGTTTCGCACCGTCTAATGCATTATAAGGGTATGTGTTGCGTAGATCATTGCGTTTGAATTCTCCGTCGCCTGTAAGTCCTTCTGCATTCCGAGCATTACCAGGGGTGATCGAGCTCTGATTTTGAGGCAACAGTCTCTTGAATCCTGGTCTCGCATTAATGGGATCCTACTGTGAGGCTCCATTGCGTCAACCAAATAGTCCTCTACCGAACGGCACTGGCGACTGTTGTGGTTATCGACGGTGGGTTGCGTTGGACTCTAGTGCGGCGAAGTGGCATTGCTAACGCGTTGCGCAGGACTAGAATTACTTCTGGCGGTCTACAATGTCTGGAAGTTGCAGATGAAACCACGACAGAAAATTATTGTCTCAAGGCTTTTCTTACTCGGGGGCTTTACCACGATGACAGGCAGAATCCGCCTTCAATTTCTGAACTATGCCTATACGTCACTGAAGCACCCTCTTTGCAACGATACCGCTTGTAAGTTCCCCTAGTCTCCAGCTATCGTAAAAGCCTAATAAGCCAGCAAACTACGCTTGGCCATTCTACTGGTCAACAATCGAAACCAACGCCGGGATTCTGCGCGCCTGCTTTCCCGTCCCTCGTCCAATCTTCAAAAATGGTCCCACGGCAACTTCCGTGCTTCAGCTGGTCAAGTCCGTCAAAAGCAGTCTCCGCTCCTCGATGCGATCCTCGAGAAACGAGAAACGAGAAACGATTGGACTCATCTGACAATTCGATGGAGAACGGCCTTGTGATGTCGAAAGTGTAGCCCCCCATTTTCAGTCATGATAAGGCTCGTGCAACTTGTGATGGGGGTCAGTCGAGGCCGGAGAATAGTAGGACAATTCATTCCCACGCTTATGCATGTAAGGGCGGAAGATGGCAGTGCTTACCTTAGCGCCCGAGGCTCATAGTGAAGCGAATAGTTCTAAGCCTCTTTCTCAACACTCATAATTGTAGAAAAGGCCGCAGAGTCATTGGTCCTACTTGATAATCCGCAATATTGTACCTACTGACCTACGGTGGCCAACTTCGGGCGCGCCAAGGTAACAACAGTTTCCGTGGTCATGGAGGCTTTAGCTGCGATCGGTCTGGCGAGTAACGTCGTTCAATTTCTTGAGTTTACAGGGGAAATCGTCTCTGCTGGAGTAGAAGTCTACCATGCCGCTGATGGTGCAAAAGCCACTCATCGCACCCTTGCATCAATGACGGAAGAGCTTGGTCGGCTTTGTGAAAGTCTTACGAAGACGGATCAGTCAGCTAATAGCGAGCAACCCACCACCTCTGATTTCCGGTTGAGCATGCTGGCGCGAGCGTGCTGGGAGCTCGGAAATCATCTACTCACAACTTTAGAGCGCCTCAAAACCAAAGATAGGCATAGAACATGGGACAGTGCTCGTCAAGCTCTAAAAATCGCCTGGAAAGAAAGAGACATTCAGAGATACAAATCGCAGCTAGCCGACTACAGGTCTCTGATAACACTCCATTTGTTGACGAAAATGACGTATAGCGACCCTTTGATCTTTGGGCATCCGGAAATGCTAACCTTTATCCTAGAGAACGGGAAAACAACCGCCCAAACATAGCTCCGAATCACCCCCAGCAGAAGAAGATAAATGAGGCCTTGCGTAGCCTTGTAAATAGTCATCGAGAGCTACGACAGAGTGTTACAGAAGACTTCAATCAGCTTAGGGACACTTTTGAGCATTCTTCAATGCAACACTCCTTAACCTTGGCACGCAGTCTAAGAAAAACTGCTTCTCTATTGTCTGGAAATGGCTCCGAGCTATATGGCTTGGCTAGACGAGGCCGTCTCTTTGAGAAGCAGGCACAAATCCTGAAGAATTTGCGGTTCACTCGATTTCAGGAGCGGGAAGAGAACATCAAAAACGCCCATGCCGATACTTACGAGTGGCTTTTTGAGTCAAAATCGCGGAGAAGCGGCTTGGACTTTCCAAATATTCTTGAGTGGCTTCGATCTGGATCGGGCACGTACTGGATCAGTGGAAAGGCCGGGAGTGGGAAGTCGACTCTAATGAAATTCTTCTACAATAATCCCACGACAAGAAAGGCGTTAAGACATTGGTCGGCACACGATCGACTCTGTGTTGCGCGATTCTTCTTCTGGAACGCCGGCACTGTAATGCAGAAAGGCCAGCTTGGACTGCTACAATCAATGCTCTACCAAATAATTCAACAAGAGCCTGACTTGATGTCGATTCTTTGTCCAGTCCGCTATGCTGGAGATCAGGAGCATGATCAGCCTTGGACAATTACGGAGGCAATTGACAGCTTCAGAGTGCTGAAAGACCAGAGAGTTTTGTCCACTAAATACTGCTTTTTCATTGATGGGCTGGACGAGTACTCTGGCGAACACGTTGACATCATAGAGGTCATGAAAACCCTCGTTGCAACAAAAGTCGTGAAAATTTGCTGGTCAAGCAGACCTTGGAACGTCTTTGAGCACCACTTCGGAGACAACCAAGGGCAAAAACTACAATTGCATGACTTGACCAAAAGGGACATTGAGCATTTCACCATGTGTAGTCTCCAAAAAGAGTCTCCGTTCTTGGCCATAAGCGCTGACTTTCAGGCTCTTGTTCGTGACATTGTAGAGAATTCTTCGGGTGTCTTTCTGTGGGTGTTCCTTGTCGTGCGATCTTTAAGACGGGGCATGACTAACCGAGACACTCCAACCGAGCTTCGTAAACGCCTGCTTGAGCTTCCCAAAGACCTTGAAATGTTCTTCAAGCACATACTTGATACCTTGGAAAAAGTTTATCAAAAACAAGCGTCTCGAATATACTTGATAAAGCTTATGGCTGACGAAAGGGAGCTAGGCGTCAAAGACATTGCGTGGTTCAATCGTGACGATCCTGACTTTGCCCTCGATGACGCACTGGTCAAGTCTTACGATATTAACCAAGAGCGACTATTCAAGCAAACAACCATAATAAGAGTACTGGCACGCTGTCAAGATCTTCTGGAGTTCGGGAGCCACTCACAAATTCAGTTCCTGCACCGGACAGTGAAAGATTTCCTAGAAACTGCAGATATTTATCGCCAGCTCCAAATGTGGGCTGGCGAAGATTTCAAAGCTGAGTTGTTTATGTGCAATTCTCAACTCTTGAAAATCCGAGTTGATGTACGGGCCTTTACAACCAACCCTACACATCTGTTGCTAGATAGCTTTCGGCGCTATGGCGACATCAAAAATTCGCTGCGCAATTTCTTCCACTTTCTACATTACATACAGTCCGATATTACGTCCCTCCGTCCGCTACTCTCTTCTCTTGACCAGACGATATCGCATTTTTCATCTTTAACAACTGTTACTTCTCCACACGCTACACTGCGTCATTACCCTGGGTGGCTTGCCGATCAAGCAGCTTCGTATGGTATTATTGACTTCATGTCATCATATATTGGACAAGAGATGCAAATCATCACCTCTGATGATTTAATTGAATTCTGGCCGCCTCTCTAAGTGGCTTTGCATTTCATGCAAAGCGAGCACAGAAGTAAACAAGTTAGGCACTTGCTTGACTGCGGCGCAGATCCAAACCAACGGCTTGGCCACCGGGAAACAACGATTTGGGAAGACTATGTGGCTACCTTGCCCTTCCCTGAGTCTCGGGACGACGCCACAGTTGCAATCATCCAGACATTCATTGGGCACAATGCAGACCGCGAGACGCTTCGCGCAGCACGCGCAGATCTGTTGAATGATCCATTAGAGATTGATACCCAAGAAGGGTCAAAATTCCACGCGTTGCAGCAAGAGACATTAAGTCATAGACCATCAGAAGGACCGCCAGCCGACGGAGCCCGATCAGTGACTGCTGAGGGTACTGATACAGCAAGGAAGGAACGACGCGTATCTGCACAACCGCGCCAAATCCTAAAACCAAGTCTGGCCCAGTCAGGGTCTTCACCAACAGGCCAAAGCGACTCAAGGAGAACAGCACCTACATTTTGCCTTGTTGACGATTATTACGGACCTAGAGTTGCCAGCAGTCCTGTAGACTGGCTATCCTTGACCTCCTGAGAGGTATTTATCAAGATCTTCTATCCTTACTTCGGAAGAAAAGTGGTGCCGTCCCTCTTGATCTACTCGTGGATTCTCACTTCGCGGGACGTGCGATAACATTCTATATCTGTTAGCCTTTATTGCTTTACATTCAATATCTGATGATAGATTTCGGTAATCATAGTCCGCAGACGCTCCCGGTGCTCTCAGCCTATATGCAATTATCAAGCATGCGTATGTGTCTCGCTTCAATCAAGGATCCGCAAGAGTCGTAGTAGATAGAAAACTCGGTAAAATAGCCGCATTGGCCCTCCAAGAGGTTCACGGAGGTTGGTCGTGCGTGGAGCTCTCTAGTGTAGTTAGAAAGCCCTCCATTCATAGCATTAAAGACTCACCGCTAAGTATAAGACTATTGTCCACCTAAATTACACCCAAGATCTGTCCCTTTACCGTCAGATATGCTACAAAGCAGTGGGCAGTGATAAAAGCGCTCGTGCGACCTCTTAGCCATGGTAGAATTTTGGCGAATGTCGCAGTAGGAGGTGCACCTCTTTTCTCACCGGACAGGACAAGAGCCATCTTTATTCAAGTCATCCTGAGCTTAGCTTATGAACCTGCTGTAAGCTTGAAGCATGTTATATTGGGAAGCAGTGTCCTCGACTGCCATTGGAGATCTATCACGGCGGCTCAAACGGGTTCGAAAGACATTGCGCACTAGCATCGTAATAGAATCGCCAGGGAAGTCTCATGGCCCAGGTCATTTGAATATCACCAGCAGTCATATATTATTCTTGTCGCACCGTTGCGGAAGGCGAGCCAGGAAGTCGAATTTTGATGCAGAGGAATATAGGATCAAGAAATCGAACAATCAAACCGTGATAGGGTTCCGTTCTCTAGATAGCTGCCTATCACATCATGTGCCACATCAATATTTCCATGGGCCAATCAGAAGGAATAGTACTCAAGAAGTTCAACTCCCATCGTTAAGCTCTACAGACTCTCACATCAAAGATACCCTAATGCCTTCATTCCCAGAATCATTCCTCAGACAATCATTTCATCGCCTCACTCACAGAAAAGCTATGCACCCAGCGATCGAAAGCCTTCCTCTGCTTCCTCTTCCTAAACATCCTCAAAACCACAAACGCCACCGTCAACAAATGAAGAATGACAAGAACAGCCATCAAAACCGCGCCTCCCACTTTGCGCAAACACGCGTCAGCGTCCAGACAGGCGAAATGGACAATCACTTCTGCCGCAATGAAAATGACAATGCTCACGCCACCTTCCCACAATAACACCATCCACCATTCTGGGACGCGCACCTCGTCCGCCCAGCTGAACTTTGTTCCGCGAGCAGTCTGGAGCCGCGGCCAGCAGGTCGTGTCGCATGCGATGAGGAAATTTCGATCGTGTTTCTCCTGCTTGAATTTCGCAAGTAGTGGAATCTGAAGAGCGTTGGCGAACTTTTTGCCGGATTGGGGGGTCAGGATTCCGCATGAGAAGGCGCAGTTGAAGAGTGCTGGCCGCGCGAGTGCTCGATGCTCTGCTGCGGACTGAGGTGGGTCAGATGTACGGGTTTCGCGGAGGTTGGTCTTTGTTTGATTATCTTCTCTTGTGGGGAGGGATACTTGTGTTTTCTGTCTGCTTAGGAGGGTGAGACAGAGACCTCGGCCTATGAAGCCAGTTGAGTCCTAACAGGTAGAGCGTAGAGGATGTTGCGGCAATAGAAGCACCGTTGTCGGTCTTCTTGAATGTGTGCTGTTGACCGCGAAGGATTTGACGTCAAGGTCGAGATTTACCCACAGTGGGTTGCCATCAATGATGAGCCAAAAGACTCTGCTTACAGTTTCCAGATTCGGTAAGACGACAGTTTCGATGTGACTTCGATCGTTTTTCCAAAAGGGTTTTTCGAACGTCTGAAGTAAGAGACCTGCATCGCAGAGTAACGCGAACTCGGATTTCCGACCTGTGCTGTAGAAACTTGCTCTCGATCTCAGTTCTGGAATCCACCATTCTGCTGGAGGTCTTAGGGGAACTTCATCAATATGCCGCAAGAGGAAGCTGAGGGGAAATTCCACAGCTCTTGCGAGTAGAAAAGCTTTCGCTCTATCTTGAGGCTGAAGCTTCGTCATTTCAGCGGCGTTGAGTGTACCGAGATTTGCTAGAATTTAGGCCAGATCAGCTGTCATTGATGTTGATCTACTCAACAGAGATTCAACAAGTGTTTGTGCGTCAGCAGGCTCGATTTCATCCCGCAACCACACCGGTGCTGGGCAAGCAGTGTCTTGACACTGAAACATCAGAGTTCGGCCAAGTGCTCCTTCTTGTAACGTCCAACATCTTCCCATCCAGCTAGAGTAGCGAACCACATAAGTCAGCTTTTGTGGGAGACGCCGCTCAGCTCGGTCCCGATTCAAGTACTTGATTCCACGTTCTCTTTCGGTCAGCTGCTTAATGTTCCGATCCAAGACAAGAACGTATGCTGCATTTGCATATATCGGTGTCATTAGATTGATGGCACGTTGTTTCATCGATGCGGATCGCGCACGATCACGGGGGTCAAGAACAGGCACACAGATTGCGTCAATCCAAACCGTGACTCTCTTGCGCGACAACAAGTGCCTTGCGTAACTTACACTCTTAGGTTTGGCGCCTTCTTGCTTTTCCTTCAGATCACTGGCCGCCCAATGTGATTCCAAATCTAGAACGTAGCGAAAGATTAGGTCCAGCTGACAAAGAAAGAGCCCGTTATACTCTGCACTCGCAAGGCCGTTTGCTCATACATGGCTAATAGCAGTGTATATCATATGGGGTTTCGAGGGTACGATTTCAATAGTTATATGATTTCCTTTGCTATGGGTTAATTATGCAACGGGAATCTGCCCCTTTTCTGAAATTTCGTAGACTTTATGAATGGGTGGATGTACCGGTAGGCATGGACAATCTGCCGTGACGTGCTTGGGACGAAGTTTGCTTAGGTCGACATTCGAAGCAACACACCCTCGGCTCATCGTACACTTGTCATGCTTGGCAAAATTATCACTTTACTGAACATAGGCAGCGGCCTGGTAGATATCTTGTAGTGTCCTTTGACATAGTTCGTCGTGAACAATGACAGGGCACCAGCCATTAGATTCAAGGTAGCTCTTCATGATCATTGTAGAAGGCGGGATCTCCGTAGCGTTGGGATGTAGGAGCCGTTGCTCTGATATATCACTCTGCAAGCGATCTTTTGACATGCCTACAGGGTCTGTAGTGGACTTATCCATCCGTCCATATTGTACTAAAATGTCGGCGAGATACCTGATTGAAAGAATGATTCGACTACGATCTTCAGATCTGAGAGCACATTCCGGGTCTTCAAAGTCAAAGATAGCAGCGTGATGGAGGAGCATTCGGATGGTCGGAAAGAGCGTGCGATAGTTGAAGTCTTTGCGGCCTTCTGTAAACTTTTCAAAGACTAGTGGGGCAGCTGTGACCGTTGATCTACCATTTTGCGGCTGCACAAGTAGATCGGATAGTTCGAAGTCCTTTCCAAGTTCTCGACAGACCGTCTTAGCAAATTGGAAGTACAGCCATGACTGCAAAAATCCGGTATACTCCGCGTAGTCATGACTGGGCGTCAATTGCAGCTCCGAGAATCCCAAGTTAGGTCGCATAGAGAAGCCCATTCGAATTGGAAAGGTTTCGAAATCCAGGTCATCCACAGGATAGGTTGCAAGGAATGGTACTTCAATGTCCAGTGGCCCATATCCGCCATCGAGCGCATAAGCAAAGATATCCATGTGATATACATTACACAGGTAACAACAATGTAATTGAAAGCTAAGACTAATAAGAAACAGGGGGAACCTCTTCATAGTTCAGCTGGTGGTTCGAAAGCTGACCCTAGCCGCCGAAGCTAGGTGAGGCTGAAATTTACCGACGTGTTAATCGCTGCGATTGTACCAAGGAGTAAGGCTGGAGATTACAGCGCTTAAACATCCTAAATTTAGTGGTATACCTGGCCCTGGAGAGAACTTCTGCGCAACCCCACGACTCTTCAAAGAATTCTTTAATTCCATGTAAGGAAAGTCTTTAGGACATAGGTGCGAGACTTCGGGATATGTCTGGACACGTCATCTTCTTACGCTCACGAGATAATCAGGCCGTGGTTGTGTTCATCTCGGAGCAGACACAGGGTCCTCCAAAACAGGCTGGATGATGACATGTCGACTACTTTGCCCCGAGATATCTTCTAGAAAAGCTTTGGAGCGCAAAGCTGCTGCAGATTCCATAGTCGCGCAACCTCTACAGCTGTTGCCGGGAGTATGACCATACTTCACATATCCTAAGGAGCGCCCTAATCTATCTCAACCAGGCATATCGATCCACCAAATGTTCGCCTAGTCATGGAGAAAGCCTCGCCAAGTCCGAATGGTCCACGGGTATCTCCTCCGAACACGTTCTGCTCAAACTTCAGTTTCGACTTACGCGTGCCGGATTCTCACGCGTGTCTACTGGAAGAATCTTGCGTCCAGAGTCGTACCTCCATTAATTAATACATGAGCTATAATCGTTGGCATAGGTACATGCTTAGGATGCCTCTGAAGCTCTCTAATACCAGCCATCTTTTCCATGAGATCTCCAAATGCGATCGCTTCCGGCTCAGCAACTCATTCCGTAGACCAGTCCGTCGAGGCTATTGGAGCTATCATCCCGAGCACTGAACGTCTAGTCCGCGTACTCTTACATCAGCAAATCCCATTCTTTGGGGTTCTCAGTGAGTCAGGGATCTAACGACTACATGGCCGCCGCGACGCAGGGTGGTCCTTCAGAATTACAAAGTATCTGCATTACCAGCTTGAACGGCTGCGTAGACGACCACGGTCGCACTGACGATTACAACGAGTCGTCTTATATTGCAGAAACTCTCGCGTTTGAACATTATTGATCGACTGAGGATTTCTCCTTGCAGGGAATTGGGATCACCTTCTCAAATCCGCTGCTCGCTATCAGCGTCAACTCTCTCGTCGATGTTCAGGCTCTCGTATCCCATGCAATGCTCGTCATCCACGATCGTCCACGCCTTCATGCACGAACCAGCTGTTTGTAGCCATGGCGTGTGATCATATCATGTTACGATCCACACTTAGGCTGCTGAACATTACAAGAGTATGACGTTCAAAGTTCTATTACCTTCGGCACGGATAAGGTCAATAATAATGATCCTCCTTTTATTGCATTTCACGCTACCAAGTACGTGCAAGGGTCTTTGACTTTAGGCGCGGGCATGATTGATACCAGAAGCCATGTGCTAAGACCATGAAAATCTGACCGGAGGCACCGAGATAGCGTAGTTGTCAACCCTTAGAAACTTTTAGCGTGGGGGTTTCAATGATACGTATCAAGAACGTCGGCTTGAGGGTTTTGAAGCGTAGCCAAGTTTGTGAGAGGAAAGAATTAAATGTAGAGGAGTCGCATTAGCGATAGGCGAATAGTTAGACTTCGGCGAATCCCACTAGACGTATGTTAGTGGAACATTGGAAAGATGAAAGACTTGAATAATGAGAGAGCACCGGTTGGATTGCGAGATAAAGGAAGTGTTGGTGATAGCCCCCATATATATCGAGACCTCAACTCGGCTTAGCCCAGCCCTACAGCCCTATGTCCATTGTCACGGGACACGCAGAAATTTTGAGATTTTCAGCCCTTAGCGCGAAACCCAATCTGCCCCGCCCTGAAACGCGCCAAGAAGTTGGTCATAAAATTGGTCAATGACGTCGACTCCCTCCTTGGCCGCCCGTACCCATTGGCCGAGTAATTCCCGCAGCGGGCGGAGCAACACGACCAACAATTACAACAATTCCACATAATTGACCTTCTTTTCCTGCACACGCCCTCCCTCCCTTCCAGAGTGCCACTGCAGACAGGACAGACATGTCGATCGTCAACACCAAGGACTACGCGAACGGGGTCGGCAACGGGGGTGGGACTGGGACGGTGGGGGGTACCAGCCAGCAGTGTGGGAGCCCGAGGATGAGAAGAAGGAGAAGTACGACTCGTCAGAGGAGCTGGGTGATGATCGGCGGCGCACGTCGATTGCGGAGGGGGAGATTTATCATAAGAAGCTGGGATGGCGGAGGTTGACGGTACTCCCCTCCCTTCCCTCCCCCTTCCCTTCCCCTCCCTCCTCCCCTTCCCCTTCGCTCAAGTCACCGCAGCTCCGTTGAGCACAATGCTGACCCCCCTCCAGGTCTGTCTAATCGTCGAAGCCATCGCGCTCGGCTCCCTGAGCATGCCATCCGCCTTCTCCAACCTAGGCATGGTCGCCGGCGTGATCATAACCGTCGGGCTGGGCATCGTCGCCATCTACACCAGCTACGTAGTCGGGCAGGTCAAGCTGCGGCATAAGCACGTGGCGCACTACGCCGACGCCGTGCAATTAATGTGGGGCCGGTTCGGCTACGAGCTCGCGAGTATCATGTTCGTTTTGTTCCTGGTGCTGCTGACGGGCTCGCATGTCCTCACTGGTACGATTGCCTGGGTGCGCATTGTGGATAAGCCGGATCTCTGTGCGTTGATTTGGGGCGCTATTTCGGCGATTCTGCTGTATTGCCTCGCTCTGCCGCCGACGTTCCATGAGTTTGCTATTCTGGGCTATATTGATTTCGCGAGCATTTGTGTGGCGATTTTCATCACGATGGTGGCCACGGGCATGGAGGCGTCGCAGGCTAAGGGCGGGATTTCGGGCGTTGCTTGGTCCGCGTGGCCGCCGGCCGATATGACGTTTGCGAAGGCGTTCCTCTCCGTGACGAATATTGCGTTCGCGTACGCTTTCGCCGTCTGCCAGTATAGCTTTATGGCGGAAATGCACACGCCGCCGGACTATGTCAAGTCTATCGTCACGCTTGGGATTATCGAGATCTTCATCTATACCTGCACCGGGGCGATTATCTACTCGTTCGTTGGTCCTGATGTCGATAGTCCTGCCATTCTCTCCGGCCACAAGACAATCTCTCGCGTCGCGTTCGGGATTGCGCTTCCCGTCATCTTCATTTCTGGGAGCATCAATACTACTGTCGTTGGAAAATACATCATGGGCCGCGTGTTCCCCACCTCGGAAGTCCGCTATGTCAACACCAAGAAAGGATGGCTCATCTGGCTCGGCTTGATCGGCGGACTCACGCTCATCGCCTGGGTGATAGCAGAGGCGATTCCGTTCTTCAATGCTCTTCTCGGCATCATCTCAAGTCTGTTCAGCAGTGGTTTCACCTTCACTTTCCCTGCTCTATTCTGGTTCTCTCTCATCAAGGAGGGCAAGTGGAACGCGAATGGGAAGAATATCGGCTTGACTATTGCTAATGTGCTGGTCTTGATTATTGGCCTCATGATATTGGTTTGCGGCACGTATGCGAGCGTGGAGGATATCTTGGAGAGCTATAAGGAGGGAAGTGTTGCGGGTTCATTCACTTGTTCGTCAAAGGCGTATGAGGGCTCCTAGCATTGCTTTGAGAGGTATATATGGAGCATAACGCATCAAGCATTTTGCGTCTATCGAGCTGTTTTTTCTATGGAAATTCTTGTATTGTTGTTGGAGATACCAAGATGTGTCAGATGCGGTCTGAATACCTGAGCACGGGTCGTTATCTGTCTATTTGCGAACAAATCACGCAAACGTTTCACCTGAGATCCTACACAGACTGGTTTATCATTAGCCAGACACTCGTAGCGATGAATACTGTTGTATAAGGCGGTCGCAATGAAAGTGAAGCAAGCGTTCAGGCCCCCTGATCTTGAAGCTGTTCTGGCTATCTTTGCCCACTTGCGCTTTCGGCCACTTAGCCGTCGCAAGGACCCTTTGAAACGATACTACTTATGCGTCCTTGAGACTTTGACAAGTCATTACAATGGCAGTATGTGCTCTGTCTTCGCTAAGTTCTTTCTATTGCACATTGCTCAATTCATAGGCGATGCAGCAGCGTTGTGGGCGCGTTGAAGGGGAGAGCAGGCCCCATCTTTATGAAGATCGTGCTGGTCTCGGTGGTCATGAGCTAGCATCGATTGCCTTAGTGATGGGCCCCCAGCCCTCCAGTTTCCTCAGCACTTGCCACGACAATCCCCCTCTTTCAGGTAGGCGATCGTTAGTTGCAGTGTTTTGATGTATCTGTCGCCGTGTTACAATGTTATTACCCATGAGGTTTATCGTACCGTTGCGTATGATCGCTTCTGTGTTTGCTAGAACTGTAACACAATGTCACCTTTTCATCAAACGAACACGGGTCCCAGTTCAGTAAACATAAGGTCGTCTCATCTTGCTTCGTCCTTGAATGTCCCGCTCGCTTGGATCAGGCTTGGTGGGTGCTCAGTAGATGGCACACTCGAAACCGAAGACGGCATATGGTCGTGCATGAGGCTTTGCGACGGTGTGCTGAACTGTGATCAGAGACTCGACCGTATGTACGGTGTCCAATGCTGTAGCGTCGTCTGAAAAACTTGCTCGCCTTGGCACACTCACATGTGCAAAGCTCTCTCCGAGATAAGACTTTCGTCTGATAAAGAGTAGCTAACCCTTTGGAATGCCAAGCATTGATTATACCTTGCAGGCTCTCACACAAGAGCGAATTCCCTCGTCGAGACGCCCGTATTGCGGAGATAGTGGGGATTGATTCGCGGATCAAATCTGGTTGCCTTATTAGGCTCCTCTTCCTCTCTCTGGTACAGAGTGTAAAGATGCTTTCCCGGGTGATCAACCTCGATCCAACCGTCTGGCAAAGGAAGTGATCGTGGATCTCGCACTTGGATTCTCCCAGTCTTGAGGTTCTTGAAATGGTCGTAATATCCACCCTTTTCTTCATCATGGTGCGCAATACATTGCCAACCCTCAGGTAGTGGGCCCAGAAAACTCTCGCCAGTCATGATACCTTCCACCCAGCATGCACCTACCACACGGAACGTCCCTTCCATTGTTGGCCGCAGCAGTAGCGGGATTTCACAACCAAAGATGACGGCAACTATATCCCCTTCTTCACAGCTGCGTGGAGCTAGGCCAATGTTGTCTCGATCGGTGACAATGAACGTCTTACCACACGCGATGTTGTGGAATGCGCAAAGAAATTTGGAGGCCTTTTCCAGATAATCTTTTTCAACAGCTTTTTTCTCGTCCTGCGCGATGACTCGGGAAAAAAATTCCAATGTCGCTTTGAAATCGAGATGTCTATGAAAGGGTGGCTCGTATTCGTCCGCGAAAGTGTTCTGGTAGATAGTGCGACATATTCGCTCTACCTGTCGATCGAAGTTCTGATCGAATCTATACCGTAGCCCCCTAATCAAGCTACGCATTACATCATGATAATGCTTCAGTCGAGAGTAACGATTGGTTTTTGGTATGGACGAGGAGTCGCTGAGAATGTCGTGCGAATCAGTGACTTTAGCGACTTCATGCCCAGTGACGACTAAAGTTTCTTGTGTAGATGTGTAATGACCGAGCCACCCCGAGTTCGCATCTGCACTAGCGTTCAGGATCGCGTAGTAGAGACAGGGAACAGCCCAATTTGGTACCCAGGAGGGCATGCTGCTGTCCTGGTCGCCGATCTCACAATAGGACAGCAGGTTTAGATCTCTAGTAGTCACAGAAGTATGAATGACGAGGTCACGATACACTTCCCCCGGAGTTTTTGTATAGTCAGGCCGTACTAAACGTCTTTCAGCTTCTGGTATAAGATGTAGAACAGCGAAGATTCGATCTCGAGGATCAGAGCACTGCGCCCACTGAGATCTCTGTAGTGTACGCCCTATCGTAAGAGGGTTACGCAGGTAGCAAATATCTGCGGCTTGCAAAAAGCAATCATGAGATTCGTACTTGGATGGTATACCTTTCTCTATAAGACAAAAGATCGATTGTCGAAAATCATTCCACGGCATTGTGTCCTTGCCACATGTGACAACAGCATGATCTCGGGATAGAAATATCTCCTGCCAGATCCACAGCCGGCTGAACCAGGTACGATTCAGCATGGATACAAGCGACGTCCAAGTTTCGTGATCGTATGGTAGAGGTTTTCTCATATCCAACCAATCTGGGTCGCAGTTGTCTTCGTGTTTCGGTAGCGGTCGGTACACGTCATCAAATCTCACATGAGACGCTGCTAGTCGAAGAGCTTGCATCGCTATTAGGCTGTCATCTGTCCCCGGCCCAAGCCACACGATGACTTTGGTGGCACATCGATAGATATCACCCATTCTGGCAACTTGGTTCGTCCGTTCTTCATTATCTTGTTGGTTGATACAAATTGCGTCTATCCACCATGTCTGCCGCTCCGATGGGTGTCGAAGATTTAAGAGCGCAGTGTGAAGGTTTTGAGTCACCGGCAATGGGTCTATTCGATTTTCGCTGACGACCGAAACAGTTTCTAACAAAGTCTGAGATCCCCACGCATATGATAGGGCCAGATAAAAAGGTGGGTTCCTGATATCGAGAATCTCCGAGGTAACATGAACCTGGATTTTGTCCGTGCCTGTCCCGGGAAGTAATGTCAAGAATCTGACATGCCCATCCTTTAGAGGCATCCGAAATGCTGACGCAGGCCGTTAAACGTCCTGTACCTTAGAGCTTGTCATAAGCCCTATTAATACATTCGAAGATGGTTGCAAAGATTCACACTACAACGTGCATGGAAGAAGAAATAGATAGCAGAAAAGGCAGAAGATTGATCACGTGATGCGCTAGCTCCATACGGAAAGGTCTCCCCCAGCACGTCATAGTAACTAGGAAGGCGATAGATCATATGCAGAACCGATAAACAACGATAAGACAGGGCTGGCATAACATTGTGACTTAGTAGCAGAAGAGCTACACTGCGCTTTGGGCGCTCTATTAGCTCCTCCTCAGCCTTGCGACGATCGTATCATCACATAAATCTCCTGACTAAAAAATCGTTGGATTTCGGCAGAAAGAGCCGCATCTGCGAAGCCCATTGAAGAGCTCCAAGATACACATTTAACTCTCGGGCTTAGCTGTAGGATTCAGCCCAAACCGTATGATAAGCTTAAGGCCGGAGTCGCGGTCTTAGACCCGGCTTCTGTAATGACCAGCCTATGTCATCGCGAGATATCTACTAGTACGACATCAAGGTAGGTAGTCTTACCTAGATAGCCATGGATTTATCAAAGAGGCATAACAAGAGTACCTTCAATACCAATGTGGACACATCAAAATCGTATTCCATTCCAGTCTACATGATCAATAGACGAGTCTTCTTTGTACGTGGACCAATTTTGTAGATGACATACTCCTCGAACCATGCCTCATATCTGTCTTAATCTCTCTGACGACTTCTCAGAGCCAAGATTCCACGACTCCGACGCAATATACAAACTTTGTCAAAATATCGACTTCCTATCCCTCATTTGGCACCGATAAATGCATACGCAATCAGAACAACATGCACTTTCACATAGAATCCTTGCAAAATGTCTCGCAGAAGGACTGTCGCCCTGGAAGTCCGCTCATCTACGCTGTTGCAAGCCCTGCTGGCTTGAGTCAAGATGAAGCTGGAAAAGCCTTTATTCGACTCGAGCAATCCTCATTCCGGTTTGCGAATGGAGATCTCCACCACGCTTCAGATAAGACTAATTTAAATGAGAGGGAAAAGAGTCAAAGGGCGTCATCGACCCCCTGGTACTACCGGAGCGTGGATGATACCCGTTTTCTACACGGGCAACCACCCAGAAGAGCGTGTGCTCGACGGGGAAAGAAGCAACATAAAATCCAGGGAGGAGCAGCTAATCAAAATAGACTCAGGCAGTGAAGACCTCAGCCAATGGATCTTCGATAACGAAACTGAAGGTGACGAAAACCCAAGTGAGAGAGATTGTGGCGACGATGGCCCAAGGTTTGAAGGCCTCATTGATGACGACGCAAGTGCTAAAGACAACAGTGAGGAAGACATGGCCGATGAGGACCTGGGAATCGGAGGCACAAGTGATGATGACCTGACCGACAAAGAGCTCGGTGACATAGACCCAAGTCATGAGGACCAAGGTCTTGAGGGCGCTATCGACCGATCTATCATACGTGAATCCCACATAATTCAATATATTCAAGATACGTCGGGCGAGAATAGCCCTTTTCCAAATTGCCATGTTGAGGCCGAGATCTATTCTTCTTCCGGACATCAGGTCGGCACGATCACTGTCGCCTCCGAAGTCTTCAGAAATGATCCCAAATGTTTAGGCGAAGTGATTTCACTGTCTTCAGACGCCAAGAAAGGAACCGATGAGTTTTGTACATGGGATTCCACGGACTGTGATATGGGGGCAATTAATCATGTCTATCGATGTCGACTTGCCTAGAGCTATACTGTCATGTTGATCGAGTGGTAAGGTAATGTTGCGATTCGTCGAAGCCTGGGAGAAGTAGAGAAGCGGAAGTGAGACAAGTTGCATACTCAGACCAAGGAAATTGTGTTATGGTGACGCCGTCGCATCGGGCTTTCCTAGTCGGCAAAGTAGCTACCTTCATGGACAGTGGACTCTTTCCCCATTTACGTATCCTGTGTATGAGGCAATTTACCCTTTCATAGATTAGTGGATTACTTCACAAACAGCGCGTTCGGTGGAAGTAGTCTTCCGAGTCTAAAAGGCGACGTTAGGCCTTTCCATATGACTCTTGTTTTCCTCACATATAGACAGACTCGTATAATAGAGGCATAAGAGGGGCAATCTTCCACTTGGCTATCCAATAAATCAAAGGATCGTGCTATTCGCACTTAAGGAGTCGAAAGCTTGTCAAAAAGCCGATCTGCACTGTACAAAGCAACCTCTTGTGAATAGTTAAGAATCACACCAAAAGATTTTCTTAAAACCAAGTTCTTGATCTCATCTTCTGACGGATGTGGTATCTATCTTCTTGTAGAGAACTTTGACAAACAAGATAATATGTCAAAGAGTGGGGAAGACACACGATCTCGATCACATGAACTGATTCCGAATTTCGGAAGTTTGAATGCTACACGTCGACATGAAATGCTTGGCTCAGGGCAAATCAGCATCTAGATGGGTGAAAGAGCCAAGGAAGCCGAGACGCTGGTAGGCGACGCCAGTATTCTCTAGTCTGATAGTTAGTACAGCCATGTGAATCCTTCGGCTTTCTTCAGCCCCGCAATCGGTAGTCTAGCGTGTTTAGATCGAAGCCTAAGATTCCCTCGCTCCTGCAAGGAATCTGTCATGCCTCTCTCGAAGGAAAACATCTTCGTTCGCCTGGTGGCCTCGAAAGTGACTCAAGGGTCCAAAGCGAACGACTACTGCACCAATGATCAGTGACATCATCACTGCTGAAGGGCGACTCCTGACCCATTTTGTAAAGAGCTAAGGGGTCGTTCCGCCCTCGTTACGAGGATATCACGCCGGTCTGTACTTGGTGCTTTAGCGAGCTAATCATCGCTGTGGATTACAGCCGAAACGACTTGAGTTCACTAGACGTAAAGTTAGCTCATGAACACTTTCCTCCGTAGTTGTACTTAAAGTGAACGTCGACGCCCTTGTTTCCTGATCGCATTAGCGATCTACGACGACGACTTGAGTATTCAGCAATGGCGGGCGCTATCGACTTGTCGACAAGTGAAGGCCTTGTGGAGAGAATAGCAGTGCACAAAGTCTCTCTTCTACTTGGCTGCTTGACACTGTACTTGCTATTCTTAGTGACGTGGCGATTGTATTTGAGTCCTCTGGCCAAAATACCAGGACCAAAGCTAGCAGCATTGACTCACTGGTACGAGACCTACCTTGAGATCGTCAAAGGAGAAGGGGGACAGTTCCTCTTCGAATATCGGAAGTGGCACGAAGTGTACGGACCCATCGTTCGAATCAGCCCATCTGAAGTCCACATACAAGACAAAGACTTCTACAGCGAGCTCTTTAGACTACCGTATGACAAGCCACGTAAATTGCAGTACCGCTTCAGTAATCCGACCGCGACATTTCAAACACCGGATTTCCGAACGCATAAGAATAGACGAGCAGCTTTGAACCCATTCTTCTCCCAAAAGAAGATAGCAGAATACGCTCCGGCCATACAGAAGCGTGTTGATAGGCTCACTGATCGCTTGAAAGCCGAATATGCTGGCAAAGACCGCGTGCTGCACTTGAACGACGCGTGGGGATGCTTGACGACAGACACCATCATCGCGTACTGCTTTGAGCGCGAATACCACTTCACCGAATCACCAGACTTCAAGTCAGACTTTGCGCAGGCAATCTCAGATCTCATGGACGGCGTCCACATGGTGACCCAATTTCCCCTCTTACCGCGCATCTTCCAGAGCTTGCCAGACTCCATGGTGATCGCAATGCAGCCCGGCATGAAGTCCGTCGTCAACTTCAACAACGTAAGCCATCCCCTCCATCCCCTCCCAGCCCAACCTATCCAAAATCCCCTAACAAAACTCCAAAAGCAAATGCTCCTCCAAGCCTCCAACACCCTCAGCAACAAACACACCCCCTCCTCCCCCGCAAAATCCCAAGACACAGTCTTCAACGCCCTCCTTTCCTCCACCCCGCCCCTCCCCGCCGACGAACTCACGGCCCCGCGCCTCCAACACGAAGCCATCAGCCTCGTCGGCGCGGGGATCGACACCACCAAACGCGCCCTCGTCGTCGCAAGTTTCCACATCCTCGCCAACCCCTCCATCTCCTCCTCCCTGCGTCGTGAGCTGATGGCCGCAATCCCCGACCCCTCTTCCATCCCCCCGCTGCAGGACTTGCAGCGACTCCCTATTTGGGCGCGTGCGTGGAGGAGACGCTACGCTTGTCGTACGGGACGTCGCAGCGCAACACGCGAGTTTCGCAGACGGTAGCGACGAGGTATAAGGGGTACAGCATCCCGGCGGGGACGGAGATTAGTATGTCGACGTATGCGATGGCGCACGATGAAGGTGTGTTTCCGGAGAGTTTTGCGTTTGAGCCGGAGAGGTGGATGGGCGGGGGCGGGGGCGGGGGCGATGACGAGAAGGTGTTGGGTAAGTATATGGTTTCCTTCGGCCGGGGGAATAGGATTTTTTTGGGCATGCATCTCGCGTATGCGGAGATTTTCTTGGGGATAGCGACGCTGTTTCGGCGGTGTGAGATGGAGTTGTATCAGACGGGCAGGGAGGACGTGGAGTGTAAGCGGGATATGTTTATGCCGATGCCCGGGAGAGGGTCTAAGGGTGTTAGGGTGCTGGTGAGGTAGGGGGGTCTGTTGGAGGGAAAAGGGGGTGGTGGAGAGTGGGGTGGGGAATGATGGGAGGGAGGGGAGAAGGAGGGGGAATTGTTTGTTAGAATAGCGTAGGATGTTGAAGAGGGTGATGGGTTCGCGAGGAATTTAAAGAAAAGATGAGAGGTGGGCACGGCGGAGTAGTGTAGCGATTGCTGTATCCATGGAATCTTTCTATAATGATCGGTGTTTGGTTGAAAGACCTAATGGCTCTGACTTCACTATATATGATTGTCCGTTAACGAGTCATCATGGCGAGAGGAAAGAATACAATGAAGTTCCCTGGCTTTTTAGATGCCCCTTTTGTAACTCTTGTCGGTCATGTAAGCATATCCATGTGACTGTTGACGCCGCGTTGAAGCAGCCTCCTTTGTTTGAGACGCTCTCGCAGCCATCTAGGTTGTTTTGTGATGCAGAACAAATGCTCAAAATCAATCACGTACATGCATTGGAGAGCGCAAGTTGCAATATCGAAACATCAGCGTTGTGAAGTGTAAAGGTAATCAGAATTGAGTTAGCAAGACTTAGTGTACATTTTCCTTGCAAAGCATCATGCTACCAAAGCCGCTATGGTCGCCGAGCTGCCAAAGCAAAATTAAATTTTGAGATTCGAACCATTATTGCCAGGGACAGTCCATTATCGGCTCTTGCTGCGGACTGAATAGTCTGAAAGACCCCAATTTAGGGATCAACTAAGATTTTAGTCAGTCACACCATCGTCACGAGCCTTGAGTGAATTACCATCAGCGTCAGCAGTTTCATCGCTTGTGCTGTCGGATGACTCTTGGGCCTCCGATTGGTCCTGCCCCGGCGAAGACGGGCAAGAGAGTGGTAGAGAGGTACAGACATTATATCCCGGAGTGATATTACACTCGGAGTCAAGATCAGGATTGTATGTTCGGAACGCCGTTTCCGGTACGCCGATCGTCGCAGCGATGCTCTTACAAGTATCGCCGTCCTTGACGGTGTAGATGTCGCATGAGTAGGGGAGACAGACGACGTTGCCCTCAGATGGAAGATTGGAGCCATTGGATAGAAGGCCGTTGATGTTCAGGAAGACGCTCGTGGAGACATTCGTGTTTTGGGAGATGCTGACGAAGGTATCGGTGGATCTTATCTTGTGCAGGTTCCCTGTGGGGCAGGAGTTGATGAGGTCGAAGGAGCCGCCGTTCGAGCTTGAATTGACTTGTGGGGTAGTTCCATTGGCTATTTGCGTGACATTCGTGTTTGTGTGGCTCACGCCTGTGCTGGCGCCTCCGGTGGTGACCTCACCGTCGCCTTGTCCGGTGCTTTGGTCTCGAGGGACATACAATGATCGAGCAGAAATTGCAGCTACAAAGACTGTGATTGCGAAAATTTGATTCTTCATTTTGATGCAGATGAGGTCGAATGAGAGTCTGAGAGAGTCTGGAAGAAGGATTGAGTTCTCTTGTGGCGGTTTTGCAGGATATCGACGATGTTTTCAAGGAACAAAACCGGTGACCTCCACATTTTATATTATCTCAATCCTGATATCCGGTCTGGTGTTACAAAAAATGTCTTGGAATGCAACAGAGCCTCATTCTCGGAAAGGTCGCGCTGACCAATGACTCTGGCAAATGATTGTTTGATTTAGGCGCATATAACGCCCCATCGTTTCGTAGCTTCCTCGGTGTCGGATTTGAGTACTAAATCTAATGAGAAAGGTTTTGTCGTAGGCGCGATAGACTGACAGTCCTTCACAGCATTTCCATCGGGTGAGCTACTGACTCAGTTGGGTGTTGATGATTACGTTATCGCTCACCGTCGATTGACGCGGAACGATCCACTCTGTTCCAGGATTCAATCGCTGCCTCGCAAGTGTCCAGGGAAGTGAGAAGGACCGCGGTCGAGGATGAATCATTAGGCGACATTCTGTGAAGAGTTGATGCAACAACAAGATCTCAGTGACTCAAAAGCCATATCAATGTACAGATGCATTCGTGTCTATCTTGCCGATGCCGAGCCTGCTCACCCGAGGCCCCTTAACTGGATACCGTGTCGACTCTGCTATTGTGGACGCTAATTATGGTGAATCCATGATAACCCTAAAGGCTTCTACAAACCATACTCGATTCTCATCTACATCGCTGATGCCGCCGAAACCCAAACGCTTAGAATCTCCCACAGGCCACGAGCCACAGGCGACTAGTACGTCCACTGCGATATTATACACGTCTGCATAGCTGAAGATTGCAATTGCTTCACTACTGCGCGTGCCAAGCTTTAGGTGACAGGTCTCGGTCGTCCACGTCGAGAAATTACCAACTTTGCGTGGGCCAAAGATCTGCTGCTTGTCAAACAGGGCTTCTTCATGGAGCAGGGCCAAGGATTCGTCGCAATCGGATAGCTCGATGGGCACAAGTGTGGTCTCATGGGTCTTTGATGGATAGCAGTCGCATCGTCTTTCAAAAGTGATGTTAGATGTCGTATTTTGGGGCAGAATTCTCAGGTCTGTTGGCACCGTAATCGTAACCCCAACGAAAATGATAACCGCGCTCAAGAGTGATCTTCGTATGCTTCCCACTTCCCAACAACAGTTTGGAAGTAAGATATGTAGGCCCTGCGCTCCAAGGAATAGATCCAAACGGGGCTTCAATCGCTGGCCTATGCTAATGTTCTATTTATTGTCCCACTTTGGCGTCAAGCTCGAGTAATTGCAGAAGGTTTCGACGAGATAACAATCTTGTCACTAGTATCAAGATTTTTCTAATAGCATGTAGTGTTCTTTGGCTTAGGCCTGACTCTAAGGTCTCTTCTCATAGCCCATTTGCGCAGTATCTATGCCAGGAGAAACAGTGAGGTATTCGAGCAGAACTAGAGCAGACGTCATAAGTGTAAATCTTCACGCCAATTTGATCAGCTGAATGTTTCCAGAGATAACAACTCCATTGTGAAAGCTTGATGTCACTGGAGATCGATTATCGCGCCTGATCCAAAAACCAACGTCAAGATGTCTCACTCTGGGGACATTCAAGAATCTCAGCGGAACGCGGCCTTAGCCGACACGCAAGGGCGGGATGGAGCATGTTTTCATATTACCATTGTTATATGTCTCGAGTCTTGAATTTATCGCACTCTTGAGTTCGCGGAATTATGGTGTCCGACTGCCGCCTGCAAGCTTTGACAAGCCCACCCAATAGCATTCTGGACGAGTCGGGTTCGTAACTAAGGAGTAGCCTTGTCTGTACCATAAACTACCAGAAGCTATGCTGTCAATGCGTAGGCTTCTTGATCCCTGTACGCCTCGGGATCTGATGCTGGCGTCTGCATTGCAACCCTCATTCTCTTTGAGACATATACACGTAGTGAGATGGACTTGCCTCTCAAGAAGGGCGGGGATGAATTTTGATCCGAGCATATAACGTAGCTGTAATTCATATGAATGTTCGAGACTGGTTTAATGGGGGCGTCCTTGTCTGAAAATGCAATGAAGAAAAGCAGGAGGCGGGATTGTCTTGGTATCAATACAGTCCTTTCCGTACTGTAATGCAGTTAGCCCGTCCTTTCCGTATGAATCACGTAATATTTTATTGATCTTTTACTCTGATCTTTCCATTTGTCTTCATCACATCCCACTTCCTGCGCAATCCTCAACCATATAACATTCTCTTAGTCAGTCTATCTGATGGCTCTTTAGAGTCCAACTCAATCTGCAGCTGGTCATACGTGGCATCCGCACCTCTTCCGTTGACGACAAAGCGGACTCTCATGGTCTTGCTCAGCTGCCCGCTCAGAGCAGCGCCTTGCAGCTTCCTGATTTCGTCCTCTCCCAGAGCCGCCAGGAGCGATACTACACCAAAGTCGTCACTAATAGGTGTTCCAAATAATGTCAACTTCGCCGCAAGAGCAAGTATAGTGAGAACAGGGTGAATGACTAGGATAACTACCAGCCACCGACTTCTTTTGAGAGTGAGCACGCGCCTGACCATCTCAATCTGATCACTCCGTTTAGGATAGCTCAGATGGTAATCCACAGGCCCAACATTGTTCTCATGGGTCGGTCGTTCTGGCCCATCCAGACTGACAATGCGAGCCCAGATCATCGCAGCTACTAAAGGAGAGCGAGTGTTGATCTTTGGCACGAACACTGGTTCTGCGAGCGTCGAATCTGGCAAGCGTTGATTGTATCTTCCCCTTGCCGTGTAGTCGAACTCGCCTAGAAATTGATTGAAAATCGTACCAATCTCGAGCGCGTTCTTCTGGATGACTAACTGATCGTTGATAGCTTGATCGGCTCGTATAAGATTGCGAACGCCAATCAAGGTCGCGTTAGTCCGAGTTACATTCCAGGTACCTGTGCAGGTCCGTCGTGTCGTGATGAAACGCTCTGCTTGGGATGCGAATGTTTGTCCCGATGCGGGATCCCAACGAGACAGGTAAGTCTCATTGAAAATATTGCCGTCTTTGCCCTGTCCACTCCAAATTTCGTAGGGGGTCTTTCCACCAGGTCCAGGTGAGTTAATTGGGTTCGGGTATGTATCATTTGTTTCTGTCCAAAAGTTATTGTCTGCCCGCTGCGCTGGTGATGGGTTGATTCTCTCAGTAACTGTTGTATTAACGTCTACCTCGAGAGTGGCAGATTGATAGAGTTCGAGGGAGGACTGGAGCTTCACCAGGGTCCCTGGAAGAGGTGCATCAAGAATAGCTGAGGTGTCATTGTCGGCAACAAACAGGTTAAATCCGTATGTGCGGTTGAGAGCCGGATGTAACCAGAATGGCAAATAAACATTGGGAAGCAGCGAGAGACCATTACCAATCAACTGATACCCTGGTGCCGCTGTCATACCAAAATCCATACCAGGTGCCTTGACCTCACGTTCCGTGGCTCCTCCGCTGAACACCTTGTACGAAGCGCTCAGACCTAGAGGCAGAAGCAGCAAAAACCATATGACCACCCGAGGCTGCCAGCTCATCCTCGAGGCAAAATACTCACATCGTAAGATCGCATCGAAGTTCTGCAAAGTGGAAGCGCCGGTCCGGGCCTCGGAAAGCAGCGTCAGCTTTCGAACTTGCCTCGCACTACAGAAGCTCATAAGAGACAGGACGAAACCTAGGACGACAAGTTGATTCGTCTGCCCAAGTGACATCGCGGTATTCCTATTGAAGACTGCAACGAGCCCAATGACCGAGAAGAGGAGCACACCCAGAAGGGAAGCCAAGTCTATCCAGCTTAGGCGCTCTGGCCGACATGGAACCCCCACTGCCTTCTGTGATGGCAGAATGTGTCCTTTTTGATTACGATCTTGAAGAAGCATGGAGTGATCAGTATCAATATGCGCCATCTTGTAGGTAGTCTGCTAAGTGAAATGATTTTCGATCAATTCCCTGCGGGCGAAGGGTGGCGTCCACGACTCTACAGAAAGATAGCAGCCTGCCGCCAAACACAGATCACCGACAGCGATATCAGTCACCGCTCCACCAAATCATCCGATGTCAGCATTCCCAAGAGATCGGATGCAAACTGTACCTCATGAGCATTCTGTCAAGGTGTGGGAGAAAGAAGAGAAAGGAAAAGCGAGGCAGGAGATGAAGATGGAGAGATCTATCTACGATCTGGTAGGGCAGAGGGCTGAGATGCGGCTAAGCATGCAAATTTGCCGCAAACCCACGCGAAGGATTCGAATCACCAGTTGAAATGCAATCCTACAGCCCTACGCATCCTTCTCAGATCCCACAATTTACCTCAAAGACGTTGGCGAGAGATGGAACTTCACCACAAAAAGCTAATGTGACTTGGAAACCAAGGAACTTCGGGCACCACTGCCCTACCGAATTATCTGTCTTGCAGGTGGCGTATTCCCAACGAGTAGTTAGTGTGGTGCCTATTATTATTCCTGGGCTCCAGTGGATCTGGACGTCGAGGCGGGAGCGCCCCTAAAAGCACCCGCCTCTGTTCCCCTGGAAACGAAACTCTTCATCTGGAGGTCCCTGTATGTCGATACAAGGAGACATACAACACCTCTGTTAGACCCTGGGATGCACCAAATTCTTGTGTGTGGTGTTGGGAACACTGCTTAATACACCAGACTTCGGTATTTTTGTATGAGAAAACTGCAAGAATCATTGAAGAAGCACTGCCGTATGAGCTCATCAAAAGCTGCCATGCAAGCCACAAGTGCGCGCAGCTAGATCCCCTTATGTCACCGCCGCCTCAAGTGCGGCTCGGAAGCGGATTGCGCACTGCGGGCGGATCTTGGCTGACATGCTTCCTGGTCACAAGATGAAATTTACCAACTGACAAGTTCGATGCTGTTTTAGGCTACTGAGGTGTGTAGTGAAGCTTTAGGGCCTAGGTGCTAAAGATACCCTCGACTTCGCCTGCGTGATTCGGAGGTATACCCTACAGGCCCCTTTCTTTTTACATAGCTAATGCCTGGCCATGCTCGAGGATGATAACGAAGCCGCGTTGAGAGCTTGATAAGCGAGGTGAGGTCAACCCTGAGGAGCAGGGGCAACTATTACCGCCCGGTTTATGGGCCAAATGACGTCCTTAGCAATGATAAGGGCTCATTCCGTCATTCTCCCAGAACAGCTAATGACTGGTCAAAGATCAACGTTGATGCTAGACTAGATTGGATTTGTGGCGCAATCTAGTATTCCATTCTCGGCCAGACGCCACCTGCTTGCTGTATGGGCTGCCGTGCATAGCTAGATGCATGAGACTAGAGTCCGCGAGCCGTCCTAGCAGTCCCATGAATAATGTCAATGCAGCTAGACGACTAGTCACCCCACTCTACTATACAATTACGGCCTCAATCTTTACTTTCTCTCTCAGTTCTCGAGACTGCTTCCAGCCTCCATCGCTCACCGCAATCATGCCGACCGCAATTCCACGAGGATACCCATCCATCAACCTTGCCCCCCTCTTCTTCTGCAGTCCAGGCGAGAAGTCCAATTGCCCACCAGCTCTAAAGTCGTCCCCCACCCCCACAGCGGCCAAACCTCCCAGCTCCTTAGCCCAGAAATGTCGTGGATGCGACTTGACCTTCGACACGAAGAACAAGCTCTTCGACCACATTCGCGCTTACAGCGACCACCAAATCGACGACCCCCTGATCAGTGCCGGCTTCGACAGTCCCGCCCCATGGCCCGCTGGCACGCAGTTGCGAGTCAAGGTCCTAGCGGGCGAGCAAATCGATGACGAGATAGTTGAAATTGTCAAGAGCGCTGCGGGTGCGTGGGTGGATGGCCTCGTCGACGACTCCATTGCGTTGCATTGGGTCGCTAGCCATGAGTCTGCCGAGCTTCGCATTTCGTTCCGGAATGATGCCCCCAACTGGAGCGCCCTGGGCACCAAAGCCAACTTCTATGATCAGAGTAGGGCGACGATGAATTTTGCGTTTGGGGGCTGGGGGGACAAGAGGTTGGTGTTCTCGCACAAGCAGATTCGAAGGGCTGCGTGCCACTTGTTTGGTCATGCGCTGGGCTTGTAAGTAGTGTGTGGCATTCTCTCGGATCCAGATCGCTGCGAATTGCGAATTGTGTTGACGAGTGAGATTTGCATCGCAGACCACATGCACGGAATCAGTCCACAGCTTCTTGGAACGCGATTGAGCTCAAGAAGGCGTATGGCTCGTTCTTCGCGACTGTGATCGAGGCTGCGAAAGGATGCGATCGCCTGCAGAGCGCGCAGTCCATCATGGCTTTTGATCGCCCAGCTGCGCTCGGGTCTGGTACTGATGAACACCGCGGCGGCTCTGTCATAGATGCTGAGGCCAAAGCTCTCCTGCAGACACTTTATCCCCGAGTCCCCGAGGTCTTCAGTCGCGACGTCTGGTGTTCTGGTGTTTCCGGCTGGTCTGGAGGGATCGATCGTCCACCCGCTATCCTAAGACTGGACACTAAGCAGACGGCCAATGTCGTCACGGGCATTTGCAGGATTGACATGGGTCTCAATGGGAACTTTCGTCTTGATTCTTACGCACAGAACCTGCAAGCAGGGTCTGGATATAATGTAGTGCTTGGGAGCTGGGCTGACACGCAGATCTGCGATGCAACATGTGCGGTGCTATCGTTCGAAGAAGGGGATAGCAGGGTGCAGACTGGTCGCGAGAAGTACAGCGAGATGAGGGAAAAAGCGGGGGAGGCGCCGCGCGCAGGGGCTGGATACAAGAAAAGGATTAACTTCACTCGGCCGTTCAAGCAGGTTCCGAAGGTTGTCACTTTCCTCAGTGGCCTGGACAGTATCAAAGGAAGGAACGTCAGACTCGAGGTCTCTCCCAGTATTGTCGATTGTCACGGTTTCACCATCAATCTGTGGACTTGGGACAGTGAGTCATTCCCCTCAACCCAACCCCCCCCTCCCCGCCAGTAACCATTGACTGTGTTGGTTGCCCAAGCATCACGCATATTAACGCCGTGCAGATACCACAGTCTACGACATGATAGTCTCCTGGCTAGCGCACGAGCCCGACGAGCACTCCATCCGCTCCGGTTCCTTCGACAACGCACTCCATCCAGACAGAATCTTGGCGGAGACACCAACCGCTGCATATAGCACCCCGATGCGTCGAAAACCAAAAACCGTCTTCCGCGCGTTGTCGCAGATGGATCTCAACGCTAGTCAGCATGTTCGTGTGGATTATCAGGTGCTCAAGTGGGATGAGAAGAGCGTTGATGCCAAGTTCTCGACGTGGAGTGAGGAAAGTAAGTATTTTTGTTTGAAAGGGATCTATGTTGCGGTGATGTAGGTCAGGTCTTTCAGAGGTATGAATGTGGAAAGTTTTGTGGGATTGATCTGTCCATTTTCATCGCTTACGCATCCGTTTTCCACTATAAAGAAATATAGTCTTACCCGTTCGTACTCCATCAAACCACATAAGCATCAACTCTCGTGAATATTCGTTACCAGGCCGAACGCTCATTCCCGCGTCTTACCAGACATCGCCTTCCGATCGTTCATCTCCTTAATATTCAAAGCAGCGAGAATCTTGAATTTCTCAATGACCCGCAGATTCCGCTCCTCTTGCGCCTCTGCCTCCGGTCCCTCCTTTGCCTCTTCATGATCCAGATGCATCGAGCCCGGCTGGCGATTCAAGACCGATTTACCCCAGCCCTTATATTTCTCCGCAGCCGACATCTTCGCGCCTTTCTTTTGGGCAACATTTCCATCGGCTGCCTCCACCTTCTTCCCCTCCATCCCAACGGCTGCATCCTCCGTCCCCCCTTTCTTGCCGGAAAGCTTCTTCATCGCCTCCTTACCCTCCTTGATCAACTTTGGATCGCTCACTTTCTTCTCATGATGTTCGCTCCTATTCTCTCGATGCTCGCTCACCGCCTCCGCCACCTCCTGCGCCACCTCCAATCCCCCTTCCACCGAGGCTTGGGTGGCCTCCGTGAGAATTGTAAGATCGCCAGTCTGTAAGAACGCGAGCACCAAAGCTGCGATCGCCACAACACCGAAAACCACCACGGCACCGACTTTGATGCCTGTGATAACGCCTTCTGTAAGTTTGTCGCGTTCCATGTCTGCTGCCGCCGCGCCAATCGCTTCCTTGGTCTTGTCGTCAAGCACGAAAACGCTATGTCTGCGGCGGCACTCCATCATGAGGGCGTCGATGGCGCGGATCTCGATCTTGATGTCCTTGGTGGAAATGGCCTCGCCTTTCAGCAACTTGTCGCGCCTGAGGGCTATGGATTCCGGCTCTTCTGCTTCATGCTCTTGTTGTTCTTCGCTATCGCTTTCGACGTGTAGACTCAGAGTCTCGGCAAGCTCCTTCTTGAAGATTTTAAGGGGTTTCTTGTGGTCGGTATTCTGCTCTTCGTCTGCATCGCCGGATTCTGGCTCATCCAGACCAATATTTACGATCGCTTCGTCATCTTCTGCGGCAGACCCGTGCTCGTCTCCTCCAGGAAGCTCTTTTGGGACTTTGGAAATCTTCCCCTTTGGCGGGTTCGTTGGGTCGCTGGGTACTTCGTCGGGCATGTCATCATTAAAAGCTTCGCCTTCATCATCAGGCTCGGCTTTGTCTTCGAGACCGTCCTCATTGATCTCATCGCTTTCATCGGGGTAAGCTAGTTCTTCTCCTTCCGCATCGTCTCTTTGCATCGTTTTGGCTTTCTTTTGAGAGGGTTTCGCTGGATCATCGGACATATCGGAGGACTCAATACCAAGTTGATCATAAACTCTAGCTTCCTCGTTCATCTTGGTTGCAGGGTCCATTGCGTCTGTCATGTTCGTATCGAGGTCTTCTTCAGAGGCCTTCTTTTTAATAGGGGTATCGTCAACGACGTCCTCGCGGGACCCTACCTTCTTGCCCAGAGCATTCTTCTTTGCGTTTGTTGAAACTCTGTCTAGGGAATCTTTTGTCTCCTTTGCTTCAGGACCGTCCTCTTCAGCCTGGGTCTGGCTGGTTTGACGAGTTCCATCTACATCCTTTGCATGATCCCGCTTTCGTTTTTTGTTTATCATGAACTTCTTCTCCCGCGGCACTCTGTCTTCCTCATATATCGCATCAGCTTCCTTGATTGGGTTGTCTACAGCCCATCTCTCCTCTTCCTCTGGTGTGGACTGCGCTTCGGGCCTTTTGCTCAGCGTCGCAGGTTTCTGCGCTTGCTTATTCTTATGATGCAATAAATCTTTGACTCCTGTTACAGGCGACACACTACGTGACAGTGGGCTTCTGTGGCTGTTGTTCTTGCCGGGCAATGGTTTAAGTACCTGGCCTTGAACAACCTTCTTTCTTTTCAAAAAATCATATGGCTGTTTCTGTTCATTTCCGGATGAATCGTCTTGGGTTTTAGGCTTAGTTCCAGAGTTTCGCAAATTCTTTGACTTTTGAATCTTGACCTTTTGCCGTTCCTTATCCTTTCCTTTTTCCATAAACGCGTGTGTCTGTGGGCTTGATGTGGCGCCCTTAGCATTGTGTGCCGGGGATGGTGATTCGTCCCCCAGCGAAGGTTTTGATACCTTGGACTTTGTAGGTTTCATAGGCTTCATTTTGGTCTTTTCCATAGAGCGGTAACCATGATTCAAGTGGGGCTAAGGAGCCGCCTTCTTAATGTCTTAAAACGAGCTCGTCTGCGCGATCGGGGACCATACAATGACGTCTGGTTCTAGAACATAGGTTCATGCAAGTGACAAAGCCACTTGATAAGCTTTCAGACTTGTGGAAATTCGTTGTCCCAAAATGGCGAGGATATCAAATTAGTGCGGTCCTATGATGGCACGAAGGATCTAGTAAGTCCCAAATTAGGAAGGCCAGCTTTTGGCCGCGTACGTACGCTAGCCTGGCGCCTCGCAATTATTCCCCTGCAAGATGTCACACCATCACACAATCACACAACGGCTACGGCAAAGACGGCATGATGATGCACTGTTCAGAACTTTAGCCGAATGCGACCTCTTTTCGGACTGTGGCTTGTGATAGTGCACCTGACATCCTCTCCCATACCGGTCATAGTAAGACAGCGCGAGTCTACAGGAGTGGGAGGTCAGCCATTGATTGGCTCACTAATCATTGGCTCACTATCTTGTCTGGCGTCTTTAACGACCTTCCTTTCTTAGATCGTGGATAAGACGATAGATTCCCCAGCAACGACGATTGTAACAAGCGGCGAGCTTTACAGCCGAATGCTAATCCCTAGGGATTTTAGCCATAATTGAAGCAGGATGTGCCAAACTCTCGCAAGCCATCCAATGCCTCGATCCAAGGAGTCAATCGCCATGCAAGGTCTCTTGGGTCGTATGATGCCCAAAGGGCTTTAGCGTCGCTCGTGTACATGTAGCAAAGACATTATTGTCAAGATTCGATTCTTGCCTCGTAACTCTCGCATGCGAACATGTCCCTCGAAGCCTTACTCGCGCCAAACGTGCACAAGTACGCGGCCGCAACAAATGGCAAATATCTATCAACACGTCTTCTCACACACAACGGCGTCACAATTGCCTTTGCATTAGGGCGAACGCAAGGAAGCAGCAGCAGAGAGCTATTCTTCGTTTACTCCATCCTCAATGCTGCAGATCCAGATACCAACGAGCCCCAGGTGCCTGGCGGCGACAAAAGCAAGTCCTCGAGCGGAGCCGACAAGCTTGACTCGCAGTCCTGGTTCGAGAATGTACGGCCACTGCGCTTTAGTACGGAGATTAGAGTTGTGGGCGAGGAGGCCGTGCCTGTGTACCAGATTCCGGCTGTGGACCGCACAAACCATCTCGTCAACGTCGTTCATCAGCCCCAGAAGCTCGATCCATGGCTCTCCACATCGCTGAGTTTAATGGATGAAGACGTCACAAATTTTGAGGTCTTTTCAGATGGACGATACATCTACTTATTTCGGCAAGGTCGCTCGGCCTCTGCTGGATTTGCAAATAGGCTCGTAAACGCTGAAGAGAGAAGTCTTCCCCCGATCGATGGAAACCTTCTCTGTGATCGCTTCAATCTTGTTGGAAGTACCATCAGTAGGACACTGGAGGTGCGCTACAGGAGAAGCCGGCAAAAGCGCTTTCCGTTGAACGAGCATGATACTCTCGCAGTGCGCGATATCAACGACGTGCCATTCTACGAGCCAACCTTCTCCATTCGGTTTGTCCGAGACTTAGTCGATGGTCGTTTTTCTGTTCTTCAGACTCCCACCATGACAAACGATGTGTCGCGATGGATGATTTTTGCCTTTTCCAAGCGCTCGCAACAAATCGATTGCTTTACGACCGATGTTGCCAATGATGGGCTCTTTGATATTCATGGTCAGATATATTACACATGTGAATCCAAAGATCATGAGGAAACCTTTTCCAATGCGCCTGGATCTTGTGCTGCCATCTCAAAAGGCGACAGAGGGTCCTGTGGTCAGCCAAAACAAGCGATTGTACCTAAAGCGGCTCTTTCTGAAAGAGCAATCGCGTTGGACAAGGAGACGATCAGCACACAAGTACGACTCGAAACGCCTATATCGTTGTCCGGGCCTGCACTCTTGGGAGGCTTTACACTCGAAGCCTGGGTGGCTCCCATCTCATTTTGGGTTGTGGAAGAACACGAAGTCACTGAGGATGCCGAATCAACCAAGGCGAAGGACTCAGAGTTGCCACCACCGGGGTCATCATTCTGCCTGTTTTCACAGGATGCTGCACAACAGAAAGCTAGCCCATCTGTGTTCATCGATGACAAACTCCGCGTTGTGTTGCGCCTGAGCGGCGAATCTCCAATCCTTCTGACGTCAGACCAGAGCCTAAAGATAGACGAATGGAACCACGTCGCACTCACATATACCTCCAGCACGCGAGCTTATGCATTAATCGTCGACGGTATTGCGCCTTTGACCTTGCCGTATGTACTCCCAGAGGATTCAAATCCGGGCGTACTTGCAGGCTTAGCATCCCAAGTTGGCGAATCGAAATTTGGATTCCAGGGCCAGCTGGATGAGGTACGCCTTTGGAGACATCCTTTCCATCCAGCGACAATCAAAGCCAAAAGCTCCAGCCGGACAACAGGGATGGAACCACTGCTGGAAGCCTGCTGGCATTTCGACGAGGGAACCGGCACTAAAGCGTACGACTCCACGAGAAGTGGCCATGATATTACCATCCTAGATGAGGTATCCAAAGAAAGGGCTCCAGAGATATGGGTAGAGTCGACGGCTCCTTTGGTAAGTAACTTCGGCCTTACAAAGCGAACTCTGCGCTTAGCTTCGAACGTCACCATCCGTGGTGGTCTGGGGGCAGGCATATACCACGAGCAAGTCTCGGTATCACAAAAAACTGCAGAAGACAACAAGGAGGCTACAAAGCCTCTGAAACGTGGTGCGCGAATCCTGCTGTGCTTCGTAGCAAGCACAGGAGACATGTCGCCGTCCATTGCCATACTTGATTTCGGGCTTATGTCGGATGGCACGCTTTGCGATTCTCCTGCTACGCTACCCCTTCCTTCTCTTCCGCTCCTGGACACCTCGCTCAAGGGTCAGGTTGCACAGCGAGCATCGACTGCCTTACTTTACGTCGACGCTCAAGGTATGGAGACATTTGGGGGTTTGTTCGCGATGGACGCAGCTACGTGCACGTCAGACTGTCCATGCGTTTGGGATTCAGCTACTGGAACAATCAGTGTATTCTATCGGAGTCTTTCAGGAGTTCTGTCTGCTCTCACGTATGACACCTCACGTTCTGTCATTTTGTCTGCTCTGCAGGGCATGAGTGAAGGCTATAGAGTTCTGGCTTCAAGCAAACTTCGCCAGGCAGTGAGATTTGATGTGCAAACCATGCCGTGTGAGCGGACACCTGAAAATGTGGCAATAGATCTTTCGTTAGTTGCAACAATGCCGGATGGCTCCAGGGTCAGCGAAAGGTGGAAAGGTAGGTCCAAATCGGTTGTCCTCATTCTCCAAAGCTGCCTCTCACTCAAAAGTTTTACTGATCGTTGCGTTTCATAGGAATGCCATCTAATGTGGAAACATTTTGTGACTTGGTGAATGGTGCACAAAACTCTGCTCCGAAGAAACTAGGAATATTGTTGAAGTTTAAAAAAGCAGTGAGTCACTTCACAAAGCAGAGTGTGCCCTGAGCGAGTTCTGGTATGAGCCTTCATTGACTGACTGATGGTGTGCCTGTAGGAGAAAGTCTCGAATGGCAGACATGGCCTCTTGCTTGCCTTCAATCTAATTCTGTGCAAGCCGTTACAGACTGAGGTCTCCCTGGCTTCTTACCTCGCCGTTGGTGGTGTCTATTTCCAGGTGCTACGCGTTGGCAACGAGGGCGAGAGCAGTATTCTAGTATCGAACAAATCTGGCGAAGTTGCTCCGCTGAAGGAACTTCCAGGTAACAAGGATTTGGTAGTGACCTCTGTCAGTTACCATCACAAGACATTGGTCACTTGTGAAGGAAAGCCGGCTGGCGACTTTACCCAGGGCTCTAGCATGCTGACCCTGACATACAACAAGACCACGACGACGGCTGGATCTGCTGTCGATGGCTTGGTAAATGCGGCTCTTAAGTGCCAAATCAGCACATATCCCCAGAGCCCTTTCATTTCATCGCCACCTCGTTCGACCGCGTTGCATCTGGCAAACGACAGTGTTTACACGATGCTCGAAGATCCCACAACTACCACAGCTTGTCCAGGGATGACGTTCGAGAGCTGGATCAAGGTCGATGAGATCACTGAGAGTATTCTGGTGGCATACACTTCAGAAAGCATGCCGCGGAGCGAGCGAACGAGCCGCGAGCAACAGACCTTTCTTCTTGGGATCCCGGCTTCCTCTGCTGGGAACACAGCATATGATCTGGTCGGCAATGCCAACGGCTGCCTCTTTACCGTCAGCAATGCCCTAGCACTGAAAGTGAATCAATGGGTTCACATCGCTTGCTCCGTTCGCAATACCTTCGCCTTACGATTCTCGGGTTCCAATTATGTCGACTTAGGGGCCGCCCCGGAGTGGAATGTTTCCGACTTCTCCCTGGTGTTTTCGTTACAAGTCGATAATATTGGAGAGGAGCACATAGTCTTCACCAAAGCTGCATCCAATGAGGACCACACACCTTTGCACATAACCATCAACCGCGAGGGTATACTTTGCCTATCCTACTGGGCCGAGAACGAAATGAATACAGACGTAGGACATCGTTTCGTTTCGTCTCCATCTCCATTAAAAGCAGGAGTCCCATACAAGATGTTCATATCCAGAGCATTAGTCCGAGTCAGCAATAAGAATAAAATCCCAAGATCCGTGCAGCTCGTGAATATGCGTGCTTGGACTAAAGATGGAACCTCAGCATTCGCGCTCAATCCTCCGTCGATGGATGACCTTGAGAGAAGTGTGAACGGAGATAGACAGACAATCGATTTGAGTATTCAGGGGTCGGCACATGCATGCGGCCCTGTACGAAAGAATAGCTCTGCTTTAGTATTCGGGGGCGTGGCGTGGGATCTCCATAAAGGCTTAGTAGGATCAATTGGATCCATCAGACTTTACTCGAACGCAATCAAAGTGCCTATATCCCCTAGCGCTTTGTATGAACCAGACACCTCTGAGCGCTCAACAATAGGCTCGTGGTCATTTCGAGACGCAGAAGGCGTCTCTCTGACTTCAGACTCGGGGCGCAATCATGGGAAACTAAAGAATGAGCCAGACTGGATTCTTTCTCCGTACTCGCCGGACCACCGACTTTCGGTCTTTGTTAACGGAAAACGAACAAATACCAGCCACACGGCCGAAAATACTCTGCTGAAGCAACCAAGTGGTCCACATCAATTGACTCTGGGTAATGCCTTACATGGAAGTGGCGAGACGCGCTTTCTCGCGATGGAAAATGCCTTTCGGGGTCAGTTGGACGAACTTCGAATTTGGAATGTACCTCGTACGAACGAGAACATAACGGATGCCATGAATTCGAGGTTGGCTGAAGTTTCAGTCGATCTAGCGGTTTATCTCCCCTTCGATGACGAACTCGAGACATCAGAACAAACTCCATTGGCGAAATATTTTCGTATCCTCGCTGACGCTTCGATCAATTGTTGGCACTTGTCTCCTTTGCATGAAGTACATCCACTCAAGGTAGCATCAGATGCACCGGTCAGTCACGACTCACCATGTGTAGACCACGTGCTTAGCACGCACTCTTCCAGTAGGGCTACTCAAACAGGTGCCCAAGTAATTGCACGCCCTTCCGTAGCTGAGTACGGAGACATGCAAATAGGGGCAAGTGGTAGCATGGAAGGAAGTTATAAGCGTGTTTATTCATACATTGACAAGCAAAATCATTGGAACCTCGTCACCGGTTTTCGCATTGGGGCATTGGTGACCGAATGGGTCAGTCAAGTGCAAACTTCACCAACGCTCATAGGATATATTGAAGGGGCTCCACCAATAGCGGCTGAGAATTACGTCGACGGGCATGACAGGCCTTCAAGTGCCATTCGCTTCCAGAACGCCCAGCGTTGCACGTACTCCTATGCATCGCGCCAAGACAGCGGAGTCGATTTTGACTTGACCGTCAACCACGGTATAGGAGCGAAGTGGCAAGTCAGTGCAGGTATGGGCGTAGAGTCGGAGGTCACATCTGGCGAGGTCAAAGGTGCCATCAAAACTGTGGCCAATGTCTCTGGCTCTTACGTCAACAATGAAGTGGCCACAGCTACTACCAACACCAATTTAGAAATGCGCGTTGAACTTACTGGCGCTTGGCATGAATCGGAGAATGAAGCCACCGGCAACTACGAGGCTGCGAACACAGGACTAGCGCTTGTCGAGAGCGAGGTCGCGGATGTATTTGCGCTACGTCTGAAAACGCGTGGTCCGGTCGCACCGCTCGTTGCCTACCAGATGAGACCCAATCCAGACATACCGAAAGATCGCAACCTAGTTTCTTTTCCAATCAATAATTCCTACATCAAGCAAGGCTGCCTGGATGGTCGACGGGGCCTGAAGAACGATGTTGACTACCCCTCATCCGGCGACGCCCCCAAGGATGCTTCCTACTACAAGCCCATCGAAGCATACGCGCTGAAAGACCGCATCCGCAGGCAAGAAGAGCAATTAGCAGGGGAATACGACCGCTGCTCAAGCATCCCCAACATCTTCTGGCAAGTGCCAAAACGCACCCACCGGAATATATGCAACTCTTACGTCTGGACCGCCGACGGCGGTACCTTTCAAGAGACGACCTCGACGATGGATTTCGTGCAAACCGAGGTTGGCGGCGGCCTGAATCTCCGCGCTTCCGTAGGCGTCTCCACGGACTCGGAAGTGAGTCTCGGCGGTCTGCAGGCGGTCTGCAACGTGGACGCCCTCGTCAGCGCCCACACGAACCTGATGCAAACGAAAGAGAAATCGTCCGAGACCAGCTTCGAGCTGCAAGTGGACTTTCCGCCCGCAATTGACATCCGACAACGCAATGAGCAGGGCAAGCTTGTGAAACGGCCAGGGGCCGTGGATGCGTATCGCTGGATGAGCTTCTGGCTTGAACCCAGCGTGGAAGGAACGGATTTCTTTTTCCAGCGGGTCGTGGATCCGAAATGGTTGGATGACGGTCAAGATCCGAGCGCCAGATTGCTCCTGCAATTACGTGAGGCGCTGGGGAAGGAGACGGGGAATGCGAGGACGAAGGCGTGGAGGATCCTGCACCGTACCTCATACGTAAGCCGCGTTCCGGAGAATATTTCGGGGAAGCCAAAAATGGTGGCGTCGTCAAGCCAGCAAAGCGAGGAGAAGAAGTCGACTTTGTTGGCGGATGTGAGCTGTAATTGGCATATCATACAGAATCTGGAACCTATCGTCAGAGGTGCGTCAACGAGAGGTGAGCTGGTTGGTTTGGCGGAACCACATATCAAGACGATGTACCCTAGTATCAGGCAGGAACCGCGGTTTTATGTGCAATTGCTGGATTTGCTCGGTGACTACATTGGGTTGGAGTGATGGGTGTGTCGACTTGGTTGAGCAGGCCCGACTTCGCAGTCTCGAGCGATTAAATATGTAATTGTGCTAAATGCGTTGCCCTCTTGAGAATAGAGATGGTAGAGGTGCGAGAGTTGATGAAAGTGTCGATAAATGTCTGCTCTCCCTCGCTTCATACGTCACTACAAAAGCCCCATCAGATCGAATGTGCATGTTCAAGAAATTGTGACTTCTTTGGAGCTAGCCGTTATTTACTCCTCATCAGCAGTAGTAACCCTCACAGTCTAAAAGCATTGCGCAGTAACCTTCTTGCTCAATATCTCCAAGTTCATCTTACGAGGTCTGAATATTCATGACCTGTGACCTTCAGAATGGAAGTTGCCTCCTTTCAAGCCCAGGATCTTAGTCCATTCAAAGATGCTGTCGTTAGCTTTGCTGTTCCAACTGCATATCAATTCCCTCTAAAGGCATCTAATCTCATCCGGCCCCTTGTCAGCTTCCATGCCCACAGCGAATCCACGAGTACAATAGCGAAGAAGCTGAAGACAAGACTACCCCCAAAGACAAGGCTATGGTAAGTCCATGCATCATCTGCATTCAAGTCCGCGAGTTGACAGACAATTGCCCAAGGAAGAACGTAGAGGAGATTAGAGAGCAGAGATTGGTAGAGATACCAGCGTGGGCGGGTAGCGAGAAGGATACTGGCTAGCTGTGTGGATGTGGCGTAGAAGATGTAGCACCTGGAACATTGTCAGTCGAGGGGAAAAGAGAAAGAGGGAGATTGTTTGGTGGGAAAGATCGCCAATGATAAGGTAGTATATGCGGCATATGTGCGAGAACGTCAGGATGAGGGTTCAAAACGCACCAATCTATAGTTTGCCACATGTGCGCCGTGATCTTTGCGACAGCAGAAAGAATTGCTAAGGTACGACGCGAAGGGTCGAGTGCCGAAGAGTGCAAGAAAGATGCATAGTGGTATTTCAACTATGAGTGCGATTACCAGTGATATGAGAGCGGGTTGAACGATAGCTACAGAGAGTCAGCATTGATACGTCTTGAAGTCTGACCTGCGTTGAACATACTCAGCAGGTTTCCACGCGACATTTTTGGTCTTAGATTGTCAATGCCCATCTCGTGCCGCCAACGGCCCCAAGCATGGCCAACGAAAGCGAGAGACGTGGCTTCCAAAGCTTGGACTGGAACCATGACCAGACCCCACCGGATTGTGTTGAACACGCCCCAAGCAGTGGCATAGTCCGAGCCCATCGTGACAATACCGTGGACAAGCCAGAGATACAGCGCATTCCTGATCGCAGACTCAATGAAGGTGATGATTCCCGGGGGAAGAAGAACCCTCAATGCGCGCAGACTCGGCGTAATGTCGTCTCTGTGCGTCTTGACGACCTTTGTGCGAATGCTGTTGGCGTAGATGAAATAAAATAAGCCTGCAAATGCAGCGCTCATGTCGCAAGCAAGTCTGATGGAAGCTTGTGTGTTGACAGATGGTTTTATAGCGGCGACGTGGAATTTCGAAATGATCAAGAGGTCGAGGAGGATATTGATGCTGAACTTGACGGAACTGATCAAGAGCGGCACGTCGGGCTTGTCAAGTGCGCGCGTCGCACTCGAAACCGCCGTCTCAACGGCTGAGCTCAAGGCGGAGAACGCGCTGAGGCGAATATATGTCAGACTTGCTGCTCGTGTGCCGGCAGGAACGAAGCCTTTCGCAAAGGAAGTCGCTGTTGAGACAAAGATGACGCTAAGCAGTAAGCCGAGTAACGCTTGAAACAGGATGAGGGTATGGGCAAGGCCAAGTCGAGAAGACAGTGATCGTGCAGACTTGTCGCCAATTATGACCCAAGCTGCGCGGGGCAAGCCTTCATTGATAGCTTCGGAAACAACGCCAATGTAGGTGTAGCTGTCTGTGGTTGCGACAAGTTTTCCATCAATGTTGGCCACCCAAAGCTTGGACAGTGTGGCATAGAGTGCTGGTAACAGGAATGCGAGGACATTGAAGAGGAGAGCGCCGAAGTATCTAGCTTGCAATCAGCAGCATGATGAGGGGCATAGTTCACGGACTTACCGGTCACGGTGCCACCATGATTGGTGCTTGAATTGATGCGCATCAAAAAGACTTGGCTCATGATGGAAACTATCATCCTCATCATCAATGGACCGAGTGGTGTCAGCGATGGTCTCGTCTTTGGGCACCATGGTGTATCGGAATCGCAGACTGGAGACCATCGAGGTCAACATGATGGGCGAGCCTTCTCATATTAATGCCCTTATCTTCTGTTTGACGCTCGGACGTCTATCTTGCACTCCGCGCCACTTGATGTAATGATGCAGCAATGCTGTACGAAATCGACGATGATGGTACGTATGGTCGCGAAGGGAAGGTGCCACGGGTGAAAGATTGTCCGCACCCGGAGGCCTGAAGCTAGGCTGCTTTAGGAACGTTCTACGCTGTTAACATTTCAACTCCAATCTGAGCGACTTGGTCGATTCGTAGAATCTCTACGGAACGGAGGTATACGGATGCATGCTTTGGGCTCGGGTATGGGCACCGATATGTCAAGCAAGTATCTCTACTTGCATGAGAGTTCCCTACCTGCCGTACAAATTGATATGCTTTCGCAGGGGTTAGGCAAATCGATTGTAGCGTTCCCAGTATCCTTGATCAACGGATGTCCGAGGCAGTAGAGCTTATATCAGACTGACATATTGTGAGAAATAAATTTAGACCTGTTACTGTCGGTCTAGATGGAGCTATTAGGTAATGTGATACAGAAATCTTTTGTAATATTCACTCCGGCATAACATGAAGTGGCGTGAAATACCATGTGACTATCGCTGAGGTCTCCTTCTTATATCCGCCCGAACGATTGTCACTCGCCACTGGTACCCAAACAGCCCCAGGACTCCAATCTTGACCTGTCCCAGAAGACATAACCCCAATGCCTCAAGTCCTTTGCTTCGTCCATACAAAGATAACGCTGGTCAAGGCCCTTGTTTACCTCAACCCACATGGCATTTGGGCCTTCAATGTCGTCGTCACCTTTGAAAGGGAGCGGTAAGCACTCTAGCTCAAGCATCCAGAGATTTTCCCGCCGGTGCGCGCCTTGAGCATCTTTACGCCCCTTGGAAAAGACGCTCACAATCGTCATATCTAGCCTCGATCTCGCCGTCACCCACTGGCGAGGTGCGTGTCGGTCTTCCTTCAGCTTTTGCGAATACTGATCCAGATATGGAAAAGTGCAGAACCCGCGATGGATCCAATACACTACCATCTTTGATCTGACCCGATAATCATTGATGGAGACCATTTTTAGGGATCCGTCATTCCATTGGTAATCGACCTTTAGGTCGCTCGCTAGCCTTTCACAAACGGTAACGTAGTGACTGGCGAGAGATTTTTCAATACAGACCATCTCTTCCAACTCCCAGGGGCGAAGGGCGAGTCGAAACAGACGAACCCACTCGAAATCGTAAATGTAGGGAGTCAGATGGGGATCATAATATTCAGGGTCCTCGTTCTGCTCCTTTTGTTGAGCTTGATAGACAACGTGAAAGATCTCGATGCGATAGCAAGCTCTGTAGATCCGCCGGAGCTCATTTTTTGAGATCAATTTCAGAGGTTTTGAGGGATCTGGATGGTCTACGAAATGCGAGATCATATTCTTGCTTGAAGCTGCAGGTGGGAGAGAACAGTCAAACATACCTCCTGTGTTGGAACCCACTTTGAAACTTGCAGCGAAAGTCGAGACAAAATAGTCGACGGCTCTTTGCAGCCTCAGCAAATGTTCCCCTTGCCAGCTTTTAGTTGACAACAACAGACTGACAATATCGTCTGCTTGGGCTGGTCGGCCTGCATTGAAGACTTCCAAAGCCTGAATGCGGCGCTTCTTATACATCCTGAACATGTCCTCGACAGACCCGCGGAGGTCATATGAAACGATTGACCGAGATATTTCAAGCGCATCGCATATTGTTGTCATCTCAGGTAAGAGACCTGGCTGGAAATTGGTACTGCAATGACAGTTGAGGATCTGCAATTGGTACCGCACGTATGTCATGTTGTAGAGCGTGGACGCTTGACAAAGGTTGCGAAGACTTTGCAAGGTTGGAACCGCTTTGAGCACCATCAATTGAAGCTCTATAGGCAACAATTCGATAAGGAGACGGCGATCTGCATTGCCATTCTTGGTATGTATGGCTAGCGACTCCATCTGATTGCAAAGTATAGGTTGAATAGCTTCCGTATTGCAATCTGCCAGTGGCTGTTGCTAGACCTCAACCTCTCGCTTTGTGACACGAATCTAGATTGAAAGAGATGCGGTCAATTTTATAGGACTATTTGATGAGTCATGATTCTGAGTTTGACTACCGCCATTGAGCCACAAAACGCTCTGTAAGCTACGTCGCGAGAGCTTGTTCGTCTTTTGAATTTGCTCGTAAGCCACTCCCTTCTTCGTCGAGTCACAACGTTTGGCTACTTATGACATAATAATAGACTTGCACGCCAAAAAGTGTTTAGAGGATTAGAGTCCGAAGGCGCTATGTAGTTGCGAACTTCAATGCGTCTTTACCCTGGGTCGGTCATGATTTGAATATGCCAAGTCAACCTGCAGATGCGAGATGAGAGAATGAACTTTGAGCGGCTTAATAGCAAATTAGCTTACGGCGAGAATAAGGCCCGCAAGGGTGGTCAAATGTTTTCAAACAAGACACACCATGTGGGCGAAGACAACCCGGAAGCCGTTGCACGAGGAACGCACGGAAGTAAGTAATCATGATTATCCAGGGGTCATGATATGGCGGAGGCCCGCTCACTCAGCAAAAATACAGTATCGTTGGACGCTCATGCACAGGACTATTGAAGATTCGCAGACACGTTAGTGCATCGAAATCGCTACGTTGCAGATACACGACCCGGATATTTGGCCAACAAGGTTTGACCCCAACATTGCCATAAAAGTTCCCGATGAATTTGACCATATATATATATATGTATATACATCAGAGAGAAATTGATGTCATCGGTTAAGACTCAACGCAGTCCAATCGACAAAGCTATAACGTGTAAAGTTCCGAGTAAGACAATTCACTGCGCTCGCCCGACTTTCACTCTGACTGTGGCTCTTCGATAGCATATGGAATCCTCGTTTGGTTTGGAATAGATTGCACGAGACTTAGTGCTTGGAGAAAGGGGATAGAACTTGTTCAGTCTGCTCTGGGCCATAGTACGGTGCACTATTGTACAAGTCTAACAAATCCTCAGATTTCCATCAAATGCCCCAGAATCACAATATAGTCAACCTAAATGTTGGCCCATTTGAGACTATCTGTCCTCGCTGCTCGGACTACCCTTAGCAGGTGGTCAGAAGGTAACATACCAACCCCATAGACGGCGCGCGGTCTTGCATGAGGATTCGCGACGCTCTCAGGAACCGTGATCAGAGTTTCGACTATATGTATGGCTGCGATAACTTCTATATCTCATAGGTATCCTTACCTTCTTTTCTCTCTTCTCTTTGTAAACTATTACTATATTTTATTCTGTTGACACCTATATCTTTCCTTCTTTACTATATAAAATAATTTACGCCTTACCCTACCTGATTATTCTTAGATTTTGTGTTCTTATTACTTTTATATATATTCTTTAAAATTATAAATATTACTGCTGCTTCACTCCACCCTACCATCCGCGCGCTCTCGTCAAACGCCGTTTCTACTTCCGCGAAAACATCATCATCCGTAAGCGAGTCCGGCTTTTGGCCCAGTAGACCGACCAATTCCTTCATTGCACTAGGACTAGGCCAATTGTTTTCATCCGTCGATGTAGGGGAAGCGGAGGGGAAGCAGCCTTTTGCTTCGCAAGTTATCTGTGTACCGTGGCAATGCGGTCTATACATGGGAAGGGAGGGGAGGAAGCATCTGACTTGTGGTATGGAGTAGTCACAGTCTGTGCATGACGTATAACGGGATCTATGATGGACATGGATGTCAATTGCGGGTCGAGGCGGTGACTGCAGTGTGGGGGCATTTCTTCATAGCGCAGAGAAGAAGGGGAGAGGAAGGGAGCTCGCAAAGTGTACCGTTTTTTCTCTTGATTTATGTTGTGTTGGAGATTACTACACTGCGTATATATTAGAGCGTACGCAGTAAATCGCGATATATTAAATCTCACACCTATTCAGAGATGGTCTAGTATTCATTTAATACTATGGCGGTTCAAAACGATGCCCAGAGAACCACACCCCTGTAAAAATCTCCCTCAATCTCCTCAATACCTTATCCTCCACCCTCAGCGAAGAAGCAACCTCATTCAAGGCGTCATTTTAATCGTCCTCGCCACACTAGGCACGCCCGCCGCATCAATCGCAAACAAAAACCAATAACCCGGCAACGCCACGCCCGCATCATTTGGAAGCGCGAGCGTATACGTATTCCCCATATCCGCCGTCGGCTTCAGCGGAATCCTCCTCTGATCCGTATTGACCGTGTGGGTCGTACTGCCCAGCCTGACAATACTAAATTCCTTCACCTTGCCATTCGTGATTGCTATGAATGTGCCGCCTAGTGCGACTTTGTCAGAAGAGAGGGCGGTGATGACAGGGCGGGTAGCTGGGGCGCCCGCGGCGTTGAAGAGGTATGGGGGCCGGAAGATTTGGGCGTCGTAGTGGTTGGTGGAGCAGCGGCCGCAGAGGCCACTGCCGGCGCTGATGACGGTTGCGTCGGCGAGGAGAAGGGCTGTGCTGTGGTAGTTCCTGGGGACTTGCATGGGAGCCATTTGGGTGAAGGCGTTTGTGGCGGGATCGAAGAGCTCGGGGGTGAGTTGGGAAGCGTCGTCGTTGAAGGGTTTTGCGGTTATTTGACCACCAACGATGAAGACGGTTCCGTCCGGTAGAATTACGCTGTTGTGGAACGTGCGCTGGTATGCCATATTGGTGATCTTTTGGACGGTCGGATGTTCGTTCACTCGGTCGATGGTGATAACGTGGGCGTTGGATGTGGCGTCTGAGTTCTGATAGTCAGGTGACCCACCAGCTGTCAAGATCTTCCCAGCTGTAGCATCGTACATGGCGGCAGTACCACACATGGCATGGCCATCGGCGGCACGGTTGCCCGCACCAGCCTGTGACCCTGTTCCCGTCGTATCGTACCAATTCATAGCCTTAGATGGACCTGCTTGAAAAACAAATCCAGCCTTCCAAGCGAAGAGCCAAGCGTGATTATCCGAACGATAGACACCTAAGATGTCAGTGTTGGCTCAAAACTTACAAGAGCTTCGCCTGGATATTGCGTTCATGGGACAAGGCTATGTACCTTGAGCATCTTCAGTCAGCATTGGCGCCACTGGGGTGCCTGGCAGCTTTGTCCATGTATTGCTATTGGGGTTGTATAGCTCCCCATTTTTACCTCCTTGGCCTCCTGCCCATGATGCACCAATGGTGAAAGTATTCCCAGTTGATACGACTGTCTGTGCATGATAGCCGCGTGGGATTTTCATATCCTGTCCGTCTACTCAGTTTCGCAACTTGAAACAGGCCAGAGAGATTGCCAACTTACAGGGCCTTTTGTCCAGCCACCTGGACCATAGATGCTTGTCGCGGGCCCTGTATTTCCACCTGTTGAGATGCCGATGCCATTGAAGTCGAGCGAGAGCCCTTCGCAGAACATATCATGCTGGATGTTAGTGACTTTTATTGGCTCTATTGTTAGAACATCGGTCTTGAACAGAGCTGTTGCTGTTGTCTTCCCATCGGTCCCTCCGAATGTATTCGGATTGTATGAATACCACGCCAGAATACCCTGGTTAGAGTACACGTTTGCCATTGATACGGCTATCAACGGGAAATTGACTGTTGGACCCCAAGCGCCCTTGCCTTCAGAGGGTTTTGGTGGTAGATCTTGAGTGGCTTTGTTCACGGTTACTTCGGCAATCGATGTCCAAGGTCCCCGGTTGCCTGCTTCGCTCAACGCCTGAATTTTTAAATAGCGTGCGTTGGTGGGGACTATGTTGGTAATTTTGTTATATGACGCATCATCAAGGAATGTCCCATGGGCGACAGTAACAAAGGTTTTACCATCCGAGCTGCATGGAATCTTAGCTGGTGAAGAACTTTCTCATCCCGAGTCAACTGTACCTTAGACTGATCACATGACGACCAGTGTTTCCATTCTGATAGCCATCCTGTCGAGGCACAATGGTAATCATGCCGACCGTGTACGACTTTTTCATGTCTATTGTGATTTCATGTGGCAATGGGGCGAGATTGGGCTTAAACTGACTGTGCCAAATGGTCTTTGTGTCACCGTCGAATACATTCTCGCAGGGGCTTTCTTTCTGGCTGGCAGCTGTACAGGTCCTTCCATCCTTGCTGATGAGGGTGGGCGAAATGCCACGCATGCGACCTAGCCCGGGGATGTCATTTAAATCGACACCATCGAATGTCGTAACGCCTGGAATTCGAGTAAGGTATCAGCTCATGATAGTTTTGAACGTTGACCTATGTAGGATCTGTAGTGAACCGCGTCTAATGATGTGCTTGTAATACATCCAAGCCCACAGCAAACGGCAATTCCTGCATTGCTTACCTTCTGTTTTCGGTTTACCAGCAGTCTACCGGTAGTAAGCAGTCAGGCATATGGCGCATTCAAAGTTCGAAAAAGTTGCTTACAGCAGGAGGTGGTCCATTTTTTGACCCAGCATCTGCGTCACCTGGCGAGATCGGGTTTGAGAACACGCTTTGTACGAGTAGCAGGCTTGCAATTAAAACCCTCATGATTGCGCCCTGATTACGAGGACGATAATGCATTGCCTGAGCCCGAATTGTCCTCCCGGTGAAGCTTCAAGAGTTTGATAGCTATTTTGATCACCTAACGAGTATGGCTTGAGAGTTAGAAGTGCAATCGACAATTGCTGGCATGAAGAAGATTTGTGGCCTTGGCAAGAAGCCATGAACTTTGATATCCATTTGCCGATCTTGTTCCCAAAGCCTTCCGAACGCCGATGACGTTTTCGAATCTAGTTTCGGTTTTGTTGATCCTTCTTCGATTCGAGTAGGAATTGATAGGCAAAAAGACATGCGTAAGCTGGAGTGACAAAGGAGGCAGACCACGCTCGTATCCTCTTGACTTGGATACTTCCATTGTATCTCAAAAATTCTGGAGCTCGTTCTCCACAGACTATTGTCTTGTTGAAGAGTTCGACCCCCTCAGGTGGATGCCATTACCTTAAAATTGGCCAAGATCTTCAATCGGGGCTTACGCCCGACATTTACGCCAAAGAGGATCAGTGGAGTAATCTCTCGTCATCTCCACATCTGATTAATCGATTCCACTTTCCTGGTGTTATGGTTTGGCCTGTTGGTTTTCTGCCAGATGATCCTGGCAGCACTGATCTTGAAGACCAGAAGCCGAACGCGTAGTGAACACGCCTCCCGCCAACGTCAACAACGGCGCATCGGTATTCTTCGAAGCCAAGATGGTTCAGGGCTAACGCACCTGCGCTCTGCTACCTTGAGGTCATCGTAAAGTCTCGGCATCTTTCAGTGACGAGTAGCTTCAGCCAAACTTCTGAGTACATCAATAAAGTGCAAAGTTGGAAGAGTGCCAAAGCGGACTTATCATATCTCCGCCCGGCTGAGTCAGCGTGATGAGATAAGTCACTGTTCTGATATCTACACGCGAATTGGCCCCCACTAAGAGGGGGGCCTCGTTCAGGACGATTACCTCGACAGCAAAATAAAATTCATCAAATCTCTGGCCGCTATAGGAAATGGTGAAGGACTATCACACATATACGCGATGTTACAGTTCCCGCCGGACCTCAGATTCGCCATACATCACAGCTCTACAACAATGCCTAGACCCCACACATCAACCCAACACCCTTATGTCTTAACCACCCACAACATTTCTCCCCTTCCCCTACGAGATCCGACGACAGAAATCCATCCCGATTCCCTCTCCAGGACCGTTTCTGACCCCCCCTTCAGTACCCCGCTCAACCAAACAAAAACGCTGCTCTCAGGCTCGCCGACCTCTCGCTCTTCCTCGCATCTTCCCCCATCTACCATAAAGCCTCAACTCTCTTCTACAGCACCAACACATTCAGCGTCCCCCTCCACGAGCCCTTCCAACCCCTCACTCCCTCCCTCTCTCTCTCCCTAATCCCACGAATCATCAACATCGCCCTCTCCACTCCCCCCTCCCCCACCGCTCCCCGTACCGGCCACCACTCTCTCACTATTATCATCTCATTTCTATCCCCATCCCACATTCCAACCCATATGTACAATCGCAAAACAGTCCCTCCCACGGCTTCGACGAGCTCGAATGCCACACCAAGCTCCTCGCCCCGTCGTCGTCGTCGTCATCATAGAAGCGGGCCTTGGAATCTTCAGCTTTAGTTTCTACCTACCTTAGCGCGATAACGTTTCGTTGAGATGGTAGAATCCAGTCCAGGTACTTGATTCTTTCCTCGTGTAATCAGTTCTCGGATTTCTTTTGCGCATCGGTGCCACGGCGAATTTGGCTGCTACCTGACGCTTTACTTGCTGGATTTGTGGTCCGTGTTTGGCTAAGATAGGTCACTGTGGCGTTGCAAAACAGCGTCTCTGCGCAGTGCAAAATTCAGTGTGTAGTGGCTCCTCAAGATCTGATTTCAGAACCTGACCGCTGTACAATTGCATGCGGAGACTTAGTCTATTTTGATCCATTCGTCATCGAGTCTGGTTGAAAGCAGTAATTGATGTCGACTTGGTGGAAAGAGGGGCAAGGTGTCAACACTTCACTCACTTGATACAACACTCCAACATCCTTGGCAGTTCCTCTCCCACCACTTCAGGAGACAATAAAATAGAACAAGCTTAAGCTTCCACCACCAACTGCTCTTCGACGTACTCGTCGATGGTAAGAAAAACAGATAAAAATGGCTACTCTTCATAATCTTCTTCAGGCCCGGGGTGGATTCGAACAAACACTTTCAAAGAAAAGTAGAGACTTACCGGCCGAATATTTAATTTTTTACTTGGTTTGATTTTCTTTTTCCTTTGCTTGTCTTTTTTGGGTGGAAATTTGATGCCATTGCTGGCGGGGGCCGACCGTAGTTGTTAAGTTGATTGTAGACATCACCGAAGTGATGAATTTGCGATCATAGGAAGTGATGAATTTCCTAACATAGCAGTTGTAGTAGTAGTAGCCATAGTCGTTGGCGTAGTCGTTGGCGTTGTCGTTGGCGTTGGCTTGACGTTGACGTTGACGTAGGCGTAATCTTAGTTGTAATAGTTGATGACTTCTGAATCGTCTCAACGTCTCTGAATTTGTTGGTCACTTTCCCTGAATTAGACAGGCTTCAAGGGGCCTAGTTTTGCAGTAAGTTAGGCAACCACCGAGGTGGTTGCTGGTCTAGGAAATTGTTAGCGATTGTCTTGACCACTGCACCACCCAGGCCCAAGAAGATATTTGTTCTTGTAGATAATGCAGATCTTGAAGTTGGGTGTTGGGGAAAAGGAGCGAAGAAGGTTGATGAAGGAAGGAAGAAATATTTGGGGAGTGAGGGGGGTGGGGGGGTTTATGTACCCACTGAGTGGCGGAGTGGCGGGGTATGTGTTTGTCCGGGTCGGGCCTTGTGTTGAGGGGGCTGCGGGACAACGAGTTTGTGTTTGCCACAGTTGTTTGACGCGTGATTTTCTGAACCCAACATTATAAAGTGTCATCTGCTATGAGCCGAGTGAGCTATAACCAATCCCATTTCATACCCAACCCATCTGTTTCGGACTCCAATATCTTAGATTATTTTCCCAAATAAGCGATCGACATCAACGTCTCCATTTCCCTCAAAACGCGTTCGGTCTTCCGAACATGACTCCCTCCATTCCCCGTCCCTGATCCGCCGCCCTCCTCTCAGCGTCAGTAATCAGCCCGGGCGCGACCCTTTGAACAGCCACACTCTCAACCCCTCCTCCAGCTCCGGCTTTACCTCTGCCCCCATCGCTGACAGGCTGACCAGTGTGATTGACATCAGCCGACGAGTTTTCAGGCTTCACATCCCTCGTGTTGAACCATCCCCTCAGTGTCCTCCCATTGTATGACAGGCGCAGATATCGAATGTTATCAACGTCGCAGTATGCGATCGCTGTGTAAACGGGGGATTTGTTGCGCTTGTATTCGTGCTCTTTGTGGAGTTGGTATTCGATGGACGAGAGGGGCGCTGCTGGCTTTGAAGGGAATTAGTGATGACCGATGCAAAACAGAGAGCCTACAAGAGGAAAAGGGAAGGGAGGGGATGTAGGCGACTTACTGGATTATCAGACATGGCGTATTTGATCGGGGAACGCTTCTGAGACGTTTGATGGGTTGCTGACTGGGACAGTGATGATTACAAGTGAGTTGGTGAGGGGGTTGTGAAGGACCAAGAAGCTGGGGAATGATGATGCTCCCATCGTATCCGGTGTCCAGGAGTTTTATAGAGAACAGAGTAGGCAAAGGTAGGCTGAATGGCAGAACTACATAGATGTTTCCAGGGTCATCATCGAGTATATTGCAGCCAGGAAGGCAACCTCCTTTGTTTGCTGCATCCAAGGTCAAACAGGCGCACATACTTGGCCGAGCGCCAGGCGAAATCAATGGATATATACGCGGACATTGCTTCAGTGTCGCAGAATGAGATGAAAGTAGCCGCATGTCCAGTAGTGTTCGACCTGGCAAGAGCACTTAACTTATTTGAGAATCTTGCCCTAAGTCCGGCACGCCGGCACTGATGCAAGCCCAGCAGGGAAGAAAAGCTATTGATTTTCTTGAATTCGGATAGAAGCACAATCACTGTTGAAGCAGGCCACAGTGCTTTGAGAAATCCGTCTTGAGGCTTGTCGATCATGAGCCAACATCAAAGAAGAACCTTGACTAACTTCCTGGTCCAGTCGATCGGGACGTCCTTTCCTTTAGCACCACCTGGTGCCACAGCTCTGAGCATCGTATTGCTCGATCCTTTGGCTCTCGCATGCGTGTTCATCGAGAGAATCCTCGGCACTTGTCCCATTGTTGTGTTCATCATCGTGGAAACCTCGAACAGCCGGCCTTGATAGCTACTTCCGTCAGTCTCCTTCGTTCACCTCCCAAACATCTTAACTCACCAGAAGCAAACATATTAAAGTTCTCCGCATTCTTCAGCTGCTGATCCGCCGACAACTTGATACAATCCTTCAAATCATACACCTCCGCCTGCAGCAAATTCTCAAAATGCAAGTACTTGTCCACCAACTCATGGATTATGATTCCATACTGCGTGGTACCTAGAATATCATCAAAGTTGACAGCAATCCTATTTTTTCGAAACAGCGGGCAGCGGTATGGTTCGGGATTGCGTTTCAGCACCTCAAAGAAGAAGGGTGTCAGGTATATCTTCTCGGAGCCAAACTCGTTGAATGCAGCCGCGCGGCGCTGGTTTGTGAGGATGGTGTTGTAGATACTCGCAGTAGTAAAGTCGCCAAGCTCGAGACAGACGAAGGTGACTCGTGTTGCTTGGCCATTGACTACGACTGTTTCCGCATCGGATAGCTTGCCGTAGGTTTCTGTCACAGCGGCGATGTTTTCGTTATTTGTGAAGAGGGATTTAAAGCCATAAATGGAGTCTTCGCCTAAGTTTGCTTCAACGTTAATGGTGGGGAGATCGCCGCCGATTGATCTGAGCAGGGAGATTAATTGATCGGCTTTTCCTCCTTGTATTCCTTTGCCACAGCGCGCGATTAGGTAGTCGCCGTTGTTGGTGATGTCGTTGGCTTTGGGATCTTGAGCTTGAGCTCGTGAATGTGAAGCTAAGAGTATGAGGAGCAGGGTGGTGGTGAAGATAAGGTTGTACATGCTGTTCGTGTTGTGGCCCGATGACTTCGCACGGGGCACTTGGATATATGAGCGATGTGAATTTGATGAGTATGTATACCGTGTCGAAGCCGCGTTCCTTATTTGAGGCGCGCTGTTGGAGGTCTCGCATATGTCGGGTTATCTACCTCATGATGTTTCGCGGATAAACCTATGACATAGCCAATCGCGTGAGGGCCCTCGGGAGTGTCCAACATTATTGTGTAAACATTGTTGCTTACTGGAAAGAGGGAAGAGAAACTTCAATGGGGGAACAATCCCTGTACACATGGAATTGAGGCGAGTGGAGAGTGGCATAGAGTGAAACATATCTGGTGGTCGTTCTCGATCAGCCTCATCAGTATGACTATGAGCTGAAAGGGCTTCAACTTTTGTGGGCTTATTTGCCTCATCGCATCCCATCAATTTCCGCCTGTTCGTATTCTTGTACCCCTCAATATTTCCTTCATCTCCTATCTTCTCCCAATGTCCAGCGATTCTACTTCAGACTGTCGTCTATCGTAACCCTAATTCACATTTGCCGGAACCATGTTACCCCCTTTACTACACCGTCCCCGTGTCCGCACTCTGTCTCTACAGGTACATTTTCCTTAGATCACCTCACCCATAAGGAGCTTTGCAAGGTAACAAAGAAGTTTTAATTGGGATCCACATCCGTCGTAGCCGACCAAAGCCTAGGCTTACGTTCCGACGTACAGCTACTCATGGCATGACCGGTCCAATCTACTATGACAGGCAGATCGATAATGAAAGTGACATTCGGATGGATATTGAGATCCTGGGAATCGAGCGTGATGCTGCGCGATTCATGCGTGGTAGTAGAGGGAAGTAGGATGATTTTGCCTGCAGGCCCTGCGGGTCCTCGTGCAGGGTCGTGGGTGACAATAAATGCGCCGGATGCATGGTCTGCGGGGTACTGCGACTTCAGTTCATTGACTGCTTTCTGGCAGTCGGTGGAATTGAGGGTAAGGTCGATGAGTCGTTTGGCGCAGGTGGCGTTGCTGGGGCGGAGGTTGTTTAATGAACTGGAGACGGCACCGTTGACCTGGGCCGCTTATTGGGCTTGGGTTCACTTCAAGTCTATGAGGACGGGGGAATGATTGACGGCGGCTTGGGTAGTAGTGCAAGCGAGGAGGGAAGCGGTGCTGGACAGAATTGAGAGGAGCTTCATCTTTGATTTTTGTATAGGCTCTTGAACTCGGAATTTGCAGATACAGTGTCTTCATATCTTGCGAAAAGGTAGGAATGCGAGCGGAAGAGGTAGAGACTGAAGATTTGTTGACATGGGGGTGTTCAATGTTTCGAGCGTGATCGATACGATTTGTTAGGCCCAGAATCTCCCCTTACTGCCAGTCCTCATTTGCGTTTTCTATATCTTTCTGTCCACGCGCGATCTGTCCTTGCGGACATTTTCACTTGGTTCCCGGCACATGGTAGCTCGCATCAAGTGATGCATCGATCATAGCCTCCCTCCCCGCCCGGCGGACGGAATGTGGACGAGTCTCTCCTCGTATCTTTCCCAATCGGCGTGTACTTCGATATCCACAGGGACTGACGCTCTCCTGATCCAAACACAGCACGATGCATATATCGAGCCGTATGCAGATTTCCCAACCGCTTGTGTAATTGTCCACGCTCTTATGATTCGCAAGCTTTTCCACGGCGAGGGCGTTGATGATCTAAAGCCTTGTAGATCTGCTGCAGAGGACGCCCTACAGGCCCATCTCGTCCACCCACAGGGTCAATATTGACTCATCCTTGATTGCCATCCGTCGCTTGCTCTGCTCATGTAGGGTTTTGAGGCCACGAGAATGTTCTCGCACGGCTCAGGTCAGGCGGAGGTCCCGGGAGTGGAGAGGTAGAGTGCAGGCGACCGGAATGCAATGTAGTGCGAGTAGGACGGGCGTTGGACTGGACGCATCGTCTGTGGGCTTCATGGTGTCTGAAAGATTGGAGTCGAGGCGTCCCTCAAATAGCTCTTTGGACTCATAGCTGCGGCCGTGATGGCGTCTATGCTCCTTTCCTGACGATTCTCGAGACTTGCAGCTATTTCTAAGGCTTCGATTTGTTCGTGGGTGTGCGCTGGCGCGTCGACTATCGAATTGTTGTTTTGTTGTCCTGATTGACATATTCCCGGGAAGATAATGAGGAGGTGCAGCGAGGTCGTTTACTTCGGCTTGGCGTTGTAGAACGACCTCGGTACCCCAAGCTTATATCTTCGTCATTTCTCCTCATTCAACCTTCGACTCTCCCATGTGCCCAATCTCGAGGTAATCGGACAGGCTGAAGCTCTCAAAACCCTGTCTCGAAGTGATAGAAGACTAGGCAAACTAGCCATAGCACGTTGTAGATCATGATAGGGTCATGAAAGGCTTACCATGCTGGCCTCAGACACGAGTCAGGATCACCGCCGTAATGGCAAGTTAGCCTCTTGCGAGCCTTGCCGTAAGTCAAAGCTTAGTTGCGATCATACCAAGCCGGTGTGTGGTCGATGCTGGCGTCGACGCAAGCCCGAAGTATGTCATTATCATCCCTCACCTATGACGAAGAGAATCCTCGACAATTCTGCATTTGCTACTTCCAACGGAGCCATTGATTCAGTGGATATCCCTCTTACTAGCTCAGTTGATGTAGAGATTACAGGTAGAGAGCCGCAGCCTTTGCGCCATGTCGAATCCCATGAACATCCTTCAGCAGGCTTCTTGGGACCTACAAGCTTTCTGGACCCCTTCAATGAAGGTGTACATAGTATCGAAGTCCTACGGAACAGTAGTAACGCAAATGTCCGTGGTGGTACCCAGTCGGAAAGAGCACCCAGAAAAGACTCGCTGCAAATTCAAGAGGGCGCCGATGTCCTCAAGTTGCTGCTGTCGATTCCGCTACACAAAGAAGGCCTTGACGGCTGGTACGAGAAGCGAGGCTACTTAGCTGTTGTACCATATGTGTACCAATGTATCGAATCAATCCAAATCCAAACCCTGAATGGGTCACCTGATAGACTTCTGGACCTGTCGTACAAGATTGCGCTTCGGACAGCCAAGCCTTCTGCGTTCAAGATGGACCAGTCTCTTCAAGATGCCGCGAAGTCATTGTTCGGGGGCGACCTGTGTTGGGAGGTTATAGGATTGATTCTAAACACAGCTGGTCGGGGTGCCCTAGTTTCAGATGCGTCAAATCTTGATACACTCACATACCCAGTCTTCTCTGATTGGAGGCAACTCTCGCGTACCTATCTACATGCAAGCTCTAAATGTGTTCATTTTTGCAGCGAATATGGTCACCTCAATGATCTAGGCTTTCACCTGATGCTCGCTGATGGTGTACTGCATTCTCTCGTTTATGGCGACGCGGATTATATGTGCTGGCGCAAAATGGGAGATGTCACAGCTGCAATATCTGCGCTTGGTCTTCACCAAGACTCCGAAGCTTCTGCTACCCTTCCTTTCTTTCATCGTGAAATACGACGAAGAGCATTCTGGGAGGCATACACCATGGTCATAGACCTTGCGACTTTCCTAGGCCGGCCCCCGCTACTGAATGGCAAGTACTGCTCGATCGCGTTACCATTGGATATTCAAGAAGAAGTTCTGTCATACCCGGATGACAAGCTCCAAGTGGCATTAGCTTCAATTGATGAAAATGGTTGGAACAACGAAGACATCATCACTAGATGGACGTGGCTGCGGGCTTACGCAATATGCCTTCGTATACGCGAAGACATCTTAGAGTTGTCTCTTGGTATTGATAGTGATAACATACAAGGAAGAGCGCAGTGGGTGTCAGATGGTGATGAATCAGACTCAGCTGACTATTACCAGAGCAATCTCCGATCGACAACAGAAGGCTCTTCGGGAGGAACTTCCTCCAAAGCTACAAAAGAAACCTTCATCCTGGATCCAGAGAAAAGGCGCAGCTTACAACTTCTTCCTCTTGATGAAATTTATTGTTTTTGAATGCAATGATTTCATCCTCCAACGCGCATTGGTCAAGCGAACACAGGCGGTCTCAAGCAACCTCTTGCAAGCCGCTCATACTCTACTAACGACGCTATGCATAGTATTCGGCAATCGACATCGCCTTGGGGCTTACAACGTAGATCTTCCTACGCTAGTATGTCAAATAAAAAGACATCTTCACTTCCATTGAGCTGATACGTCCGTCTATAGATTGCGGAGCACGGTATCCCCACAGCTGCAGTGCTTGCCCTCGAGCTACTCAGACATAGTAGCAGTGGTCCCCATCAAGCCGACCCTAACTTCCCTCGCCTACAGATCATTAAAGATCTGAGCGTCTTTGTGTCTGATGTGAGCTACATAATGCGACCTGCACACGGAAACTACGAAACATGTACCCAGGCGCGCAAGACGTTGCAGACAATCTTGGATACAGTAATCTCGGGAGCGATCGAGAGTGGTGACCAAGCTGTGAACACTGGATTGGGAAACGAAGAGGCTGATGATAATGGTGACGCCCCTATCAACTTCAACGAGCAGGACTGGCTCAACAATCCTTTCGATATGGACTTCTGGACGAATTTGGAAGACCATCCGCTACTTGTATAAATAAGAAGGACCCGAAGTCCAATCCTATTGAGAGCTTGTTCAACCTACTAGAATCACAAGCAACGCGGCCTCAGCGTCTTTCTGCCCGGGCGTGAAAAGGATTTGGAAGCCATCTTGCCTCTTACATCCGCTTAGTATTGCCTCCGGGCCTGAGATTAAAGTTTCAACACTTCGCTTGCACCATCTGTGCCATTAGCGACGGACCGACCGATCAAAATGGTGTGAAATAGGTACATGAGGAGTGCACCTATAGCATATCGAGGACACGAAAACGATGAGCTTTGTTCATTCGACATTCGTTGAAATCCCCTGTTCTAAATTCACTACATACTTCGGCCTCGGATTCAAAGAATGGCAACAACATGGTACGCCGTAAAGCTCACGACATTTAAAAAAAAATTGCTATGCTGTACGCCCAGATTCATTCAGTCAAGATCCAGAACTTCTTCCCATCGGATAATCATCGCCTGCCTCACTCAACAGTACTACGACGTTACGGTAGGGCACGAACTTTTCTGATCTGCTCTTTTGTGCTGTTAGTCTGTAGGCATCCATCGAGTTGTCGCCTCACGGCGACCGTCTCTAGCGGTCGCCAGTGATCCTGAGGCAAGCACGTGCTGAAGCTTGAGTGGCTTTTGCTTGAAGCCTAGTGTTTGCCAATCCGATTCGACGGCTCTATGCCCAAGCAAGGTGATTCGTTTCTCTTGTGAAGTCGTGTGAGCAATCTCTTTAAGGATCGGTTTGTAGACTTCCAGATCTGGCACGTCTATTAGAGTGTGTTTACAGGCAGGGTCTTCCCCCTTTTTCAAAAGAGCTTGGTACGTAAGGTCAGCGTAATCTTTGTGCTCACAGGAGAATACTGACTACGCAGCCTCCCATGAACGCAGTCGTTCCGTACATTGATAACACTTGACGGAAGGTGGTCATTTAATTCTTGTGTTATCTTGTGTTTTGAGGCTTCATGTGGGCCGACACTAGTGATGAAGTACAGAAATATGTTTAGGTCGCTGGCGAAGCCCTGACGAACCAGGTAGTGCCTGACCTGGCGATGAATCTCTGCGCAGATATTACTGCCACCGAAGCTATCATCCAAGTTGTTGAGCTGCAAAAGTTTGTCAGCGCGAGACTCAGTATCTTTCAGCGCAAATTACCTGGTATTTTCCTTCGTGGGCATCGATGAGTACTTGAGCAAAGGGGGGATTGAACTGCCGGAACGTTCAGCGAGGAATTGGTGGTCCGCCATTTGAATGATACATACACGTCTCAGTTCATCGACCTCCTGCTCAAGCTTTTTGTTCCTTTCCGATAACTCATTCACCTTGTGCTCATTGGTCTCACTGCTGTCTTTGTATCCGTTACGGGAACGTATGAGACCCTGCGAGTAAAGTTCTCAGCAACCTATACATCTGTGGAAGAGCAGCGGCGGTCATAATACTGTACCTACGTTCAACACGGTTGCTTGGGGTGAATTTCCATCTAAATTCAATCCAGTTTCTCGAAGTTTGTCCCTGCAAATCTTGAGTCTTGAATATTAAGAGTAACTTGCAGATGAGTAACTCACGGCCAAGGCCTTGACTGCTGAGGCGCCGCTTGCTGAGGAACATTCTGTCGAGGAGCTGCCTGCTGACGAGGCTTGGGCGCATTACGTGTCATTCTTGTTGGGGATCTTCCGAGTCCGAACAGCAGCAGCAGAACAGCATAATTTGAGAACAATGACTACCCTTGGGTTTAAATAAAAAACTTTTGCGAAGGCTTTCGCCTCTATTCGCCTGGGTATCAACAATATCGAAAGCGCTTTTGCCTATTTTACCTGCCTTGTAATGCCTTGCGGCCTAAGATGGCGCATGTGACACCACATCCGCTGTTGCCTGCCGTTGATGACGAATTAACTAAAAAATTTCATCTTTGCCTCGATCCACGAGGTTTACGAAGCAGATGTGTATCTAATGAAGTCGGTGACTCAGATGATGCATAATGTCTCTCTACCCATTGTGTAACTCCTGGATTCAAATGGAGGTCCACTTTCGAATCGACAGTACTAAATTTTAATATGCTGTGGCTACATAAGCTGGCATAACAAAGTTTTGCGATATCAGGCAGGGAGCTGAGGCAATATCAAGAATTGAAATTTTTGCCAGAATTGTGCAAAAAGTACGAAATAGTTGCCCTCTCTCTTTCTAAGGAACGATCTTTGGTGTGCTCTCATCAGGACTGCGGCCTTTAAAGACCTGCGGGCTCAGTATCTGCACAAATTTCAACCCTGAAGCGCGACATGCCTGATCTCCTCGAGTCATTTCTCTCATGGCAATAGCGATCTCCAGCCAACGCGACAGTGGGGGTCTAGACATTGGTATTGTGGACATTGTATGATTCGAGAATTCTGATCGTGGGTTGTTCGAGTTCCTCTCGAGTTCCATTGTCTCATCCATGAGCGGTATGGTCTTTACTTAATTCTGGCTTCCGTCTCGGAGATGGCGTGACGATGTTATGGTCGAAGAGGACGTCCTACAACGCCCAACTTTCTGAATCTCTCGGCTGTTTCGGCAACACCAAGGGGTGTGATCCACTCAGTATTTTCTCTGTCAGGTTCAAGCTCCCTCAGAGTGTTCTCGAAAATACTCAGACTTTCGACGTCCAGAAAAATGTGTCTGCATTGTGGTGTACGTCCATGTTTCAGCAACCGACCTATACAAATCGCATCAATTCTCTCCACGTGTGAACGATCGCTGACACTTACGTCGTATTCGCTGATTCATGGTATCCGCGTGCACATTGGATATGAAGGTAAACTTGCGGTTTGTCATGTCCTGGACTAGTCGATGTGCATATTCATCCCAGGGTTTGATGCAGACAATGAACTCGATTTGGACGGTGACGCATCCATAATGGTGATAATTACGGCCAAGGTCAACCTCAATTCGTCTAGCGATCGTATTCACGGCAGCTTCACCACCGTTTCTGACCCACAAATTATTGAGCTTCGATCGTCAGTCAGTCATGCAAAATTGGGTGATGATGAGGACTACCCTCCAATTTCCCATGAGGCCATCAATGAGTACCAGGACAAACGGATTCATGATCTAACACATTCTTCAACACCCTGTCATGTGTGGCTTCCAACATCAGGAGTTCGCATACCCGAGTGCGGCGTAAGCGCTCGTTCTCAGCTCGAATATAATTCGCCTCCTGCTTGAGTGCACGATGTCTACTCAGGACATCATTGTACTCTCGGAGTAGACTCTGCGGCCCTTCCATATTAACGATTGCTTTCTACGCATGGTGAATGACCCACCTGCACTACTATCAATCGCTGTGATGGGTTTTGCGAATTGAAATCCTCCCACGCCCGCTGAAGGCGGGGTCGATAATCGCTATGGGAAGTGAAGGTGTCTTGGGCCAAGCTGGCTGAAGCCAGCCTGCGAGGAAAGAAAATCGGCATCATTGAGACTGGGAAAATAAACAAGATCAGGAGTGTGATGATAAGTTATGATCTCGGTGTTGGCCCTGCTGGGAAAGGCAGTAGGCTGTGGCCATCATTTGCCTTCTTCGCCTTCCCGGCAAGGAACGAATCCAAACATGACGATTTTCTTGCCGACGCCTGTATGCCTCGATCTCGGTACTCAGTCCAACACTGAATTTGGACATTTCATTCGCAAGAGATACGGAGTACGATTGACATTACGCTACTCTCATCTGAACGCTAAGATCTCGAGCTTCTCTCTCGCCCATCACCACTCCACGCACAAAAGGTTCATTTACCTCACCTCTCGAAGCCATTGGTCGGTGTCTCAACAGATTGATTGTACTTGAAGTCAGGTCTAAAGACACCTTCCAATTCCAGCTGGGGACTTCGAGATCCTGAGACGGGCTCACTGCCAACTTTCGAGAGGAGAGTCACTGATCGCTTTTCAAATCTATGCGAGTTGACTGTTTGCGATGCATCTTGATACACTCCGAGATGTCGGTCTGCAACTATCATGTGTTTACATTTGGAGTCGCGAGCGAAGAAAAAGATGTTCTCTATCATCAGGAGTCAGCAATCAACTGGGCAGTATGACCCGACGTTCATCAATACTGACGCTGTATCTTCCACCGTGGATCGGGGGCGAGGATTAGATCCATTAAGTCCCGACTCCCATTGAAAGCTTGGATGAAGCGCATGAGGAGGGCATCGTCGCAACCATAGCCTGTAGACAAGCTTCTGCCGTCTGCAAAGAGCTTCACGACCAGTTTCCGCCGCTCCGTTGTGGGCAGCAACGTTCATAGATAATTTTCAAGTCGTTCACGAAGCATGTTTGCAGCTTCGACGCCACCACCATCCTTTCGTACGGTAGTCAAGTCGAACTTCTCGGGTTAGTTAAGCTCAAGGTCTCAATGAATGAGACTCATACCTTGAATGCGTCTGCATTGACGTTCAGAAGAACGGCAGTGTACTTTCCAGTCTGCTAGAATGACTATCAATGCTCGACCCCTCTGGTCAATAGAGCCAAGCACGTACTGTACGATTATCAGGCTCTCGATTGAGCCGAAGGTGTCCACCCGCCTCACCCCTCAGTTTCTGTATCTCATGTGCGTTCTCTTTCTCGGCCTCCTCGCTTCCAACAAGCTCATCTTTCAGATTTTCGATTTGCTCTTTGAGACCGCTACTCTCAATTTCAAGAATATTCACCCAAGTCTCTAGCTCCTCGTGCTCTCGTCCGAGCCTCGTTATCTCTTCGCCTTGTCGTTCGTGCTCTACGATAAGATTCTGAATACTCAACAGGGTTTTTCATGGTGACTGGAGTAAATTTACTCCAGACATGACTAAACTCACATTCAAAAGTTCTTGGTCAAGATGACGTGAGACTTGAGCGGCTTCGCCACGGGAGCGAAATGCTTTAAGTTCCTTCCTGAAACTGGCTACCTTAGATTCCATCCTAAGTGAGCTAATTGGGATCGACACGCGGTGAACGGGTGAAGGAAGTACCTTTTCGTGTGGAAGAAAAAGTCTGGTGTCTCAAGGGCACTGTTTTTATGAGAGCATACGCTGCCTTGTACCTTAGGGCATCAAGGCAGCATGATTTCGCCCGTCTAAGATGCCGCAGTGTTCACCGATAGAAATCAGGCCTAAACTGCGTTTGCTATGCACCAGCTGGGACGCCTTCAAGAAGTTTGAACGCCTACATCTTGATGTCATCAAGATGCATCAAAAGGTTTCCAAGCGAGCTTCGCCTTTAGGCATTGATCAATATCCATGTGATATGGCGTGGGAGAAGAAGCAGCGTTATGTGAGGGCATGGGAACTAGATGAGGGTAAAGGTAAGTCCGTTAATTGGAAAAGAATGACTATCTTCGTTTGATCGTCATAAACGACCAGCACTATTCTTCGCTGTCCTCATAAGCTCAATCATTAGTCTGTCCAAGCATATACCCGGCACGATTTCTCATTCTCATGACTACCTCACAGCACCACAACAAGACCTTCGCAGTCGACCGGTAACACGACTTGATTGTTGATCAACCAATAATCAAGTTTTCATCGTTCGAGGACTGTCTCTGAAACAGCATCACCAGAAGATATCGACATCGCTACGTCAATTTCGCTCCTCTGATGCCCATATATGCACATAGGGTCATCGCATATCTTGTTCTTCCTAAATTTGTTGCAGAGTCCGTTTCGCATCACGAACCAGAGGCAGTCATACTCACCTGCGGTCAAAGCCGGATGAGTATGGTTTCTGCCGCAAAGACCATTACAGTAGCCACGAAGGTAGTAGTAGCCGCAAAAAGAGTTCCTTGCCATCGCTTGCGCAAAATTCGGATCGACGAGAAGAGGCTTGTCGATTCTCTCACCGTCGTCACCGAACATCATTACGAGTCGACTGGTCAAAGCATTGGCGTTGACCAACCCTTGAGATAACTTGCTCCCGTGACCAATCTTAGTAGACGCAATCGATGGAGGGGATTGTTGCTTGTGTTGAACTATTCTTCCGGGCGCAAATACAGTGTGCAACTGAAGCGGTGGACTGGGAAACCCCAAATTCATGAACTTCGTGCTCAGCGCACCGCTGGCAATGAAGGTGATGCGCTCTCGTTCCGAACGGCCGGAGGCGATCTGACTGAGTCCCGGCAAATAACCTTTGTCATGGCAAACAGCAGAGAAAATACGCTTACACCTGATGTCGTTGAGGAAGAACAGAACGTTCTCTGTGGCGCCAAGTCAGTCTGCTGAGTATGCGGAAGGCTCGAGAGTTGATTTACCGCGAATCTTGTGATCCACGCCCTCCTTAGCATCACCAACATCGACAAAGTCGAACATTCCGCTCCTCTGGCTGAAACTCTGCACAAAACGCTCAGGATTGACGTGAACTCCCATCTTCCCACGTTTCAATACACCGGTCTTAAGACCTTTGAGATTTGCGAACGCTCTGATCACGACATCAATATCGTTGCCATCAGAGGCCATGTGATCCTCAATCCGAGCAGCTATCTCGTCCGCGGCTTTCTGGCCGCCATCAGGATGATTGAGAAACTCTTCACGAAACTGAGTATATGAGCATTAAATAAATATAGTGTTGGCAAGGTTCGCACCATGTAATCATCGGCATCGGCATCAATGAGCACAACAACAAAAGCTCGTCGGCTCTGTCCACACTATCAGTATCCAAGCACATATAGATTAGCGTCCTACAACACTTACCTTTAGCATCTGAAACTCCTTATTCTCACTTTGTAGCTTGCGATTGGCGTCTCGCTCCCGCTCTAGATCGCTCGACATATTACTCGAATCTTTACGAGCCCTCTTCAGATCCTCAACAAGGCGCTACACACTCGTCAGCGAATTTAACATATCCCACTAGAGCCTCTTCAATACTGCAAGCAAATTGTTCCTCTCAGCATCTACCTCTCCAAATCTCTTCAGCGAGACATCATAGCCATCGTGTTCATCACCTTCGTCAACCATCTTCACTACAAGTCTCTAATCTTGATCACTACATGCCGGACATCAATACTTATAGAGCAGCACAGATGAACGAAGGCAAAGGACGTGTTTGCAAAGACATTCACCCGCTCTCTGCCCCAAGTGGCTGTGCAAACAGTTCTGCCTGCAGTAGCACGAAGGGGGCTGGGCGGCTAGGGACATGGCCATCAAATGAGAAGGTAGCTTGCGCAGCGGGCAGCCAGAGCGTGGAGCAACACCAGCCAACCAAGATCTGACTAAACACATGAATGGCAAGTACCTCTACAAAGCGCAAACGAAAGTGTGTGCATCTATTTGCTATCACGGTGCTTCGCAAACATCGGCGGAGACTCTTGCGGCTCCTTTGTGGCTGCACAGACACCACTGACACAGTTTCACGAGCATCAAAGCGCTTTGAAAAACGCTCTCGAAGATTCTATCGCACAGTAGCGCGTAGACGCGGGCAATGCGTAGACGAAGGGAAATGCTAGAACACGCTTGATTCCCCACGAAATAGATAAAGCACCCATCACCAGAGCCAGAAGTGCTGGAAGCGACAGCTCTCGCCCAATAAGGGTGACATGGGCATAGACCGAGCACAAACGGCGCTTCGCCTTGCGGGAGAGCTCAGACCCCCGGATTTCCACGCACAGAGGTTGCGAAAAGGACGACAAAGACGGACTTAGTTCGCACGACGTAGCTGATTTCAAAGATTAAACAAGAGCCTCGCACAAACCGCAAAGAATGTAGAATGCATAAATGAACGAGCTCAATTTTGTCTACCCACAATCTATCCTTCTATCACCACGCAACTCACAGCCTGTTTTCTACATCTCTATTCTCCCCTTCAAACCAAACAATTTATCGCCTCCTTCCCCCCTCCCCCACACCTCTCTCACGCCAGCGCCTTTCTCAAAAACTCCACAAGCCGCCCCACACACGGCGGTTTCATCATACTAAAATGATTCCCCTCCATATGCGCCGTGACCAATTTCCCCTCATCGATAAACTCCTCCCACAAATTCGCCCCAAAATCCGTGCGATTCTCCAACAACCACTCGGCATGACCATACGGATACGGATCCGGCCTGCGATCCTCGGGCGTCTTACAAACCCCATCTTCGCACCACATCGCCCACACATTGGGACTCTTCCCCCCGGGCAGCGGACACGCGTCATACGTCGACAGCGCGGTGACGGACTGGGCAAAATGCGGGAGCAGCCAGGGCGGGAGTTTGTCGAGCGCCCCGTCGCCGTCGCCGAGGAGGCCGATGGAGCCGAAGAAGCGATGGAGGGAGGATGGGAGGGGTTCGATGATGAGGGGGCAGGGCGTATCGATGAAGACGAGCGTGTCCACCGCGTCGCCGAGTGCGATCAGCTGCTGCACGATTTCGTAGGATATGACGCCGCCCGCAGACCAGCCGCCGATGTGGTAGGGGCCCGATGGCTGCCGCCGTTTTATCTCCGTCACGTATTTGGTGGCGATGCCGACGACGCCGATTATGAATTCTTCGGGGGTGCGGCAGAAGGGGGAAGTCAGGCCCCAGATGCAGAGCATGGGGGATATGGTGTCCATGAAGGTGTAGGAGGTGGGTGCGCCGCCGCCGTCGGGCACGAGCCAGAATTCTTTGGTGGCGGTTTTGGGGCTGCCTTGGAGGAGGAGGGAGGTTGCTTGGCGGTCGGGGAGTTGGACTTTCTTTGTTCGTGAAGTGGTGGGCCGGGCAGTTGAGAGGGGGGTGGAGGGTCTTGAGCTGGGTCGTGTGCTGGGCTGGGTGGTTGGTCTTGTTTGCGGTTGTGACTTAGATGCTGCGCCGCTCTTCTTTGGCTGGGGCTTCTTTTTAAGCGCAGACTCGGGAGGTGTGATATGCAGAGCTTGCTCGATGGCTTTGATGCTATGGTTCTCGACAAAGAAGTCTGAAGGTAAGGCAAGGCCCGCTTGTTCTCGAAGCGTACCCAGCATCGTCAATGCCATGAGCGAGTCCATACCAATTGTGCTTAAGTCCTCAATACTGAGTAGCTCGTCAACGTCGACCTCCATACCTTCGGAAATTGTTTTTCGAACGAGAGTCGACAGATCAGATGAATTGGCCGGTGATCCCGGATGTGAGATAGGTGTGGAGACTGACCCTGGAGTAGATGATGCGTCATCAAAATCTGATGATGATGATGATGATGATAATGACGCTGTCGTACTCTCGTCCTCTTCGACAACGAGTACAGGTGTTGTAGCTTTCTCAAATTGGCTCAAGTACGCTTTGAATTCCCCAATAGTAGGATGATCGGCAAACACTTCTTGGTCAATGTTGATGTCAAGTTCTTCTCGTATACGCCCACTGATCGTCAGTGACATTAGGGAGTCAACGCCGATATTGGTGAAGACAATGGCATCAGCCAGCTCATCGGTTGGCATGCCGACTTCTGCAGCAATGATCTCCAGGACTTGATTTGTAACAGAAACAGTAGGGTTCGTTGATACCGTAGATTTATTGATAGCCTTTTTGGTTCCTCTAACAGCGGCTGCTTTGGGAGCTGCCTTGGGCGCAGGCTGGGCCACTTGCTTTTGCACAGCAGCTCCTCTAGGCGGAAGGAACGTATTTAATAGCGCACGAGGTATGCACTGAAACTTCAACTGCTCACAAAGACCAATGATACGATCTCCGTCGAATATGTATACGTCTCCGGCCATGATGTTGTTGTCGAGCGGCTGCATCTTGACGTAAGAGCGGTAAGTCTTCTCAGCCCTCAATGGTTCTGCAAAGCGCATAGACTCCCAGCCGTGGGAGACATAGACCTGTTTGCTGGAATCGATGGTCTCATTCGCATTGACGATGAAGCCGGCGAGATGGCAGACACTGTCAATCCAATAGGGGCTGCAGAAGAATTTACCATCCTCATCTCTTGTCTGGAAGGAGATCTTGGCCGTAGCTTCAAGCTCTGGGCTGTCAAGTATGACATCCTCCATACCCTGGTATTTCCTGTCGTACTCGACAAATGACCCAAATAATCGGTATGCAATGCCTCGAAGCATTCTATGAGCTTGTCCAGTAGACTCGAGTCTTTTCAATCGATCTATCCGCTCACCAATGAGGTAGGTCTGCCGCTGCCACTTATTGGCCCACTCAATACCATGACCATACTTGACGTAGCACTTGGCGTGTTGAACTTCAGCCTTACCAGAGCCACTACTGAACAAGAGTGTAGCCTTATCATCGCCAGCGCTGAATGTACCACTCAAACGAATAGTCTGACTTTTGCTAATGTCTTCATCAACGATGAAGGGCTTGAAAACTTCCATATCGCCGACATCAGGAAGAATACCGTCAGCACCTGGTTGGAGTAACTCATGTAGATGCTGGCCAACAGTCATGGCCATGTCCGCGTACAGCGAAGATGGACACAAAGCTGTGCCATTCACCATATGACCTTGAACGGCAGCTCTGAGCTGGGGCTGGGCAGTGTCTGACTCAATGATGACCGTTGCGCTGTGGCTATCAACGTTCTCAGAGACCAGCTTTTGCACTGATGTCGTTGTCATAGACGACGTGGGCTCGGGCAAAGCTGGCTTATGCGTAACACTACCCTTGGATAGGTTCCAGTCTCCGGTGTATTGAATCCAGTAGTTCTTGTTGTCAAAGGCATATGCTGGCAGATCCAAAACCCTGACGCAATCCGCAAATGCAGCGTGATATTGATTCCAGTCAATGGCGATACCAACCAAGTGCAGTGCTGACAAGCTTTCTGCAATGGTCCTGTAGGGATTGACATCGCGACGCATTGTTGGGGCAGTGAGGGTTTCTGCACCAAATGTCGACTTGACAAAGCTAGTGCAGACTGGATGAGGGCCCAATTCAACCCAGGCGGTCTGATCGTTCACAAGACCAAACTGCTTAGCAAACGAGAGGCCACCAACGAAGTTGACTGGCTCTCTTGCGTGACGTGCTAAGTATTTGGCATCTATGGTGTTGTCTCCGTTCAGGACCGAGGATAACAAGGGCGAAACAACCGGAACCTTAGCTTTAAGGAACGTGACATTGCCTGCCAAGAGCTCAAAACTCTCCATGATAGGATCCACTTGGGACGTGTGGAATGCGAATGGTGTCCGAAGCTTTGTGCTCTTGATTCCTTGCTTACCCAGCTTCTCTGCAAATTCATCAATGTCTTGTACCGTGCCCCCAAGAACTGTTTCTTGAGGCCCATTAAGACAGGCTATCTCCACCCTGCCAGCCTCTTCCAGGATGCCTTGAAGCGAGACAGCAGAGACTTTGCATGCTAGCATGGCATGTGACCCTGGAGTACATTTCTCCAGCAAGAGTTTCGCCCGCTCACCCACAAGGTAGATAGTGTCTTCGATCGAAAGGACGCCAGCAGCATTAAGAGCAGCATACTCACCCAGACTATGGCCAATGACAACATCCGGTTTCACGCCAAGAGAATCCCAGAATCGAGTGAGGGCTATCTGGATGCTATTAAGACCAAGTTGCACGACTAGAGGAGAGAGGTCTTTGGCGTCGACGGCCTCGCCATTCTCATCCTTTCCCTCGATCAAGGGCAAGAGCGAAGGATATCCAAACCCTTTGCTTACATTGTCAAGGGTCTGTATATCATCCTTGTACGACTGAAAATACTCGTAGAGAGCTTTGCTAAGGGCGGTGTAATGGGATCCTTGCCCGGTGTAGGAGAAAGCTATTCTTGGCTTTGAACCTGGTACAGGGCTAATGTCATGCTCAAGCTGGGTATTCAAAAGTTCGACTATCTTGCTCAAGTCATTGCCACAGCTGAAAGCGATGCGGTAATTGTGTTGAATACGACGAGCAGTGGTTGTGTATGAAAGATCTGGAATGGTGACATCCGGATTTTGGGCGATGTACTTGATAAGATTCTGAGTGTTGGCTCGTAGAGCGGCTTTGGATTTTGCCGAAACAGCAAGGACCCATTCTCCTCGAGGGTCAACTCGGGGTGACTGTTTGAGAGGCGCTTCCTCGAGCAATGTGGCAGTGTTGCCGCCAGCTGCGCTAAAATTGTTTACAAACACCCGCCGCGGGCCTCCATCTTTCGTGTGGAATGGGGTTGGCTTCAAAGCGATGTGAACGTTACGTGCGTCCAGGTCTTTTGGAAAGCCGTGGTTGATTTTACCTTTGATACCACAGTGAGGGGGGATCGTACCCTTCTGCATCATCATAAGACTCTTAATGAAGGCTGTGACTCCTGATGCTGCCTCGCCATGGCCAACGTTGGCTTTGGCCGAACCGATGTGCAATGATCTTTGTCTCGTGCCAGTACGAGACTGTGGAGCGAAAACATTAGTAACGGATTCCATCTCCGTACTGTCACCCGCTTCAATAATATCAGCAGGATTGAGGACCTCTCATTGTTAGACTTACCTTGGGTGCCAGTGCCGTGCATTTCCACGTAGTCAACGTCGTGCGGATCGAGTCCAGCATCGCGCATGACTTTCTTGAAGAGTACTTCTTGCGTTGGCGCGTGGGGATGAGTGATTGAGACCGCGTCGGCTGAGTGATTAGTAGCTATGCCGCGGATGACTCCAAGAATGCGATCATTGTCCGCTTCAGCATCTTCTAGTCGCTTGACGATGACGGTACCAATCCCGTCTCCTCGACAATCTGGTGTATAAGTGAGTCAGGAGTGCGGAAGGACTATAGTTGAGTGTACTTACAGCCATCAGCACCATCATCGTATGTCTGGCAGTTTCCAGTCTTGGACAAGAACTGTCCACGGCTCAAGCCAGAGAAAATGTCGGAATTGGTCATGACATTAAGGCCACCGCATACCGCAGTATCGCAGTCCCCGGCCCATAATGAGGTGCAAGCCAGCTGTATTGCGGCAGCGCTTGAAGAGCAGGCCGTGTCTATGCTAAAGCTGGGTCCAGAGAATTTGAAGTGGTAATTGATCCGCCCCTATGTAAAGATAATTAGCAATGGTGTGCCAGTGATAAGCGAAGTGAAGAGCTCACCGGTCCGAAAGGTCGTACACCACCAGTGATGAAATAAGTGTCAATATCTTGGGCGGCATTGACCTCACGCCAGTCATCGCTGGTCTGGCCATAGAACGTGCCAATGCGGTCCTGTTGAGTAGATGGGGTTCGATTAGGGACGTAACCTGCCATTTCCAATGCCTCATAAGCGGTAGCTAAGGCAAGACGCTGCATCGGGTCTGTCTGTGCTGCTTCTCGAGGTGACATGTTGAAGAAGCGTGGGTCAAAGAGACCTGGTTCCTGAATGAAGCACCCGTAGGGAGTGTGACTGGTGTTGCGGACTTTGCCATTGGGATCGTAATGCTTCTCGACATCGAATCGATCGGAAGGAATCTAGTTCATTATGAGCCTTACATAGGTCGATGTCGAGTCCCATAGAAAGTATGCTTACCCTTCTATGGACGTCCAACCCAGCTTCTAGTAGGTCCCAAAACTTCTCGTGGTCGGCAGCGTCAGGGAAGCGACCAGCCATGCCGATAATAGCAAGCCTTGGCTTGGTGAACGCATTTTTGGGGTCCATTGTGCTGCTACACGTAACGATACGATAGTAGGTAATGACTTTACATAGCAGAACGATAGTAACCGGAGTTCAGTGAGGAATGGAATGAGGATCTTTTTAACTAAAAGGATGATGGGTCTGATCTATCTCGAGACCCTCAATCCCATGTATCTTTGGCCGAGCCAGGCAACCATTGCAGGCCACTGACGAGGATACTCCGGCGTCAACTGCGATCAGACACAAGGATAGTGACGTGGGGTTCGCCAACATCAAGGTTGCTGTATGGAACATTCTGATAAGCATTATTGAAGACTCTGGGCGACGTAAAGCGGCAACTTGCACCAACTTCGCAGCGGTACCAACCAGCCTGCTAGATACGTTGATCGTCATCAACTTCACCGCGAATCATCTGAGCTTCAGGCACCAAGGAGAGCTGTCGGTGGATTAGGGATGGAGCAGCTGTCACATTGAGACGGCATACGAGTGGCACAAGCCGCAAAGGCCGCTTCTGACGGTCGGTTGATAATGATCGACGGTTACTTATCTCTCGGTTCGTCGACGTTGACTGAGTGAGTGTGGCCGTAAATGACGATGTAATGAGCTTTCAAGAACAAACACAGCGACTTCGCACGTCAGAAAAAGTGGCGACTCTGGGACTGGCGAACTCAAGCAGAAGCGGTAATTACATGGTAAGCGAGGAATACGCAGCATCGGTAGAGGATCCGCTGCAGTAGAACAGACGAACATGAGTGTTTGCGATTTCCAACGTACTCGTATCACCGGGTCGTTACGAGTGTTTCGAAATGAGATTGTCTGTTGTAATTTTGAATTGATGTTGCGCCAGACTTCGTTTGACTCAACGTCGATAATCGTCCGTGAAATGCAATCTTATTGCATGTCTAGTGCTGCATCCCATTGGAAATCTTAGCCGAGCTGATCGATGCATTCGGTACTTTCGGACAGACGAGGGGCCTGTCAGCCCTAGCACCGTGCATAAAGTGGAGTCTCGCAACGGCCCCAGGAATTGCGGTGGGGAACCCTCACTGTATGGGCACATTGTGGTCTCAATATTGAGATACGTATGCTGGTATCCAGAGCTTCGTATCGATTCAGCTTGCATTTACCATTATCAGCCTTGACTGGTGTGTGCTATCAGACAAGGATGTCAGGCCGATTCAGTGGATGCATTCAAGTTAGAAATATCGCCGGAGCATCTTTACTCCATCTCTTGAATGTTCGGGGCCTGGTCTGCGGCAACATCGTGTCATCAATATCTGGATATTGTTCCAGCATGCCTCGAAGTACCTTTGTAATTGAAGTAATTAAAGCTCAGAACGCAGGGTAATATGATCTGCAAAGGCCTGAGAGCGGTTTCTCCAAATGCAGCACTTGCATGTGCTTGTGAATCTACATATCGATCATCTCGCCATAGACCATTTCTTTCTATGTCAAGGGTGAAGTCGTTGGCGACCCGCGTGCAACTGATGGTTGCAAAGACAGGATGTAATCTTTAGCGTATCTGTGCTCCAGCTCAAATTTTAAGCTCATCTTACGAAAGCACGATCCCGGTTGTAGTCTCCCAAGCTCTCCAAGTGGGTGCGAAGTGGCCAAAAAGGTCGGCCTAATGCGGCTGAATAGTGGCTTAAATTCAACGACCTGCTCGGTGGCCGGGCGGCACAATTCTCTCATACTGCAAAACCGACGACCTCAGCAAAATGCTTCGAGCAGATGTATCGAATGATCCAGTCTAATGGGTGATGGGAGTCATAAGTGACGCCGCTTGGTCGTATCCATTGCGTTGAACCCAGTCGAAACTTTATGATGTGTTTGGCCAGACTGGGAACAGCTTGCGTTGTCGTCTCATGCCATTTTGCCTGTCTTCTCGAAAACCAGGATAAGTTTTCTTGCACATTCAGGTCGAATCAGTGGGTGTTTGCAGCAAATGCATTGCTTCATTCTCCTAGTACTGAATGACCTTGATTTAGCGATCCACAGGAACAGTTCAGGCCACACAGGATGCATGTGGAGGGAGCAGTCTGTCAATTTGCTTTGCATATCGCCTAGCGACGTCAAGACTATTCTCCGAGTCCCAGATCTGCAAGACTTGCTGTCACATGCAACGTGCCCCCCTGCATGAATTATTCCGATGCACATACGAAATCTGCAAGATGAACACAGCAGAGTCGCTGTTTCGGAATGACGCCTTTCGTAATGATCATCGATGCTGCAAGTGAAATCAATCGCCATGCTCAATTATCCCCATGTGGTCAATCGAGAATGCTTGATATGCAAGTTTGATGACCACATCGTATCGTGCCTGAGAACGGACCTCGCAAGAGATCACGATGTGAAATCCAGGATCTCTTTCCTTACATTCTTTTTAGAGATGTCAAGGCAAAGATAGAGTAATAAGTTAGAACATGACCTAGGCTAAACTGTAAACTGTCATGGTGCGTAATTCTTTCATAGGTGCTGTATCCAGCCGTCTGCAGCGTCCTATCGCCACCATGGCGACTTCACGATTGCTGCATAATAGACTACAACAGGAACAGCACAGACGCCACACACATGTCACCGTAGATCACATTAATGACGTCGAATGTCGGACGTTAATGAACAATTTCTCGAACTGTCTCTGGAGCAAATTTTCCGGAGGTCGGACCCTGAAAATTGCCAAGACACCGGCTCTGCTTAATTCGGAAAGGACATTTCTGTGGAGAGGACAGAATTGAAAGAAGGACATCCTTGTAAAGAGGACGCTACATTGCGATGACGTAAAATGTCTCGGAGAATATGACGTAGGAATGAGCATGGACGAAAATCCCAATACGAGAGCCCAATTCACGATGAACAGACGAGCAAGCTGACAGCGCCCCAACCTCCCATCTCACTCCCCCAAAATGTCCAAACAAACACTCGAGCTCCACTGGGGCATCCTAGCCACGGGCGGAATAGCGCAAACATTCGCCAAAGACCTCTCCATCGACCCCAAAACACGCAACGTATCCACAATCAAGCACTCCGTAGCCGCAGCCGCCAGCTCCTCCAGCAAAACACGCGCTCAGGAGTTTCTGAAAGAAGTCGACGCGCCCTCGTCAGCGAAGGCGTACGGTTCGTACGAGGAGCTGGTCAAGGATCCAGATGTGGATATTATATACATAGCGACGCCGCATAGCCATCATTTCCAGAACGCGATGCTGTGTTTCGAGCACGGGAAGAATGTGTTGTGTGAGAAGGCGTTGACGGTGAATGCGGCGCAGGCGAGGGTGTTGGTGGAGAAAGCTCGCTCGAAGGTTTTTGCGCCTTTTCCCTGCCCTCTTCGTGCACGGATTTGACGGTTAGCCTGTTGACTGGGTTGTGATTATAGGATCTTTTCTTTATGGAAGCGGTTTGGACGCGCTACTTCCCGCTCTCGATCTACGTTCGCGAGTTGATCACATCGGGGCATTTGGGGTCTGTTCACCGCGTCATTGCCGATCTTTCTATGGCTATGGATCCCGCAACCTCGTTTGCGGACGGGAAGTCGCGCATGGTGAATGTGGATCTTGCTGGTGGCGCGCTGCTTGATCTAGGCATCTATTCGCTGACGTGGTTGTTTCAAACGCTGTATACGACCCAGCCGGAGTCTCAGCGTCGAAAGCCGAGTGTGCAGACGATTATGAGCCCGTTCAAGACGGGCGCTGATGTTCATACTTCGATGATTTTGGAGTTTCCTAGGGGTGAAGGGGAGGGGCCGGTGCATGGTGTTGCGACGACTAGTATGTTGGTCGCTGGGGACCCGGATGGGAAGGGCTCGGCTGGTCCGACGATTCGGGTGCAGGGGACGAAGGGGGAGGTTCAGGTCTTTCATCCGGCGTTCAGGCCGGTGAAGACGAAGTTGGTGATGAAGGATGGGACGGTGGAGGATAAGGAGTGGCCGCAGCCAGGGCCAGGGAAGGGGAGTGGGTTCTTCAATAAGTTCGGGTCGGACAAGAGGGAGGAGGGAGAAGGGCAGGGAATGTTTTGGGAGGCAGATGAGGCGGGGTATGCGCTGCTGGAGGGGCGGAAGGAGAGTCGGTATCAGAGCCTTGAGGAAAGCGTTGTTATAATGGAGGTCATGGATGAGGTGAGGAAGCAAGGGGGTCTGAAGTATCCGGAGAAGATTGAGAGTGTAGAGTATCCTTTGAATCTGACTTGAAGAAGCTCGTTGGTGATGAGGCATGTTCTGATATAGGATCGGAAACGCGACTGGATATTTTGTAAATACGAAAATCATCGCTCATCTACCGCCAAGAAGTCCTTCGTTGTTGGCAAATACCGCGGTACAAACCACAGCGTATTTCCATGCCTTGCTTTTGACCCTTCTCAGATGACCATGTTCTTTCGTCAACGTGTTTCAACAGTCTCTGGCCTACATTATGCGGCCTCGGTGTTCTAGACTTTCCACATATCCCGTCCGTAAAGACCGTCAAAGCTTGATACAGAATCCAGAGTTCCTGCGGATTCCTTACCTTCCAACCACTCGTACGCCATCCAAATGCACCCGCAATAACTGATTTGGAGATTCCACAGCAAATTGACATGGAAATGCAGTCCTCGGCTTCTCCGTAGGCATAGCTTGTAATCAATGAGCTCCATGGTGCTCCCTGATCGCAGCAGAATTGCCTATCGAAGGGCACTTTGAACTCTACAGATGCTTTCCACCATTTCGCCTTTACGGCATACATGATGTACCAATTTCAATGACGAGGCGTTGATTTTCTCCGCGCGCCTCATGTCTTAACCTAAAACCTAGGACTTCCCCACCGCCCTCTCCAAACATTTTCGAAGCGACCCAAATGTCTGTTGAGTCCAGTTGCATTTGTGCGACCTCAAAGCTGGAAAGAACACGACTGCCCTCTGCTAAACCAGGTGTAATTTCACTTGCAACAAGGACATCAACAGGGGGAGGTGAAGTCAGGTAAGGATTCTGCGACCAACATAATAAGAATCCCGCTTCGTCTGCACCTATGAACATAGCAGCTCTCTTTTCTATCACATCCGAAGGCGTAGACTGTAATGTTCCTTCGGAAAGTTGTATGAGCATGTCATGCTCCCCACGGCTAACGTAAATTCTGGTGGAGTTTGCAATTGAATAATGATCTTTTTCGAACGACGGATCATAAGCACTGATCCCTGATCCTGACATGTTTTTTATATATTGGAATTTTTCACGTGTAGATTTGGATAGAACGATTTTGATTGGGTCCCAAAGTTTTCTCTTAATATTTATCGAACTTGACAAGGAATATCCGGAGTTCACCAGGAACATTCTCTTTTCGCCAGTTTGACGCGGCGCCTGCAGCGTATTGAGCCTAAATGAATTGATTCTGGAAGCCTTGCCAGATTCATATTCTTGTAGAGTTATGAAAACGAGAGTTTCCGTGTCGCTGTATCTTTTACAAGCAAGCGGAACCTCCCATCGTGAGACACGCCTAGGGTCCGAATCTTCTGTACCTGCATTATCAAAGTCACAGTAAATCTGCTCATCGACGAGGAACTGGATTTCTAAACCTATATTTGTCATTACATACGGCTTTCCATGTACGTGGGGAACGTTGAAGACCTGTACGATATCGCCAGAATCTCTGAAAGCTGAAGGGTGGCGTGCGAGCATCCCACTGTACTCCAGATTATTATCGACCCAGGCAAATATTGACTGGTCATCTGATCTTCGGATGAATTCTTCTTGCAGCCTTATAAAGGCTCTCTCTCCTTCCCCGTAAAGTAAAGGCATATTTACTTCAAAGATCCCTAGAAGACAGTAGGCCATATCCTCAATCCTTGTAGTTCTCCTATTGGCCATCCAGGACATTTTTGCTGCTGCACTCGCTCGATGAGGAAATTTAAGATGTTCAAGACTGATACGCGTAACCTTAGAGATATAAGTCGCAAGAGTCTGTTTGCTACCAATCACAAGCCAGTTTGAGGCAAGGAAAATGATTCTCGGAGAAGCAAGAAGTTCTTGTAATGTCCAACCTCTGGTAAACCATTTGGGCGCTGCAAAAATTTTCGGATTAAATATCAATGAATCCGTCCTATCTGCCAGGTGTGCATAACATATCTCGGCATTCTTATACCAACGATACATGGCATTGATAGCTTCGGTCAGCTCGGCACTGCTTGATTTGTCGATACAGCAGGTGTCAATCCAGACATAATCCCAGGACTCGGATGCCGCTAGACGGCAGCATTGAAGAATTTTCTCGTTTCGCCTGCCTTGGAGGAAGTCTTGGTACGATATTTCGTTCTCTCCCCACGTATGGGAGAGAACGGCGTAGGGAGGCACATCATCGTCGTTGTATTCAAACAATCGATGCTGGGAGGTGTGGAGTAATCTCATGCCTCAAAACAAGCCTTGTTAGCTTGTTGTCGGAGGGATAGTTTCGCCTATCCTATCGAAAGGTGCTGGGCAACCCAGGTAAGGATCCCAAGCGTCTTAGGTTTTGGCCCCGTTTGAAAATTTAGTGTCAGATCTAGCAGATGAGAAGCCGATGTAGAGGCTCAAAGTGACTCGCGAGTGCTCGTTTGCTACCTGATTTGTGCTAAGATTTAGGATTTTCGGGCCATTCTTTTCATCATTCACCCATTAAGTGGACGGCTAAAAGACCACTGACGCAACAAACAGGCTTCCCAAACAAATCTGGGGCTTGACCTTTATCGAATAAGCGAAAGACGGCCTGGCGGTCCGCTTGCAGTCCTCACCCACTGTGATCCTCGGTTGTCACTCACATTGACAACAACTTCCAGTACCGAGCCTTCTCGTGACTTGCCTAGGGATACGCTGATACGTAATTAGGGACCTGAAATGCCTTAAAAATTGTACTTGGGCGAGTTCAAGATCAACCGTGCATGGCATATTGACGGAGTCGTTAAAGTAAGCCCTCGGAGATAGTAAGGTATGCGTGGGCATTGCTTGGCAAATTCTCGGAGCGGCTCAACGTAAATCCGTGAAAGCCCTAGAACGCCCGAGTCACCGCATTAGGGAATGTATCTTCCCAGTATATTAGCTCAGGCTCGCTTTGAGCAGCATAACAGGAACGCCTTGACCGGCGTATACGATATTCTCACTTAGAGGACTGACAGAACTGTCGTCACCTATGATTCTCCAGCGAGCAGATGCACAGCGAATGCCCCTCCAAGACGCGAGATGTTAGAAGTCATAGGACGAACAGTATCGCCTAGCCATCCCTTACATGGCGTCTTCGCAATGCAAGAAGAGTGGGAAACAAATTGGTCATAGATTTGAGGCTTCTCCTGCTAGTCTGAGCTCGAGTGCCCAGTGTTCAAGCTAAATATGGGCGCAAAACCGCTGTACCATGTCCGGCTATCGCAAGGGCTAGGGGCCGGTATACGTCTTGACCAGCAGTGCTTATAAGAGAATCTCTACAAGGGTCACGACAAGAAAGCCTCACGCTCAATGGCCGAGGCCTCGAAACGACGAAGCAACGGACGCCAAATACCGGCCCACGCCTCCGATCTCAGGGCGAGCCTTACAAAAGGCAACGAACCCAGGATGACATGTGGTGCAATCACCTAAAGCAATCTTGATCTGAGCAATAGGAGGTCACATTTGGCAATGAAGCTCATGCGAGCCGTATTCCTTGGCATTGATGCAGGTCGTACGAAGCCAGGAGAAGGATCTTCGTGACCCGAAATGACGGTCGAATCGCTGCAAGATTTTCATCAAGGATCCGTCACGGGCCTTTGGAGGAAGAGATGATTGGGAAAATTGTTACAGCGATAGCAGGGTCACTAACCTTGCGTGAGCGAGGTTGCTTACCTAGGGAACATGTTGTGCCATGAGTCACCCTGGCCATGCTCACAGGATCGGACAAGACCAATCGTGAGCCTCTCAGTCGGTATGATATCAGATAGGCTGTTGTCCCCGTGCTTACTCGATCAACATGCGACTCGGTACCAGCGTCAGCTCTCACGCTGGAAAGACATCACAGCCTTCCCATGGCTTGCGTCATGGCTGCATCCCTAAATTGGGGAGCCAACTTGGGACCTTGCACAGTCTCTACAGAAATCGTACGATTTGATCGGAGTTACTGTATGCAGCGTGTCTCACATGCATAAGTTTTCACAAAGGTAGATGTGAGCAAGTTGCGGAGGCTTGTGGAATGTTCATGGCACATTCAACCCGGAAGAGGCTTGCAGTCCTCTTGTCGAGCTCTCCATCAAGAAGTCATCGCAAAGGGTAGCGACTAAACACAGGCGCATGCTGTCATCCTAGTCTGACTGGCTGGCTAAAAGTGACCCATACTGCGTAATACACATTACGCTTATGGGGAATATGCTTCCCCAACTAGAGGGAGTATATTCACCCTACAGCTGTCCCATGGAGACCTTCTTCGTTCGAGACCTGCTTAAAAGTGCCGAGATTGAGGAGTCGACTCGAACAAACCGAGCAAAATAATTTCGGGCCGTCATGCAAAACAATTACTGAGTCGCTGGCAAAAGTATGGCGAGATTGCTAGACTCAAGCCTGGTGGCCTCCTTCAATTCTGTTCTGCGCGTTCAACGTTTGCTACCCAAACCTTTCGCAATGCCACGACGTCTACAAAGCTTCAACAGGAAATTCGATGCATTTTGCTTTTTCAATCACGCCCTTGGCGCCTGGCCACACACGGCCTCCTCAAAATCCGAAGCCAACCTCCCCACAGTCTTCTCTTCCCCACGCCCTATCTCCCAAACAGCCCCTCTACGCCCTCAACTTCACCTCATTCTCCCACAACTTCACAATCCCCTGCAGCTTCTCTAGCCGCTCCTTCCCCATCTCCCTCCCCGTCGCCGTCTTCATCATCCCCGGCAATTTCGCCGGCTTCTGGTTCAGATGGTTAATCCCATCCTGCAAAGTCCGTCCCTCCGCGATATTGAATCCGATCGCCCGAGTGACTCCCACAGCTCCCAGGGCGTCCAGACGATCTGCATCTTGGACGATCGCTAGTTCTGGCAGCTTCTCCAGACACCGCTGAACCTTCTCTGGGTCTTTGATCTCGTGAGAGTAGGAAACACAATTCACGATCTCCTGGATATTTGCAGCCAGGTCTTCATAGACGCCGTGGCTGAGGAGGATTCGTTCTGCAAGGGTCTCTCCGTCCTCTCCTTCTGGGAGGTACTTGTGATCCCCCACGTCGTGAAGGAGGGCGGCAAGGCGAATGATGTCGTTCCGGTAAACGACATCGGGAGCTTTTCGTCGCTCGTTGATTTGCAGTAGCTGAGCGAGGTTCAGGACGCGCTCTATATGGTCGAAGCCATGGGACCCGTCGAACTTCTCCATTCGTTCTCGTACCTCCTTCTTCACCTCCTCGATGATGTGTTTGATCATCATGGTTTTGTCGTTAGGCTGGTGGATTGAGGAATCAGAGGTAAGTGACTCGTTGAAGAGGAGAGTTTCTTCGTGGGAGAAGTCTGACATAGGTCGTGGCCTGAGTAAGGAAGAATCTGTGATAGTGAGTTGATGAAGAAAAGATAGGAAGAACAAGGGGCACGCTCACGTTTATATATATTTAAGCCGGTGAAGTGTCGCACTAGACTCTCGTGACGAGGAGTCGTCTTATTGGCCGAAACAGTAGGACACTCGTTGTCACAGACTTCTTTGTTTGGTGTGTGAACAAAGCTTCGAACACGTGGAGTCGAATCGCTGCGGCGGCGTTCTTTGTTCTCGTCCGAGCATTGCTGAGCGTGCTTTCATTCACACTTCTTACACTTACGTCAACGGGTCTAGCAACAATTGCAATACCATCTATGAGAATCAACACTTTTGTATCGACAGTAATTGGTGACATTGTGTCAGCTTCCCCTTGCTGGAATTGTGAATCAAATCTTGCGCGGCCATGTCTCAAGCCCTCTCTCTGGTACAAATGATTACTCTTACAAGGGGTAGATACTACGGCAACCTCATCGTCCCGGTAGTCATCGTCCGACCTCAGGCTACTAACAATGCTGCTGTAGGACTTTGCACTTGATAATGGGACAGAAGCCTGTGGGTGGCACTTATATATGGCTTGACAAGAAGGCAGACCAGCTGTGTCTCAATGTGACAAACATCGCATGCTTTTCACCCATCAGATTGACGTTTGTACACTTCATTTGCGCCATCCCAAGCTATTTGCCAACTCCGGCTTGATATCAATCAAGGCAAAAATTTCTCTCAATCAGTTTGTATGTTTTTTGTCACGATGAGTCAGGTAGCCTGCAGGTTCCCGGTTACTCAAACCATGTAGAGTAGCGGTGGTAGCAAGCTATGAAATTTTTGAATCCAGATCGACATTGAGCAAGCATGTTGTAGGGTTACTTAAATGCCAACTCGAAGTAGGTACAGCGACTGCTCCAATTACTGCAGTGATGATAAAAAGTCTCTCATCGCGCAAAATGAAAGCTTCTTTCCATTCAAACGTACCGATCGCTTGCATATATCAGCTGTGGGTACTCCCATGCAAAATGAGTATATCACCTTTGCTTTAGGCATCTGATTGTAGCAACGCTGCTCCCTATGACCACTAGATTTCTTGATGGAGAGACGTCACGCGTAGTCCAAAGGGGTTTTTCTTCGCATCTACATTGATCCAATCTCCTATGGGCATAAACAATTTGCAGCTCGACTGGATCCCTCTGCTTTCTTTTCCTCGCTAAGGTTATTCTGCTTATAAACGACGGATGGATTTGATCTGCGGGGCACGGGGTGAGGAAGTCCCAACACACTTATAGATCCTCTGATGCCTGAGGCGTTGGTATGGCTTATCTCGTGAGTAAGATCAAATATTTCTCGTCCTGTTTTTCTTTTTTTTTTTTTTTTTTTTTTGGGAAGGAGTTTTTTGGCTTCGAGGGGTTAAAAAAGTATAGATGAAAGAATGAAAGCAAGTTGGGACTGACCTAATATATATACCAAGACCGGGGCGTGGAGACAACTATACCTCTTGCGATGGGTGGAGGCACTTTATTTAGACTTTACAATTTCTGAAGTCAATGACCTTGGGCTTTGTGATAAACCTAGCGGTACTCCATATGCTTATGTACCTTCTCATAGGTCGTCGATATGGACATTCGGTGGCTGGAGCTGAAGGCTTCTAATAGCTTCTTTCCTACATTATATATGCTACCGCCCGTATTAATCTCTGAGAAGCCCTCCCCCTCCGCCCCCCCTTTGGTCTCCAACATTCCCGAGATCGAGGGCCACGCGACGCCATTCCATCCAATCAGGAATTGTAAATGTCTAGTAAACGTCTAGCATCAAACATGACCGAGGGAGGAGGGGTAACGTCACTCCATCATGGTGGCCGTTATGACGGATATTGTTCACTCACTTTGGGGTAGCTTTTGTGACTTGCTTTGGACGGATGGCTGCCAGCCACCGTACGTTTCATTGTTACCCACTCTGGTCATGGTCTTGATTCGTAGGCGTGCCGGTTCTGGGATTTATAATTGTGGTGGCCTCCTCGGAATATGCTGTGAGTATAGATATTTTTGGTAGGTTGAGTGACAGAAATGCTATATTCAAAGGAGAATTGGGACAAGATTCGTGTGTTAACCGACACCACAGGACGTTTTGACCGTGAATTGGAATCTCTCCCGAAGAGTACGTTCTGGAAAAGGAAGGAAAGAATATGGATGCCCAATCCCTCATGCAAAGCATCCGTGTGCATTCGTTACATTATGCAGAAGCTCAAAATGAAACCTCCTGAGCGGGCCTCTGGATTTCTATGTAGAGGTCCAATAAGCCTCTTCCAAAGTCCCAAAGTTAGACTTCCCTCTCTAAATCGTGGGTAATCACCATTGGTCTGCCAATTCTTCCCTTCAGATCATTTGACCTTCCTCTGCTGACGCTACTCGACACCCTTCTCCGAAGCTCTCCAAGGTGACACCGTCTCCCTTCCCTATTCTCCATCACCGAACTTACTGCCGCCGTTGCCCGGGGCACAGTATTCCAAGGATTCCGCCCCCCATATTCATCCCTATACCATGCCACAAACTGCACACGCTCTCCAGTCTCGCAATCAGTCACAATCTTCCTCGCCGTGCCCAGAATCCTGGATGCAGCCACCCCCTTTGACGCACTCGATGAGCAATAAGACCTGGGTCTTGCTTCACCCCCCTTTGACGCACTCGATGAGCAATAAGACCTGGGTCTTGCTTCACCCCCCTTTGACGCACTCGATGAGCAATAAGACCTGGGTCTTGCTTCACCATCGCCCAGATCTTCACCAAAGCCTTTGTCGCGTTCTGCTTGGTTGTCATGTGGGAGTACGGGGGGCAGAGTTCTCGGATCTGTAGGATGCAGTTTTCGAAGGCCTTTATGAATTTGAACGTCGTTGGGTGTTCTGGTGCGTTTTCTGCTGTCTTCGAATCGAAGGGCTGGCCTCGCGCGCCTTTGAGGCAGCATTTGGCCGGAAATATTTCGATTTGGAAATCAATCGGTTTTCGGCAATCGGGACTTCTTGACTGATGGGATTCATTGATGATGAGGTCCGCCATCTTTGGACAATGCGGTACAGATTTTATTAGAGTTTCTTCCATGATTTCGAGCCTGAGTGACTTGGCGAAGAGAACAAATAGGGCTTTGTGAATGAGACCACAGGTGACAGCTGAGTTAGGTGGCGGCATTTCAGTCGTCTCATTGTTTGACGCAGGAAATTGGTCTCTATCAATCAATCTTGACTCACGTCTCCCCGCTGAAGTCGACATATTGGCCGTCAGAACAGAGGTGGTAAGTGTTGAGTGGCTGTGTGGAGTGGAAGGGAGAGAGATTGGCCTGAATAATGTGAGGTAGCACAATGATGTTGAAATCGGATCAGAGTTAGAGAGAAGTATTACAACATCCCCATCAATCGCATATGTGACTCTTCGGTGCAAAATCTGCGCCCGGAGCAATTTCTGCTTCGAGTGAGTGGCAAAACGTAGCGCTCAGACTTTACCAGCCTTCAACACTTCACTTCCTCTCCCAAGCTTCCTGTGGCAAGGTGAAGGGTAAAGCGTGCAGTCTGAACAGTGATCATCAAAGACAATATAGAGATGCAAAAAGTATATACATACATATTCTTAATGTCATCTGCAAGCCCATCCAGCATAGCGTCGACTTATGCCATGTCGTGATGCTAGAGCAAAGTAACCATGACAGTGTGGTGAGACTCGAATCAGCGGCCTCCAAGATTTCAAAAGGGCAAGAAGTAGGCGGAAACAGGGTGAATGTGTCTAGCCACTTTCACGCTATCCGCTATGCTCCCGTGCACCAGTTTTATGGAACTGTATTACATTATATAAACTACAACTAGTCACTATTGGGATATCTGCGTTATGGTCCCCTTTGCATTTGTACGATGCAGAGCCTTAAGTTGCTGGAAGAGAGATGGTCATTGCCGCTCGGCCAGGAGACTAGTTACCTCCGCGCAACTCTTTCAGCTGCCTTGGGAGAATTGCGCAAAGCGCGAGCGTAGAGCCAACAAGAACACCAAGATCAGGATCAGTATGGCTTAATCAAATGATGTGACGCATGCTACAGGCTTGCAAACAAGACTATCACGACCAAGATCCCCATACCGTCCTCAATGTTCATTCGTGTGCAGAATCTCATACATACATACAGAAATTCTTGCTCTATCCCAATTCATCTTTCTTCCAACTTCAGACTTCGCCATACGCCTCCCCCTCTCCCCCCTTTTCCCCCCTTATTCTCCTAGACCATTCTCAGCATGCAACAAACCCCCTCCTCCTCCCCTCCCCCACACCCCTCCCTAAGGTTCTCCAAAATACCCAGGGCCAAGCTCGTTTCGCCCCAAGCCTAGGATGGTGTCCGTGGAAGCCGGAGAAGGACCCCGAGATGCCCCAATGCCATCGATAGTGGGGAGAGCATACGGGGAGCGCCTACTACTGGAAAGATTCCCCGACAGTGGCCTCAAGTGGGGTGGGAGGTTTGGGGGAAAAGCGGCGGTGTCTTGGTTTGTTGGTGGGTGCATGGGGGGAGAAGATGTAGGATGAGTGGTTGGAAGCCCGACGGAGGGGGTTGAGGGGATGGGGTTCCTCGACCAGGCCTGTGGTGTAGACCCACCTGCTCGAATTTGGGGAGGCGTGTGGCCTGCCCGACGGAGGGGATAGTCGTGTGACCAGGCCTGTGGTGTAGACCCACTTGCTCGAAGTTCGGGAGGAGTAGTCGCCTGCCCGACGGAGGGGGAGGCGATATACTTGTGTGACCAGTGTGATGCGCCATCATTTGCAGCACGAGCAGACCGCCACCCGATAGGAGGAAAATCGCCTGGCCACCATGGCTGTGATGTAGGCTGAGCTGCTTGGAAATCCATGACTTCCTCCGTAGAAGGGGTATTGAGCCAATGATGCCCTGGACCCTGTGAATCACTCGTGTCGAGGTGATCAGATGTGCCACCCAAGCCTGTGAAGGGTGGTTGGTCGCTATATTGTAGCTTGTTTGAGGTAAAATGGCCGAATTCACCGTCTAGGTGATTGAGCATTGCCTCGACCGAGCTCATGGCATGGGGGTACGCGCCTTGGTGAGAGGGCTTGATGCAGTGATCTGCGGCTTTGCCGGAGAGGCGGCTGAAGACGTAATGTACCTGGTGCATGCGGTCGATGTTGGGGGGAATGCTGCGATCTTGTGCTGAATTTTCGTTTTCCATACGCGGTAAGAGATGGGGGAGTCAGGGGCACCAGTGAAGATCTCGGGGTCGGCAAGGTGGTATGTTTCGTTATTGTTCTTATTCTTGCCTGGGTCTGAGGTACCGTTTCCATAGAGATCCTGCTTCGTGAGCTTGGCGACCCCGGCCTTTAGCGACTCAGGGTTGTTCTGAGGAAATTCCAGGGAAGAGGAACATTCAGCGCAACGGAGGTCTGCTTCACGTACGAGGTTCAAAACCTCGAATACTTCTTGGGGCCCGTTCGGCGTTGCGAGGAATTGCTCAAAGTCTTCGAATGTGTTGATGTCCCACGGAGTCCTGGCAGCTGCCAACTTTCCTTTGTTTGGTCGAAGTACATTGCCAGTCTGTAAGGCAACAGGGTTTTCTTTGAGGGTCTTCTGATAGGCTTCGTAACACTTCTCATAAGCCTCTTGCTTCTGATAGACCTCCTCCATCTTCGCAGCTACTTTCTGTTGTAGTTCGTATGTCGGCGACGCATTGTTGGTCTGTTCAGGCTTGATTTTGTCTCTCAGAGACTTGGAAAACGCTTGAAACGCTTCTGTCGTCTTCGCGTGGGTCATTTCGGCGTCCTCTTTGGGTGTTGATTGGAGTCTCATGTTCCTCATTTTATGGTATGCGCCTTTCGCAGGAATGATCTGCTGACTTTCGGTTGCGTCAAGGTTTGATGTACAGGTAGTTGCTGTACAAATTTATTGTTGTACAAGCCGGCTGTTGTGTAAGTTGGTTGATGAAGAGGAGGAGAAAGTGGCTGGGAGCCGACTTATATAGAAAGCGCTAGCCGAGTGTCAAGATCAGATGAGTGTCCACAATGGCAAAGGCAACACACCACAAAGCCTTCACACACAATAACCGCCAATAGGGAAGATGTGTGCCGATGGTGTGAGTTCTCGTGGCTCCCACATAGCGGCAAGGCGTGTCTGAATTCGACCGCTACCAAACATGCCGCGCGCCACCAAAACCCTGACACCTACATTTTGAATGTCCTCACCAGGCCAAGTCTCTTTCCTCGCCATCTACACCCATCCAACACCCATCCAACCCCCACCCCCAATTCAAGTAGACCATTCGTCGACCCCTTCTGACACCAAAGCCACCACCACCACCGCTACCACCACCAGCAGAGTTCCAGCGTTCCATATCAGGAACACTCAAGTGTTCTCCACACTTTCGCCATTTTCTTTTATATATTTACTGGATTGGCTAGCTAATTTCCCCGCAACTCCCACCCGCGCCTCCATTCTACCCACAGACTTTATCAGGCTCTAGCCTTCGGGGTCCCACCACCAAAGCTTTGAACATAAAAAACGCTTGACCCCAGGTTTTCGATACGAGAAGCTGCAATGTATGTAAAGGCTAGGTATATCTTTGATTCTGTGAGGGCGATGGCGGGTCGAGTATTGTGCTCAACCCGCTATCGGATAGGAGTGAAGATCTAAAGTGTATAGGGAGGATGGTACACAGGTACACCGGCACGACCGAGCATCGCCGACGAAGCAGCCAAGAACCAGGACCCCTCACATAGATAGATAGCATACCTAGCATATTTTGTCATCGTAGACGTATTTTTCTCATCTAAAGCGCATCTCGCATGCCACCCCCACCCCCACCCCCACCCCAAACCCACCGAGCCCATGAGGAACTCATCAGAACTTTTCCGCAAACACCCCAGTCTTAATCTTCGTGAAAGAAATCAGAATCAAAGCAAAACCACGCTCCTCCCCCATACCACCACATCATTTCAACCCCAAATCCCGACTATCGTCAAAAGCATCAGCTTCTACGTGCCCTTGTTCGATAATACGGCCATGATCCAGCCGGATGAAGAAATCGGCATTCTTCACCGCCTCAAGCCGATGTGCGATCGTGATGACGGTGCTCTCGCGCATTTCCTCGCGCAGGATCTGCTGGATCGAGAGCGCGGTTTCGGTGTCGATACTCGCTGTTGCCTGTCCCATCATGTATCAGCATCGTTCCTCCAGCCCACTGATCCAAGCTGCGATGAAAGGAGGTAGACGGGTGCGACGGGGGAAAGAGGGGGGAGGGAAAGAAAACATACCTCATCCAGAATAATAATCGGACTCCGTCTCAACACCGCCCTCGTCAGCCCCACCAGCTGCCGCTGCCCCTGACTCAAATTACTGCCCCCGCTATCAATCCTCGTATCGAGATTCCAGCCATGTTTCCCGCACACGCGCTGCAGCACACCGTCGCAATCCCCGTCCGTGTGCTCGGAGAGCGGATCGAGATTCTCGCGCATCGAGCCGGGGAAGAGCACGGGGTCTTGCGCCAGGAACGTGATGCGGTGGCGGAGGACTTGCTTGTTGACTTTGGAGACGTCGATGCCGTCGATGGTGATGGAGCCTGTGGTAGGGACGATAGTGGCGAGGAGGGAGAGCGCGAGCGTGCTTTTCCCGGAGCCGGTCCGGCCGAGGAGAGCGGTTGTGGAGCCGCCTGGGATGGTGAAGGAGAGGTCGTGCAGCGCGGGGTCGAAGTGGGGCGCGTATTTTAGGGTTGCGGACTTGAAGGAGATTTCGCTGCCGAGTTTTGGCCAGGAAGCCGGTGGGTCGATGGAGCCGGGGGTTTCTTGCTCCAGGTCGAAGAGTTCGACGATTCGTTCTACCGAGACGAATTGCATTTGAAGGCTGCCGTACATGCGGCATAGGGCGTGTGTGGCGTTGACGAAGTTCGAGGCTGCTATGAGAGTGAAGGCGGTCAAGCCGGGGGATACGCCGGTGTAGATTGCGAGCATAGTGAGGATGAAGGTTGAGAACGCGGACATGTAGTCGAACCGGCATGAGAGCCAGGCTTGGAGGGACCAGTAGAAATGGTCCATTTTCTGGAAGTCGTCGGTGACGTCAATGACCTGGTCTTGAAAGCGCTTCTGGACGCAGAAGGCTCGCACTGTGGTCAGACCATGGATGAGATTCCCAAAGTTGGACATCAAAGGACTCAAGGATACCATTTCCAGCCGTCTCAGGCTCTGTGAGGTCGGTAGAAAGCGTAGGAAGACGTAGACGAATCCTGCCACGAGAGCACAGGAGAAGACCAGGAAGACGGGTGTTACGGAGGCTATGACGATGATCGATGATATCCAGCTTAAAATGAACAGTGCGATGTAGGAGAATCGCTCAGTCAAGCCGCCATCCATGGTCCCGATGTCGGACGTCATTCGATTCATGAGGCGACCTACAGGCGTAATGTCATAGAAGCGGAAGGTCGCATTCGCGACACGTTGCATAACCTTTTTAAACATGCCCTTGCCAGCCACGTAAACGATGACTACCATCCCACCATCACGCAAGACCCACATAAGTGAGCGCGCAGCGGCGAGTCCGAAGAAACACCACAGCCACGGGCTCAATTTTACCTCAGGAGATGGGAACTTGTCGAAGAAATCAGAGACGATGCTAGACTGAGTGACGGATGGTCTATCGTAAGCTTCCGCCCACTCTTTGAGGAAATAATCTTGCGAGATACTGAGGACACGACCAATTGCCAAGAGAAAGATGATGAAGGCCCAGTATCGGAGCTTTCCAGCCTTGATGTATTGCCAGTAGACTTTATACTTGACCCCGCCATGTGCTCGCTCTTCGTCACCGATGAACTTCTCAGCTTTCTCATCGGTTGCATCTTTCTTATCGGTGACTGTGTCTTGGATAACGGACTCTTGGGTTTTCACTTTAGTAAGAAGCTCTGGGGAAGGTTTATAAGTCAATGCAGACGCTTTGCCGTCTGTGACTTCAACCATCTGTTTTGCATGAGGTTGGCATAGCTCCACTCTGTGAGTCACCAGAATAACCGTTCGATCATTCGTCAGAGGCCCCTTCAAGCATTTTTTCACTACATGTTCCGCCGTCTGATGGTCCAAAGCAGACAATGGATCGTCTAACAGAAGCGTTGGAGCGCGGCTGTAGACTGCTCTTGCAAGAGCAACGCGAGCCCGTTGGCCTCCAGACAGTCCAATGCCGTTTTCCCCAATGAGAGAGCGGTCTCCGTCTTTGAAGTGTTCGAGGTCAATGGTGAGCGCGCATGCATCCAACACTTGATAGTATCGCTCTTCATCAAATGGTAAAGAGAATAGAATGTTGTCTCGAATACTCATGCTCTGAAGCCACGGAGATTGGGCACAGTATCCGAAGACATTGCTGGATCGGTCTATATGACCGCTCCGTAAGTCTAATTCGCCGAGGATAGATTGAAGCAGAGCCGATTTGCCTGATGCGACTTCACCGAAAATCACAGTCAGACCATCTACAAACTGTAAGTCGATATCGTGAAGCACATTGTCGTCTTTGCCCGGCCATGCGAAGCTTGCGCTGTCAATGTGCAGGTGGTGAGGGGTGTCTGATCCTGCCGTTTTTTCATCATGTTCATCCTTATTGGGCTCTTTCATGAAAGCTTCGATACGCTGCATAGATATCCTGGCTCGGAGAAGAACATTGACCAACCTTGGAACAGCTCCTAAGCTGCGTTGAACCATACCGAAGACTTGAAGAGCCGGGAAAACAACGTCGACCCGTAATGGTTGGCCCGCCCATGTTGTGTAAGCGTAGAAAACCGCCACTGGAAACATGTTACCCGCAAGACTTTGTGTGAGCGTGATGGAGACATCACAAATATCTGCGATCACGCGCTTTCTCAACTCGTTTTGCCGCTGGGTGAGAATTTGATCCAGCCAAAAATCCTGCCAGGCGTACCAGCGGAGATGACGGATCGCTTCAATGAATTGTGAGGTCTTCTGGAGTCTGGTATCTGTAGCAGCCCTTCGAATACGCTCCAACTTCAATTGGTACCTCATTATGAGAGCAGTAACGCCTTGTGCGACGATGGTAATGGCAATTCCGAGGATGCTTGTCCAGCCGACCAATTTCCAGACGAGCACCATTGACAGAACCAAGCCTATGGGTACGTCAAGGAAAGTTTGTATTTCCCAGAAGCGTTGTGCAATCTCATATGCATCGCTCTTCATCAAATTAAGGATCTTTCCCGTTGATGCAGGTTGATCGCTTTGAGGCTTAGAGTCCTTCGAGTCTTTGGAGTCTTTCTCATCTAAATTCGCCCCTACAATCTTCCGCGACAAGACTTTTTCGTGAAGCATGGTGATCATCTCGCCTCTGGATCGCTCGTAACTCCGTCGTTCATACCAAAGACTAATGACTTCAGATTGAGCCTTTACAAGTCGGAGGCACAATGCAAGAATAGCGTAAACGACGACGGCTCTCCGGGGGCTGAACTATCTTCCATTGACTGGAGCAGAAGCTGCAAAACAAGAGGGGATCCGTACTCTACCGCGAATCAGCTGCTGAGCCCGCATATACTATCTTGAACTTACTGCAAGCGATCTCTACGAAGCCAAGGGTGCATATGATTATCAGATCAATTGCATTGGCTTTGAGCAATCGGCGAAGGACTGAACCAGGAAGCTCTCGAAAACGCTCGTGTAAGGCTTTGTGCTGGAATTGATAGCTTAGCTTCCACACGTCCTCGTTGTTTATTTGCCGCTCGGTGCCAATGTTGATCAATGGATTCATCCAAGTCACTGTTGCGAACTGCCAAGGAGTCAGTCTATCTTCAGGACTTCTTAGATCGTTTGTTGGTTTGTCAGACGGAGGACTGATGTCATCGTGCGGTAGATCGGGGTTGCGGAAAGGAGTGCAGAGAATTATTGCAAGAGCTGCAAATGATGCAAAGATGGCAACAACACCAGGTATGTCCTGGACATTGAGATTTGACTCATGGTTTAATTGCAGTGTGAGCTGTACTGCCGCCGTACTCAGTAGGATCAGCAGAACACCCTTGGGCGTACTCCTCGGACGGTCTATGATCAAGAACAGGAGAGCAGTTGCCTTCTTGACCTTAGCAAGCTGATTTCAAAGCCAAAAAATCCAATGAGATGCTTACCCAAGATATCGCAGGCAAGAGCGCCGCGAAATTTGGTCGTGGCCAGGCAAGCGCAACGAGGTCTGTCACAAGACCGATGATCGTGGTGAGGATCAAGAGGCGTGTTTTCCAAGAGAAGGGCTTTCTCTTTTCGAGCTGAATGAGATCTGAGTCATCGATGTCCTCGACGACGAATGGTTTCAGCCATTGCGGCCTCTTCCTCAGCAGCGGCTGAAGCACACGGTGGAGCAGTACAAGTAGAGCGACAGCACCAGGTAGAACGGATATGATCGGTAGGAAACAATTATCAAAGCGAGCGTTCTTGGCGTCCCATACGCTACGGCAAGCTAGTGAGTGCTTGAACGTGGTGACTGGTGGCGAAGTGTTGATAGCGCTTTCTATCTGCCTGTCTGCCGCCAGTATCCTTGTCTGATTGACATAATGAGGTAGAAGCTGGGGCACAGCCAGGAAAACTTGCTCTTCAGGCCATTTCATGATCGTGATGTGGCGCAGAATGGTTGGTGTGAAGAAGACTGTTGAAGAAATATGCAAAGCACTCTATCGCATGCTCCGGCGTAGCATCATCTTCCCATAGTCCAGTCTTCTTCGCGTCGTACAGGAAGTTATGTGTTGAGAGAAATAGGCAGGTAGTCACAGTGCTGCCTGCAAAATATACAGAGGTACAATGAAGGTCTCACTTTTAGATGCGGTGTGGCGACCCGCATAAAGCCGCATAAAGCCGCATAAAATTGTGAAACGCCAAGCCTTCAGCGGTACCTCAGGTTTATGCATCATTCCAATTACATCATTTCTCCATTCTAGCTATCAATACGAGTTGTACCCATAGCTACTGAGCTCCCGAGAAAAGACTTATTAGGCGATAATAGGCCAGAACTTCCTAGCAGCAGCTACTCAGAGACTCGACACCATGCTCTAATTACATATACCACCATGCACAATCACTGCGGGTCACACAAAATCAAGAATGTACAGCAGTCTAGCATCAAATCCCACTTCCCACCAGAAAGACACAAAATAGTGTCACGAGCAAGCAAACATTACTGATTCACCCTTGCCATCGCGATCCATTAAGAGATGACAAATGCCCTTCATGCACGAGCAAACTACAATTCACCACGTTCTTGCAATCAGCGGCAACGGCTTATCGACATCCACCCCACCCCCACCCCTTCTCCCATTCCCCAACGGCCCCCTCCTCGCCGCCTCCATAACAGGCACATAAGTCCGCCGGCCTCCGTACCCATTCACCCTCGCCGTCGTCCCCACCGGCGCAGTGGCCGACCTCCCCATTCCCGGTCTCCTCGCCCCCATCCCCATCCCCATCCCACCATAACTCCGCTTCCCCTCCCTCTTACTCCTAAACACCTCGACCCCACTAATCTCCCTCACCTCCGGCGCCGTAACCTCTCTCCACAACCTCGGCATAATGGGACAACAACTACAGACAATCCCGAATCCCAGCTCGCCATAAACCCACAGCACGGTCTCGACCTTCACATAGGAATAATCCTCCGTTTTCGCGAGCTCAAACCCCCAGATCAGCCTCATGACCGAACTCACGACCGCGAGGCCGCCGACCGCGAACACGGCGCTGACACCCATCCTCCTCTTCTTGCTGATCTTGAGCGTCCAGATCCTGTACAGCGGGACGAAGAACATGGCGACGTCGCTCCCGACGTTGATGGCTGCGCTGGCGATGTAGAGGGAGAAGACATCCAAGCACTTGCCTGGCATGCGCGGATCCCAGATCTTCTTGCGGGGGGTGCAGACGAAGATGGGCAAGAAAAAGTGGATGGTGTAGAATATCGTGTTGAGGATGTTGAGGGCGAGGATGAGGTGGTGAAAGGTGGCCGTTGCGAGGGAGGGGAAGGGGCGCGGGCAGAAGAGGCGCGTGACGAGGAGGAGGATGCTGAGTTTTATCAGGGAGATTGTCGGGGCGTAGAGGATGTCGAGGTAGTTGGAATACTGTGGTGATGAGGGGGGCAGTGGTTAGTTGGAGTAGGGAAAGGGGAAGGGCGATGGGGATGGGGATGGGGATGGGAAGGTACCTTAAGCTGCAGCTCATATTCCTTATACGTGATATCCCACTGATGCGTCCCGCCCTTCTCACCAACAACGCGGAATTCAAGGGCTATAAATGCGACGTAGAGGATCTGCATATCCCCCAGCCCAACTATCAGCTTTTCATCGTCCCGGATCAAATGTATATGGCCTCACCCATCCGATCGCACACGCATCTTCACCAATCAATTCAACATTACAGTATTCGTCCAAGACAAGAGACACACTCACAATCTTCCCACATCACAGCCTTCATAATATACCGTTTCGTATAGAGTCGCAACGCGACGAACGTCGTCGTCATGAGGATCGCGAGGGAGGCGGTTAGCGTGTGGTACGGCTGTAAGGTGTATGCGTTCTGGAAGTTCGGGATCATACCCTTGGGTGGGGGCAGCGCTGGGTCCGGGGGGAGGGTGAAGCAGTATGTTTGTTGTTGCATTGTTGGGGTGGGAGTGGGGTGGTAGTAAGCGTAATAAAAGATGGAGCCATGGATGAGGATTCTTCACTGCAGAAGATGTGAGGCACATGAAGAGATGGGATGTGGGGGGGATTTAAGAACCAGAATTGGTGACTGGCATTAGCGTCCCGAGTTGATGCAAGTGCGGTGGCGCTTGGGAAGAAACAGCACGTGGGAGGTGCGTTGCGTGTGTGAATGATAAGGCGGCTGTAGTATCCCAAGTGGACGCTGTTTCCCGATATGTGACATCTTCACTGCTAGTGTATGTGTGTGGCGTTTGTCATGTCGTACTAATGACAGGTTGATGCGGTCAAAGAGCCATCATTGGTTTGTTCCTGGGATAGAAAGATGTCTCTGAGGTATCAGGCCATAGCACACGAATCCTTTTTCTGAATATTGCCCATCGGGCGATGGACGGTCTTATGAAGAGCGGCTCGAGTGACGGGGCTTTCGAACGTGGTGAAGGGAGCACGTCACGGGTTGCGACCTGCAACGGACGAAGTATCATGTCTCTCGCCTTGCAGAAGCCGACCTCTTGCAAATTGGTTGTGAGTCACATTGGTAGGAACCATCAACATAGCTTGACAAGACGGATCAAAGCTTTCATAGGAATATTTCGATTGCCAGCGTCGTCTATGAAACGCATGTCTTGGCCAATCGAAAGCCGAACAGGCTGTGCCACGTCTATTTCGGCATCTGTTCGGAATGGTTGAGCTAATGCACTGTTTCTTGAAAGTGACTGGGCGATGAGTCTTGTCTGAAACAATTGCGAGTAACATCAGGCTAAGGCTGCAGAGACTGCGGCAATGGCCAAATACGAGACTTCAACCGCAGACATACCTACAGGCTGGGCTGACTCCGCCCCTGAAGAGTAGGCTTGATCTTAAGAAGATTCCTTGTGGATTTCAATTCTTCCATTGTTAAGGAACAGGTCATCAAGTCGCAGGAATGCCTTTTGCCTTTGGCGCTGCTGATTTTCTCCAAGTATTGAAGCTGTGCCAATATGTCTATGGCGCCCTCAAAAGCGGCCCAGAGAAATACAAAGAGATTCAGAGCGAGCTCAAATCGTTGTCATACGCAATAAGTCTATTGCAAGATGATGCGAAAGACCCCCGCTCAATACTGAACAGAAAGGGTGAATCGCGGAAGCAAGATTTATCAGACATCATGGATAATTGCGCGCGAGCATTGCAAGATTTAGAGAGTTTGGTTGAGAAGCATAGTAAACTCCAAAATGCGGAGGCAGGAAGACTTGTCAGAATGTGGGATGCCTATCAAGTAGGATCGACGGATCTCGACTCGATAAGGGGCAGACTCACCTTCCACGTATCAACCATCAACACCTTTCTGACGAGTTTGGAGGGATCCACGCTTTCGCGAATGGAGAGGAAGCTTGACAAGATCTATGCGAAGATAACGCAAGACGCGACTGCGAATTCCTCACGCAGAGTCTCTGCTCTGTCGAATGAATCTTCCGAATTGATATCACTACTGTCTTCGCGTGCTGAGACACAAGAAGACAATATCTGGGAAAGACTGAGGGAGGAGCTTTCTGCGGAGGATATCTCGCAGGCTCATATTCTTGCGCATCGTGAGGAGATAATGACGTATATGAGGTCCCTTGTGCAAAGGAGTACTCTTTCAACCCGTGAGCCTATGGATGATGTGATGGTGTCTGACTCTTTGCGAGCGCTGAGCTTGGAGAAGCGTGACTCGCTACCCAAGAAGCTTCTTCCAAAATTGCCTGGCCAGTCACCTGGCCGAGATAGGCGAACATCAGAAGAGGATCCTTTTTCAGATGCCGAGAGCTTAGATCCGAGCAGACGACCATCTACCAGCTTAGACATCTCAAGCTTGAGAACAGACAGGCAATCAACAGGCTTGCTTTATTCTCAAAACATTGTCGGAGGACCCACCGAAAGCTTGAGGAACTCGTTACAGAGCGCACCCGTCCCTTCAGGGCCTGAACTCATTCCTCGAGAAATTGGCAAATGGTCAGATGGTCAAGCCCATATCGTTGTCTTCCTCACGGCTCAGAAGTATGGAATCTACAATGAGAGACCAGGCTGCTGCCTCTTGCTCGACGTCCACTTCAAAGCGCCGGCTCCTTCTGCAGATCGCCTTGAACCACGCGAGTTCAGAACAGCGGACGTACACTGCACGGTGCACCCATCCGGGGCCGGTACGGGATCCGAATTCATCAAAGTCATACCACGAAGTGGAATCCGGGTACCAGGATCGGACAAACACGATCATGTGCGCCCACGCGGAATCTTCAGCACCATCGCCTCTCGCAAACCGAAGTCCTCCTGGTTGCAAAACTGGACCATGAGTGGGTGGGTCGGCCACGAATGCCGGCGGGCGAACTGGAGTATCCATAGCAATGGGGAATCCGCCCAAGGTATCCCCAAGCACGCGCTTCTTGGCATGATTGTTCAGCATGTCAACCAGCCTTTTCATGTGGAGATTGAAGTCGTGGCATCGACCTTGGGCGCTGATGGGATGCTGGGAGATATTGTTGGGCCGGAACCTACGCTCATTCCTATTGACCCTGTGAAGAGTCAAGAATTGTTGAACGACAAGTCGCTTTATGCTCTCAAGGAACGGACTCCGATGATAATCTGGAACCATCTTTCGTGCAGAGGGCGGATTGACGATTTAAATGAGATACACGGGCACTTGCACTGTCGAAACCAAGTCACTAGGCCCGCTAAGGCCTAGTGGCTTGGTGGAGATCTTTAATATACACCACTGTGAATCACGACTGCGCGTGCAAAGGTAGATGAGTAAATTAGATTATTGATTAGATGTTACTTTGATGACTATCAAGACTTATAACGACTTTTAGCCTCCCCCCGTTTCGCCGCGCTAACAGTAGACCACCCCTCCATTCATTCTATATACAATTCTCCCCCCGAATCATGTACTTGATGATGATGTTCCGTTGACCGAGGATTAGACATTAGATTATTGTGGCATAGTCGAGACGGCCAGCGTCACTTTTTCGTACGTCGTACGTTCGTAACAGTCGTTTGATCATTTCATAAAGCCAGGTATGAATTCATGTTCGGAAGAATGATCGGGGCGCATTCTCATACGAGGTTCGGAATGGGTTGTCGAAGACTGAGTTGGCGCGAGTAGCGCTCTTCTCCCCACCAGCAGATGGCTGTTGGGATGCTGAGCGCTTGGAGGACGAGAAGTGGTTGGAGAAGAGCTTGAAGTGGCCAGAGCCATTGCGCTTGGCTGAGGAGGGAAGACTGCGTCGGATGGTCCTGAGAGCATTGTGATGGTAGCTGTGGTTGGTGTTTGTGTGTGGTTGATATTAAGTATTACTTGCTTTTGATACTGTATACTGTGTTGATTGATGCTGGAATGGGATGAAGGTGCAGCATTGGTGGGCTTTATATATTCATTCTGGTGATTGGAAATCGTCGATGGATTATTCAGATTGATTTTTCATCATACGATGGTGTCATTGGTCGGGTATTTCCGCCAATCAAGAGGGTCAATTGCAGCTGTGTTAGTAATATTTACCCAATAAACAGCGGGTATGATTGCGTCATATCAATCTCCGCCCGTGAGTAGCCGTCGACGAATTCTAGAATCACAAATATACTTCCTGTTGACAATATTTTCAAGTGCGTGACCGGGTGATCTTTTCATCAGCAATAGCGTGCAAGATGGTGCAAGCAGAGATGCTAAAATGAACGTAGCTGATACGTTGGCACGCAAACGATGTTGAGATTGCCCGTCTAAAACTAAGGCCGTGGACGGAACATTCATCCCATGTGGAGAAGCGGTCAACAAGGCTGGAGTAGAGGCGTCGTGATATTTGAAAATGCTGGAAATTTGGGTCAGTGCATAGTCTGATGCGTCAGCTTAAGGGGTGTGACACAGCCCCAACGATATCATGTAGCCATAAGTTGCGTTGTTTTGAGAGGGAGAGAGTGAAGTCTATCAACACTTCACGAGCAGTATTGGCATTAGGAGCAGACTCAGAAAAGGTGATGTGGCAGCTTGAGGAAAAGGCGTCGTCCCTGCAGCAAAACCACCATAGAGAAGCATGTAGATAGTATAGTTCTAGGTGATTGTTTTCTATTTTTAGAAGCTAGAGCCGCGATTACATCAGCGGAAACCCTGCCAAGACCCCGCCAAGTCCGCCTCCGGGGCTTCCGACGAAATGGCACGCGACACAGCCGTTTTCTCGCCGTCAGCAACAACATTATCTCCCTTCCTCCTTCACTACATCCATTCCCATGGAGAGCATCCATCGTAACACATAGAGTCAGCCATCTCATTACTATGGCTCGCTTCTCCCTCTCCCAATCAGGCTCTGGCGCCTTCTCCATCTCCCTCTTCGCATCATACATAGTCGACTGGATCATCATAATGTGAGCCTTCATCTTTCCCTCCATCTGCCTCTCATTAACATATATCTAGCGGTATAGCAGCCGTCGGCGCCGGCTTCTGGAAGCAAACACCCTACCACCGTCCCTTCTCCCCCGTCAACCCAGAAATATCCTACCCTTACAAAGACTCCTCGACCGTACCTACCTATGCTCTTGCTCTCGCTGCGCTGGTTGCTCCAGCCATCATCACTGCCGTTCTCTCTCTCGCTCTCTCAGCCTCACCTCTTTCCTCCTCATTGTCCTTGCTGAAGAGCCCCAAAGGCCGATCATTCATGGGAAGGCTGTGGGAATGGAATACCGCGTGGATGGGTCTGGGACTAGGGCTCGCTTTGACGTTCATGTTCACGGAAGGGATGAAGAATATCTTCGGAAAACCTAGACCAGATCTACTCGCACGATGTGATCTAGACCCCAATCTTGTCGCAGGCGGGAGTTTTGCGGTCGGCGGATTCGGGGTCAAGCTGCCGGAATGGAATTTGCTCGTCAGCAGTGCGGCGTGCCGACAGACGGACACGAGTATATTGGATGATGGGTTCGAGAGCTTCCCAAGCGGACATGCGAGCTGTGAGTCGCCTCATCCCTCTCTTCATACACTGGCTTTGACCCACAGTCTACTCACCATGCTAACATCCGGATCCAACAGTCTCATGGGCAGGCCTCTTCTACCTCTCTCTCTGGCTCGCCTCACGCCTGCAATGCACGATCCCATACCTCCTGCCCTACCAATTCACCTCCACCAGCTCTAATTCCCCTTCAACCCCCTACCGAACACAAGCAGCCGCCCCACCAACCTACACCATCATCTTTCCCCTCGTTCCCGTCTGCGTCGCGACCTACATAGCCTCAACGCGCTACACAGACTTCCGCCATCACGGATTCGACATCATCTTCGGTTCTCTAATGGGCATCCTCTTCTCCTGGCTCGCATTCCGGTACTACAACCTTCCCATTCAACGAGGTGGTGGCGGGGCGTGGGCGCCGAGGGGCACAAAGAACGCTTGGGTGGTCTCACGACCGAGCGAAAGTGGAGCGGGAGGCAAAGGATGGGGTGGGTACGAAGACGAAGCAAGCAGAAAGAGGAGAGATGAGGAGGAAGGCGGCATGAACGGCCACAGCAGTGATGGGACGAACGGGAGTAAAGACGCACTGGCGGGTGCGCCTGCGGCGCGTGGATAGAAGTTGTATCTTGCATTGAGTACGATGGGGTAGGATTGGATTTCGTTGCATAGCGTTGCGTGGATAGAATACGAATAGATTTGGCATTTACCCCCTCTCTCCCTTTCCAAAACTAGCGGCCTGATGAAAGGAACGCTGTGAACAACACTTAACAGCTATCATGGAGGTGGGATAGAAGGTCTGACGAGCTCCGCCCTAACCACATTGCCCCGGAGCCGGAATCACAGACAGCCACACCACCTCTAATTAACTGGCCACCGACTTTGATCACAGTGTTCATCCACTCCAATCGATGATCGAAGCCAACCAAGTTGTCTTGATGTCAATTGTCACATTCTCAGGCATATCTCCAAGGATGGCTGTCTCATCTCGTCAATGCAGGTACCCGGAATTGCATCTACACAAGAGATCACTACACTATCCAGCCACTTGAGCTCCGAAAAATCTCCCACCACCACGAGCTATGAAAGCACCGAAGCTGACGGAGGTCTAATGATCTACACAAATCCGGAGAAGCTGTGAAGCCACACATGCCGAATCGGGCCCGTTGTATCTCGTAAGACGGCGGGCAATCTACTGCAGTTCCTAGCCTTGATCTCCTTCGCTGCTTTAGGGTTGAAGATACTGCTATCAGATCCCCGTTCCACTTGCCAGTGACTAGTGACATCGACCTAGCAAAAGTTCCCCGTCTTGATGTATTTACAGAATCTGAGTAATATATTAGCATGCTATCCGCATAGATTTGAGAACTAAGACTTATCGCCATAAGAGAGAGCTCCCTCATGTAAGTCGGCGACGAGATGACTCTATGGCATTGCCGTGTCGACTCATACTTTCACATCCGTTTTAGTATTGGGTCAGTGATCCGTTTAGAGCATATATTCGGGGGTGGGCGGAAGTGAAGAACGGAGGCTTCGCTGTGCCGAGGAAGAAGTACTTTAATGTCATGCTCAGGACATGGAACGCGGTGACTGCAACACCATCAGTGATTCGGTAGGGAAAATGGAATAGTCAGATACTGTCCTTTTCCATTAAAAATATTGCGACACCAGAGACAGTGAGCGAGAATCAATTCTTTATTTCTTTTTGCAAAGCGACGATTCACATGCTATTGAGGCTGAATCGTATAAAAGTTCTATTGAAGAGCTGAAGATATATGACTGCGAAAATTATCAGCTATCGAGCGGAGGGGACGGGGTGAAGAACACTTTCCCCCAACAACGCTCCGATGAGCCGCCAGATTCACTGCACCTCAATGGTGGGGACGCGATTGTTTGCTTGCTACCAATCGTGGCGCTCTATTGATTCTTTTGAGCCGTATGGAGATGCGAGAACTAAGGAGATTGACAGCAAATGAGTTGATCAAAGAGGATAGTGTCTGCTTTCCTCACACGACAAAGATATTGAGACGCTGCACTCGCTGCGCATCGATGATTCAGACGCGACAACTTGCTTGCTGCCAAGTAAATCAACTCTGTTGAGGACTGTATCGAGATATGGAAACTAAGGGGGTCAACAATAAATGAGTCGAGGAAAGAGGGCAGTGTTTGCTTTCCTTCCACGCTATCAAGCCCCAGCTGTTCATCAATTTCTTTGACACGTATATGAAGACGTTGGGACTAAGGAGATCAACAGTAACCGAAGTGAAGGAACAGGGTAGTGTCTGCTTTCCTTATATGCTATCCGGTTCACTGCTGCCAAGCTCAGCTGCTATCAAACCCAAGCTGTACGTCGGTTGCGCTGACCCGTGTATGAAGACATTGAAACTAAGAAGATTGTAAGAGACTGAATAGAAGGATTGAGGTGGTGTTTGCTTTCCTCTCCCAATGCAGATACTGAGCCGCCAGATTCGCTGCACATCGACGGTAGAGACGCGACTGTTTGCAGGAGATATAGAAACTAGGGAGATCAACAGTAACTGAGTTGATCAAATAGGATATTGTCTGCTTTCCTTTCATGTCATTCAGCTCACTTGCCATCCGGCTCGAGCTGTGTATCGATGTCGTTGATCCGTGTATGAAGCCGTTGAGACTAAGGAGATTGTAAGCGACTGAATAGCAAGATTGAGGTAGTGGGCGCTTTCCTCTCACAATGAAGATATCGAGCCGCCAG